CGGCGCCCCCCCCGCCCACCCGCCCGCCAGCAGCGGCACGTGATTGACCTTCGTAAACTCGGGCTATTGTGGTGCCCCACAGGGGTGCCCTCTTGTAATAATTCCCTATCCCCGCTCGTTTCCGTTCCCGCCCCGCATTCGGCATTACTACATACCTTGGTACTTATTAAATGTATAATCCCTAGACTCCTTCGCTCCAAACTCGGGATTCTTTATTCTAGCCGTACGCTATATTCTATTAGCGCATTCACTTCCTTGACCGGCGCGATATGGTGGAAGCAAATCGGGCTTTGATGAATTTTGCGAGGACATCTGGATTCACGCTTGCTAAAGGACTACGGCGACAGCCGATCGTATTCTCGCCTCTGTATCCTCCTCGTACCTACCAGGCCGGCCGGAAATACGCTAGGTTTTCTACTATGGCGGATCTGCCGCAGAAACGGCTTCGTGAGTTTACAACTATTGGTTCTTGTGGCCAAAGGAAATCTAAAGGGGGTAGGTTAGTTACATAAATGAGACTAGACTAACAGTTTACAGAACGACCGGCGGTCTTGTAAGTCCGGACTGGCGGTTGAAGTTGTTTGCGCTTTGTCTATGGGATATCAAGAAGCTGACTGAGGATGCCGCACAGCGTCTGCGATATGCAGGAGAAGTTTCGCTCCGCAATCTGGTCGTTTGACTTGATGTATGACACTCACTTACTATTAGCTGCATGCTATATACTCCTCTAAATAGCTTATACCCGAAGATGCTTGTCAACGGCAACCCCCTAATTACAGCCTGAGCATCACTAACAAAAACCACCAGCCTCCAGACAACGCAGAAAGTCCTACGCGCAGCCCAGATCCTCGGCATACCCGTCATCGTGACGACGCAGAATGGCGCAAAGCTCGGGCCTACCGTCTCCGAGCTTCAGGAGTTGACGGCGGGTGCTGTAGTTGACGCAGATAAGACGGCCTTTAGTAGTACGTATTACTAAGACCTCCCTTTCCCCTTTTCTAGCCCGGAGGCTTCTTAGCCAGTGGCAAAGGCATCATCATCCCAAGACTATGTCGCAACCCTCTAGATCCATATAGGCCCTTTAACACTTACTGCTACAGTGTTACGCGTCCCGGAAATAGCATCTCGCTTCCCGCACGCCGATCCAACGGGAGCCAATGGGCCCCTACCCAGCGAAGTCGCCATCGTAGGCATCGAGACGCACATCTGCGTCACGCAGACCGCTCTGGACTTGCTCGAACGCGGGCACAAGGTATACGTGCTGGCCGACGGCGTCAGCAGCTGCAACCAGATGGACGCGCGGGTAGCGTTCGCACGGCTGCGGGCTGCGGGGGCGGTGGTGACGACTAGCGAAAGCTGGCTTTACGAGTGCATGGGGGATGCGGGGATCCCTGAATTTAGGGAGGTGGCGAAGTTGGTGAAGGAGACGGGGCCGGGGATGAAGGAGGTGTTGAAGGGGTTGATGAGTAACTTGTAGATGGATGGGAAAGTCGTGGTATGAATTATTAATGTAATTTTGGGGGGATTGGGCTTGTCTAAGGGGCGAATACGAGATATGTGCGTTGCCCTTGTTTTGGTCTCGGGTATGAGATACTTTAGGTAGGCTTACGGGTATAAGGCCGTGATATTTATTAATGCCTTTAAATGACGCCTTAGAGGGGTTTGATATTCTAGATGGAGCTGCATCCTAAAAGCATGTGAAGGCATCTAAATACGCCCTCAATATTTCCTTTTGTTTTGAGCAGGACTAACAAGGGACTCATAATAGACATGGCATTCATAAGCAACTATCAAACTATTTAATAAGTATCTCAGACTCAACTCTCATGCAAACCGCCAACCACCCAGACCCCCCTCGCTCCTAGCAGCCGGGGAAGCAGGCGGTGCTGGGATATAGAAAGTAGTAATAGAGCGGGCAGCGACACTACCGGTAATAGAGCCACTGGCAACCGTCACATTGATCTGCTCGCAATTATGCGTCTGGTCCGTAACCCAGCCCGTAGCCTCCGTCGCATTCGCGCCATTAAGCTTGACACTCACATTACTCGGCGAGCCACCCGTGCTAATAACGACGACGGCAACGCTGCCGTCGACATTCCTAAACGCAGCGCTCTTAACGCCCGATCCACCACCACCACTGCTCGCGACGCGGACGGCGCCGGGCCGCACGAAGCGCGACCAGTTGGCGAAGGCCCACAGGCGCTTGGAGACCTCGTAGCCGTAGGGCGGCTGCTGGTCGACGCGGATCAGCTTCTCGTTGGTGGCGGGCGAGGGCCACTGCACGCCTTCCCAGTACAGGTACCCCGAGACGTTGTAGCTGACCAGCGCGTTGTAGATGTTGTTGGCCCAGGTCAGGCCCTCGCCTGCGCCGCCGTAGGCGTACCACGACGTCGTCCATTGGCCTTGCAGGTCGCATTGTTCTGATAGCCAGACGGGGACGCCTGTTGGATGGAGTGTTAGAATAGATAGATAGATAGATAGAGTGCCTGAGGTTGAGTGTGACGTAGAGATGTAGGATTTAAGAGAAGGGTGAAGGGGGTAGGGGTGGATCTGGGTAGGAAAGGGGGGTTAGATCGTACTATGAATATGTTAGCTTTTTCTTCTTCTTCTTTTTTAATTTTTAATTAAAAGCCATCGCAATGGAATTCAGATCTTCCTTGGAGAATAATATCATCAGTACATACCGTGAATTCATCGGACCATTAGGCCCACCGGTATAAGTATGCGAAGTAATCGTAGCGAGCAGACCCTCCGCGCCAGCAGACTTGATGGCGTTAACCATATTCACTTGATTGCCCCAGCCCTCCGATTCGCAGCACCCGATGCCGACCTGCGAGGTCAAGTTGGCTGCTTCGAGCGAGGCGTACAGGACCTTAATAAAGTCGGCTGCTTGCGCCCCGTTGGAATTCATCGATGCGTAGCTCGTCGTGAACTCGGGCTCGTTGAGGAAGCCGATCCTAGGAACAACAATTTGTTTAGTTACTAGGTAGGTTAGGTAGTTACAGGAACTGGAAGCCTTTTTGTTAGGAAATAGCTGTCGGCATACCGAGTAACGGGAACGCCAGCTTCGGCATAGTACTTGACGTATTGGACTAGATAATCAGCGTAAGCCTGTCTCCAGTCGCCGCTCCGGCAGCTAGTTCCGGAGACGCCGCACAGAGTGCCGCCGTTAGCTTCGTTACCGTTCGACTACCGCAAGTTTTTCAGCAAAATAGTTCTAGGTATTTATCTCGAAGTATTAGAAAAATAGGTACCTTCATATATCCCGGGGCACTCCAAGCGTCGCCGTAGATCTGGCGCACTCCGTACGTGTTGTACGCCTCCTGACTTAACCACAGCTGACCCGAGTCCTTGCCGTCCCACTGGTACTGCGGTGCAGCCGTCGGCCCGCCTGGGTCCTTTGGTGCGAACGTGTTCATGTGGTCGGAGCTGCTATCTGGACTAGAACCGATACCATTGCGGATGATGGACAAACCTGCTCCTGAGGTCGTGTTGAAGAGCAAATCTAGGAGCTCCCTCTGTTTGGTCTTGTCCGACATGTTCGTGATCAGGTTTGCTCGCTGGAAGGCAAAGGAGCAGCCAAACCCGTCGATGGTCTGGTATGTCTTCGACAGGTCAACGGTGATTGTTGACCCCGACTGACGACGGCTGAGCCATGCTGGTACTGCCGATGCAAATGGCAGGGCGCCGGAGGCGACGATTAGATCTATTAACCTCATAGTCGCTACGTTGAAGCAATTATTGTAGTTACTCTGAGAAGTCTATAGTTTACGAAGCTCACCCTGACATTCCCCCGTTTTTATCATTAGCAGTACTCCATGGGATGCTCCCGAACAAGACAGCGACAGGTATGCTCCATATTTGCCGGTAACCCCATGGTAATTGCTATACCTCGTTCTAGATCGTTGCTGTATTCTAACGGTAACATCCATGTACCACAGGTTACCATCTGGCACTCCCAGCACGTGGAGAAGCAGTAGATTATCCTCAAAAACCAGGTGGTCGTCGTGTTAAGCTCCGTGAGATGTGACCTCCGCGTCTTGACTGTGGGGTACGTGAGACTACTCAGATTAACGACGCTTAAGCCAAGAACGGGTAAATAGTCGAGGTGAGATCCTCTGCACCGAATTACGTGTCTATTTAGCCACTGGTCGTTCTCCGCGTAGGAAGCTGGTTCTAGCCCCCTAAAGATGAGTCCAGTCTAAATATGCTAGTATGTTGGACATGGAGTAAAGGTTGCCTAACCTACTAGATATTATCTAATTTCAAGTTGTTTTACGTTTCTATTTTCTGTGGCAGCGGTAAGAAACCAGAGGTCGTCTTAAATTCGTCCTAATGGAGGGGTTAGCTTGGGGTATATAAGGGGGTTAATAGTATTAATGTCGAGTTCGTAGACAGGCTAATGGAGTAGATCCCTTTCGACTCTCGATTTTACTTGACCCTTCATATTAATTAAGATCGAAGACCTCCCCATAGATTGATGACATTAAAGCAAGTACTAGATATCACGTATACAGAGATCAAAGATGTAATGTAAAGTTCAATGAGCGTTATCCATTCGACTGGCGAGATGGCGCTGATTGTATTGTTCTGTAAATACTGTTGGTTTCAGCTATATGGTTGGCCTCGGTACTTTACTTTAAGACGATAGTCTTAGTAGTACGGGCTATGTTCGAATCAGATCAAAATTTTAGTATCGCACAGTATCAATCCTTCCGCTACGCCCGAAAGAACGTGAATTAGGTCCGATGAGCTCCCCTTTTGCGGATGTATATCTGTCTCTATCGAGACTAGAATGCAATTAGGCGGTAGCGCTCACGCCCGTAGCCAGGTTCTCGCGTTCGAGCAGAGTTTCCATAAAACCGTTAGCTGGCTTCGATTCCTTGATTTCTTTGGCGATTTGTTGATCGATTCCGAGTTGCTCATCAGTCCAGAGAGGTTCGGGGGCATTAACACCAGCTTCACCAACACCGATAAAGCCGCCTTCAGCCGCCCATTCGGAAGTTCGCTTAATTCCAAGCTTAGTCCAAATTTCATCGACCGCAGCGACCAGTTCATCGCGATACTTTTTCGTATGGCCTGGAGTAGGGGTGATTCTCAAACGCTCTTGGCCTACCGGTACAGTCGGGTAGTTGATAGACTGTACGTAAATCTGGTAATCGTTTAATAGCATATCTGATGCTTGTTTCGCAAGTTCAGCATTTCCGACTAAAAGCGGAACGATATGCGAGGGATTCGGTATGACAGGGATATCCTTGGCATCTAACGCCTCTTTAACAGCACGCGTGTGCAGTTGCTGGAGTCGCCTGTCGTTATTGTGCTCAATCTGGTATTCAATGGCAGCTCTTGCACCGGCCATGGTAGCCGGCGGAAGAGATGTCGTGAAAATGAAACCAGGCGCTAAAGATCGAATCATATCCACGAGTTTCGCACTTCCGGCGATATATCCACCAACACAGCCGTATGCCTTACCAAGAGTACCGGTTATGATATCTATGCGATCCATAACCGTTCCCTCAGGTCTACCTTGTTTGTGGGCCTCGTAATCCAAGTGTTCGGCAACACCGGCACCTGTCGGGCCATACATGCCAACAGCATGGACTTCGTCGAGGAAAGTGATGGCTCCGTATTTATCAGCCAGATCGCAGATGCCTTCAATAGGTCCAATTGAGCCACACATGCTGTAGACCGACTCGAAAGCAATAATTTTAGGGACATGGAGCGGCAGAGAAGCTAACTTGGCCTCAAGATCCTCCAAATCGTTATGTTTGAAGACCATCTTTTTAGTCCCCGAATGGCGAATCCCCTGGATCATCGACGCATGATTTAGACTGTCGGACAAGATGACACATTCGGGTAGCTTGCTTCCAAGGGTTGCGAGCGTCGCATCATTAGCAACATAACAGGAGCTGAATACGAGCGCGGCCTCCTTAGCATGCAGCTTAGCAAGAGTTCCCTCGAGTTCGACTGCGTGTTTGTTATGGCCCGAGATATTTCTGGTTCCTCCTGCGCCTGCACCATACTCTTCGAGAGTCTCGTGCATTTGCTGTAGGACCCGGGGATTACGGCCCATGCCTAAGTAATCATTAGAACACCACACCGTCACCCGATCTTCCTTAGTAGCCCCGTGAGCCTGGGGGAACTCCTTAGCCAGACGATTGATATTATTGAAATAGCGGTATGACTTGTCCTTGTGCTTCTTATCGAGCTCTGCGTCGTAAAAGCCATTGTAATCGAATTTGCCATCTGAGCTCGCCGATTTGCTCAGCGGGGTTGTCGCATTGGCTTTGCGATTGGCATGAACGGACGGAGGGAATTGGACTAAAACCAAATTGTAAGTATGCGACCTCGATTTAAATATGGTAGCGCATATATATACCTGATTCGCGCGCATTAAACACGGGGGAGTCTAATGGCCTGGCTTCGTGAGAGCGGCTGGTGTGAATCTTGGCCCTCCCCGGCTTCGTTTGACTGGAGTAGTTGCGAATTCCGCTCACAGTTGCGGCGGCACCGGCCATCGGAGCCCTACCGACTCGGGCAGATTGAATAGCAAGCGCTTTTCCCATAACAGGGCAGCGCTGACCAAGCAACTGCAACTTGGAGATAGTACCGCCGCATTGAGAAGCTTGCGGACGAGTAGAGGTTGACAAAGCACGAAGAGTGGCGGGAGAAGCCTTCTTCAAGAAGGGGCACATGGCCTTGGACTGGCGAAGCACAGCGTCCATAGTGACGATCACAACAGGTCCAAAAAAAGAAAGAGTTGTAACCAATTGATTTGGTGTGGAACACTTGTGTCAATTGGAAAGTTTGTTTAGTTTGGGGAAAGAAGTTTTGATTTATGTATGTCTTATGGAAGGTTTTAGATTCTCCGTAGCATACGAGTCTTGTACATAACAGGCTATGTACCAGGTATCTTCGGAGACTCGGCGACCCACCAAATCGGGAATTGATGACTGATGGGCAAAATATGATTGGGAGCCAGACTATTCAAATATGCAGGGCAGAATAAGCGGCTTAGATCTTAGGTATTGTACCTAACTAACCTTAGCTATATAGTGTTACAGCCGGAAGGGCTAGATTTTAAACTCAACCTATTCGTTCTAATTCATTTTGGTTCAAGTCTCTTAGGTAAAATCGGGGATAAAAACCCGCGCAGAAAAGGTCCAAACATACGAGACTACACTAGTAACATACGAGAGGCAGGGTCTTATTAATGCCTGCCGTATGCACGAACGGCGGGGAACGGGATGATCCTTTTGTTATTATACCTATGTCAGTGGCGGGTTTTCGATCCAGATTAACTATAAGCTAGCTGAATCTTACATACATTGAACTTTTATGTAAGTAAGGTGTCGGGGCGTAAAACTGTATTGGATTGATCGTATGGATATAGCTGAGACCAGGTAATAAGGCTTACTGTGCATTACCTAAGTATTTCGGTACCTCGGTGTCCCGCATTCACCCCGCCTACCTGGCTTTTCCCATTGGCCGAAACCACTATTTCTTACCTAAAGCGGAACTTCCACGTGTTGTACCACACCTAGCTCCGCCTGCGAGGCATCGTATGTTATTAGAGTCCTGTAGGTTACTAGCCTTACGGCTTGGATGCCGTCAGGGACGGATGCGAAAATCCGATGTAAGAGACCGATGTCTATTAGCGGTGTATCCCGCGTCAGTTGGTGAACTATATGCCGTATTGCTTAACGCCGGTGTTCTACGCCGATATTCTATGCCGATAGTCCCCATTAGGAAGTGTTTTTGAGATGCTATAGCCTACAGAAGTCGACATCGTAAGATTTACGCAAATCATAAAGTCTGACTTAAGCACGAGCAGTACGCGTTTCGAACCTCTTACTAATTGTAATACCAAATATATTCCATAGCCAAGCAGACCAGACATTCATGGCTCTCCGACCCCGCTCGTAAAGCCGGTCGTTATTCTAAACGGCTACCGGCATTAGACTACGGCTGCCTGATTTATTGAGACAAGGATAATAGGTGGGCTTAAAAATGTATATGTATAAATGCTTGGAGGGTAAATATTTGAATATCATGTTGTATAAGATGGTGGGTAATACTGTTTGGCTTATACCATAGCTGTCCGCCTATATAAGGGGTATACTGGCTTATAGACAACTTCTCATTCCCGCGTATGCTTATTTAAACACTTGGGTGGTTATGATGATGAACTGATTCATTTGGTGGCGGTGTTGCAGCTCGTAATATCGCAAGGTTTCTGTGAGTATACTGTTTTATTATTTACTTTCAAGTCAAAAAGTTGATAGATTAACCGAATACTTACTCAAGGTACGTTAGCACCTTTGTCATCAAAGAAATTACGAGTATGAGAAAGTTAATCTAGTACTAGTAGTTTATGCAAGCTTGAAATGTTATTTTCTTGCTTGAAAGCTCTCAAGGAGGGTTTGATATATTATCGGCTTATTCTAATAAATAAAAATCCTTCATATTCTAGAGTAAGTTCACGTTCAACACTATCTTCTAAAACTATATCAACACTACTGAATACCTACGTACATGTATCTATGTCTGACTCTTAGCTTTAGCTTATAATACAGTTCGCTAACTATAGCTAATCCTCTTGTCTATGTTTTGATATATTATGTGGTCATATTTATGGTAGGGCTTTCGGGGTTGAAAAAGACTTCCAAAGTGATCCTTAGTTAGTCCACCGTCTCTTTGCGCGTAGCATAAGAGCCACGCTCTCAAGTACTAGACAATGTGAAAATCGAGCAAGCACTATTTTAAGGACGAAAACCTTTTCGTTATAATATGAAAATCATAATTTCGTTACGATTTTAAATTGCTTATTTACATATAAAAATAGTAATATATTTAATTGTATCGTATATGCGATAAAAAAAAATCTACGTAATTAACTTTATAATTACGTATATAATTAATAAAATTTATAAAATAACGATATATAAAGTGGTTATTTATATATAAAATTAATATTTTTAATATAAAAAGATATTTTTTTATATTTTTCGTTATTTTCGGCGGCTTTTCCCGGGGGGCGTTTATAACGGGTTATTATTTATAATAAACCTTTTTATTTTATAATTTATAATACGTAATTTAATTTATTTATTAAAGCCTTGTTATTAAACATTTTAAAGGAATTTTATTAAAGTAAAAGTAAAACTTATAATATTACTTTTTAAATAACGGAATAAAAGATTTATAATGTTAAAAAAAGTTAAAAAAAAAGATATAAAAAGAAAAAATAATCGAGTAATTAAAAAAAAAAAAATGTTTTATATATAATTAATTGTAAAAAATAAAATAAGTAAATTAATTACGTGGTATAAAAAGTAAATTAATAACGTATATTTAATAATGGTTTATTAATAATTTTATACAAAGTTTTATAATAATAAATAAATAAAGTTTATAATATTATGTTTTTAATAATAAATTAAAATTATATAATGTTAAAAAAAGCTTAAAAAAGTATAAAAAAAAATATATATTTAATAGTTTTTTTTAAAACCGTATAATTATAATAAACTTTTTATAATAGTTTAAAAATAAAGTTTACGATATTATAATATTAATAAATAAATAATATAAATATAATATTAAATAAAAAAAAGTAAAAAAAAAGAAAAAAAAATTAAATGTTAAAAATAAAGTTATAATATATATAAATTATTAATTAAATTAATAAATAAGTTAATTAAAAATTAAATTAATAAATTAATAAATAAGTTTATTAAAAATTAAATTAATAAAAATAAAACTTATAATATTATAATATTAATAAATAAATAATGTATATATAATAATAAAAAATTAAATTAATAAATAAGTTAATTAATTAAATTAATATACGAATTAATTAAAAGTTAAATTAATAAAAATAAAACTTACGATATTATAATATTAATAAATAAACGATGTATATATAATAATAAATAAAAAAATGTAAAAAGAAAAAAAAGTTAAAATGTTAAAAAAGTAATTATTATATATATAAGTTATTAAAATTAAATTAATAAATAAGTTTATTAAAAATTAAATTAATAAATTAATAAATGAGTTAATTAAAAATTAAATTAATAAAAGTAAAATTTACGATATTACGTTATTAATAAATAAATAATACGTGTGTAATAATAAAGTAAAAATTATATTAAATAAAAAAGTTCGAATTTCGAAAAAAAAGTGATGTTATATATATAAAAAAAAAATTACGTTAAACTTATTTTTTATTAAAAAAGTTTAAAAATTAAAGTTAATGTTTTAAATAATATTAATTTAAAGTTATATTTAATTTAATTAATTAATTTATTAAGTTATAATTAAATTATAAATTTAAGGCTTTTAATAAAATGCGTGCGTTTTATTTAATTAATTAAATTTTTATAACCGATTTTTTTTTTTATTATTAAAACGTTTTAACGTATTTTTTTAAAATTTAACTTAATTACGATAATTTTTTATTAATCGATTAACGTAACGTTTTACCATTAATTTATATTTTTATATATAAAAAGTATTTATTAATTATATGTTTTATTTTATTAATTTTATTATTAATTTACGTATATTTATTTTTTATTAATTTTATTATTAACATCGTTTATTAATTTAATTAAATGTATTTTTACTTACTTTTATAATAATTAATTTAATTAATTAAAAGTTTATTTTATTAATTTTATTATTATATGGTTTATATTTATTGAAATTTAAGCCTTCCCCCCCCCGGTTAAAATTTAAAAGCGAAAACTTTCCTCCGAAAACATGTGACGTAAGCAAGCAAAAGGAAAGTTTTCTTAATGAATTAGATACCATACGTACATTAGGTACCCAGGTACGGTAGTATGTGTGTAGGTAAGCAGCTTCTGCTTACTTGGAGAGTTGAGGTACCTAATGCATAGGTACATGTACATCTCGTTTGATGCATGGCTTATGGCTCGCAGCTCGATAAGGTTTTGTGGGGTAGAATCACATGCACTGTATGGATTTTTCCGTCCACCCAGATGACTGGGAACTACGAAGGTACAAAGCCCAAAAAAAAAGCTGCCGCCCCTCAACAAATCCAACTCTGTCCACATGCAGTTGGCCAAGTTGTCGGTGAGAAAATACATCCACTACCTAGAAATATTCTGCCGCAATTTTCCCCGTATCCCTTCTACCTAGGCATAGGTACTACGACGGGATAAGAATGGACTTGTGACTATGAAAGTAACAGTGACCGAAAATACAACCATACCTCGACCTCGACTCCTGTCACAAGTGTCTAGGTAGTATAAATCTATCACTTGACTCTTGACCCTTCTTTATCAGCTTGCTACGACTACTTTCGACCTCTCCTCGCGACGGGTTCGCCGTTGTCCCCGGACAGCATGTCCTTCTCCTCGATCCTAAGTTACTTTCTCGGGGGTTACTTCGCCCTCGTCATCTCGCTATTCATGCTTTCAGCCGTCGTCCCCGTAGCAGGCTTTGCCGCCCGCACGTTATCCGCCTACATCTCGGTATTAATATGCGCCACCTATGGAGTAATTGCTTCAATATTCCTCCGAATAGTCGGTCGCGTACAGATTGCGCAGTGGACAACGGCACGTGCTTTTAAATATGTTATGGCAATTGCCGTAGGTATCACGTTCGAAATTGACGATCCGAAGCGACATCTCGATACCGTTCGACCAGCCGTGTTTATCGGGAATCACCAGAGTGAACTGGATGTCCTTATGCTTGGGTGCATATTCCCAAAATACTGCAGTGTAACTGCTAAGAAAGCGTTGAAATACGTGCCGTTCCTAGGATGGTACATGGCATTGAGCGGCACAGTCTTCATTGATAGGAAGAACTCGAAGGACGCAAGACAGGCAATGGCTGGTGCTGCTAAGGAAATCCAAACTCGAAAACAGAGCGTATACATATTCCCCGAGGGCACCCGTAGTTACGCAAAAGACCCCGGTCTTTTGCCCTTCAAGAAAGGTGCTTTCCACCTTGCTGTCCAGGCCGGTGTACCTATCGTCCCCGTAGTAGTGGCCAACTACTCGCACGTGCTCTACATCAAGGATTTTATATTTAGATCTGGAAAGATTCCCGTGAAAGGTAAAATCCTACTTTCGATTACTTAGAAACAATTATTGACGTATATCAGTTCTCGATCCAATTCCTACAACTGGATTAAAAACCGAGGATGTCGACGAGCTAACTCGTAGCACCCGGGAGCTCATGTTAAAGGAGATAGTAGCATTGACTCATAAGGCTCAAAATAGACCCATCGCCGTATCTGCTACGAGCGGCGACGGTGTCGTGCATGCTAGTGGAGCTGACGCTACGCTGTCATGAGAGTAAACGACCCCCATCAAAGCTCTACGACACTGCATGCATGTTGTTTACATGCGCGGTTCACCCAGTATAGCTCAATACTCTCTGCTTCAGTTGCATTACTATAGCTATTCCTGGATGTCTATCATATTTAGAGGCATCACTCGGAGTACGAAGAGTGCATACGCATTGATACCCCTATAGATTAGGTCATATAACTAGGCGCATAACGGATGCATAATTAAAGACGATGGTCTTGAGAAGACGCCAACGAGCCCCGGCAGTGTTACTTGGCAATGCTCATAGTAAGGCTTATATTTATAACCTTACAATTCAGACTAAATCGGAGCTTGAAGTCTAAGGAAGAGTAGCGACTTAGGGTATAATTTTAGTATACGGCAGAGCTATCATCTACCGAATAAGTGTTCAAATATTCAAATATCAGCAAACTCCCAAGAAATAGAGACTACAGGACGACATGCCTTAATGCCTCGGTATGCATTTGCTTTAATATGAACACATGCCACCCTATCAGTGATGATTTATCGGATGGATGAGTGCTCGGCTAGTATGTTGCTAATCCTGACATGTGCGCTCTCCTATGCCTCGTGAGTGGACAGTTTGTAGATACGGAGGTTGTCAACCTATATGTCTCTGCCCCTGGTATCTATATAGCTTCATCTATACCAGCTACCTACCGATTGACTATGCCGAGATGTAGTTCTTGACAGGTCTAATTTCATTGGATTTCATCATAAAATCGCGCGGTTCTGGCTAGACGCAAATCCTTCATTTCCTTGGCACAGCGTGGCTTAGCATGCGAATCTATCAGATCATCCCCCACAACGACTTGCATAGATACATCACGATCCCTACATCATATATGACGTTTAGTTAGTGTTTGTAAGACACTTGCATAGTATCTACCCATAGGGGAGCATCAGCACTGCAGCAGCAGGCTTATCCAGCGCGCGCCAAACCTGCAAGCTCTGTGATCTACTCAGCTACCTTGCCTAAACGGGAAATATTGGAAGATCAACACGATCTAGAAGCTAGAGGACGCAAGACATCTTGTAGCAAGGTAATACCTATTACCATGCCACGAGGGGATGACGAATCGGTCTAGCAAGCTAGACTACATCTCATACGAGCAAATTTGCTAATATTACTGGTCAATTTCTCCCAGAGAACTGGTTTATGACATGCAGTTGCGCTCGTAAATAATGCAAGAAGCTGAAATGGGCTGCCTCAGACTAGAAAACACCAATACTAACAGGCAATACCCAGGTCTGAAGTCCCCGAATTCACCGGGGCAGCTGAAGATATCCACCATGGCGCGCTCGCCTTCGCCGAACTTATACGTAGCTCTTTGATCTATTGGCAGATTACCAGTGACGTTACGCCTCGTAGCTCCGAGACGAGCTCCCTCCAAGAGCTCCCCCCTCGTTTGGATAGGGAGGGAGCTTGCTCTTTAAGAACCTATCGTATATAACACCCCCCTCTCTTTCGCCTTTGTTCGCACCTGAGTAGACTCTATCCTCAGCATCATATCTATACATTCCTCCATATCAATCGATATACTAGCCATCAATATGTCTTACAACGACAGCAACAATAGTGTAAGCATATTCTGCGATTCTTGCTATACAGCAACTGACATAATATAGTCGAGCTACGACCGCAACGACGACTACGTATGTAGCATACATAGTTTCTAACGTTTTCCCATTGTATCTAACCTTTTAATTGTAGTCCTCTCGCAACGAGGGAGGGTACGGGTCTAGTCGTAATGACAATACTACCTACGGTGGTAACGAGCGATCAGATGATTCCTATGGATCAAGCAACACCTACGGGTCCTCAAACCGTCAGGACAATGCCAACTCATATGGTTCAAGCCGTGACAACGATAATAGCTACGGCTCCTCAAACTCATACGGTTCCAGTGACAACACATACGGCTCGAGCAACACTCGCCGGGACGACGATGATAATATTGGTTCTTCCCGCAATAATGACAGCTATGGTTCGGATAGCAATCCTCGAGACAATGACGATAACTCTTACGGCTCTAGCCGGAACAACAATAGCTATGGCTCAAACGACAACGACAACTCGTATGGGTCTAGCAAGAATAACACCAGCAGCTACGGCTCAAATGATAACTCCTATGGGTCGGGTAACAACACCAGCTCCTACGGATCATCCCGAGACAATGATAGCTATGGCTCTTCTAACCGTCGCAATAACGACGACGATAATGACACTTACGGATCTCGTAACACTGGTTCCAACAGTTATGGTTCGAGCGACCGTGACAATCAGAACTCCTATGGCAGCTCTTCTTACGGTGCTCGTGACAATAACTCGGGGAGCTATGGAGATGACGATGACGCCTCCGGCCGCAAAGGAGATAGCACTGCTGGAAAGCTGCTGGAGAGTAAGTCTGGCTCCTATTTCTAACTTCTATTTCCATTCTTGGAATTATCTACCCCATTCCAACTGTTGATATTTTATCGTCATGGTTTGGTCATCATATACTAATTCGACCACAGAGGCTGGTTCAGTCCTCGGCAGTGACCGCCTAGGGGAAAAGGGTCGCGAGAAGCGTGAGGGAGCTGGATATGGGGACAACGATGGCTACTAAGTAGGTAGTCAGCAGAGTTCTGAGATATATCGAGATTGAAATATCTTTAGCAATCCCTCTCTATCTACTAATTTGACATATGCCTCAAATCGGGTTCTATATTAGTTTATAACAGAAAACCAAAGACCATAGATGCCAACATAGTCATTTAAGGAATGCAACTTCGCGGTTATTATGAATTAAGAAGCTATGTGGCCTAGCAGGTTATCGGCGTCATGCAAATTCGTACTTTTCAACAGACTTAATCTATAGCAAGCTAGCTAGCCTGGCTATGAAACCACCAGCATTGAAACATCACAGGGGATGTAATTCACAGGTTAGGTATCAAGCCTTTTTTACCTCCTTTTCCTTCGCGAGGGAGGTTCCAACGATTGCACTATGATACATGAGGTGAATGGGGGACATTAAGAAGCCTCTCCGGCTTTGAAAAAAAAAAACCAAACGCAAGATCAAATGCACTTTGCACATAACTTGTCGAAGACATGCTGTCGACTGCATTAATGGACATCCCGTCCTGCAAAAGGTCTATTCGGATCATTCGAAAGCTGCACTATTAGACAACCGTACTTTTCCCTATCCTATATTATAGTTAGTATGTAATTCCAAGGCTTCCCTGAAAATCACATGGTACTTACCATCAACCGCCCTGCAAATATTGGCAAGCCGAAGGCGGGGAAATAGTAGTTCAGGCACTGAGACGGCGGAAGCACTACTGGAAACTAGTTAGGCTGTTCAATCTTAACACCGGACTCCTCAATCTTGACGGGCTGCTGCGCCTGTTGGCAAGGTATTTTCTTGACCCCCTCAAGGATCTTGTCAACAGCCAACTGGAACTCAATATGCTGAACACAGTATTTGTTCCACTCCTGCACTTGATCATCAACCACCGTGAAGTGGTTAAGCCAGAACTTCATAAAGAGCTGTACGCTATAGATGAGGCCCGAATAGGTGTCCCAAAGCTCCTCGAGGCTGCCGTTGGGGCCGTAGCCAACAATATCGAAGATCCTACGGAGAGCTTCGTCGACGGCGTCGTTCACCTCCTGGATTTCCATGCGGAACTTCATACGCTGATCCGGAGTCAATGTTTCGTTGGGGTCCTCTGTCATGATCATAGATCGAAAACACTCGTACTTGGCATCTCGTCGTGCCATTGCTAGGCGTACCTGAAGCACCGCTTCGTCGATCACGGCTTGATCAGGCGGAGAATTAGCCGGCGGGGCAAAGACCGGAACAGGGACCAGGGATGGGGTTGGGGCAGGCATGGCAAGGGGTGCCGGGACTTGAGCCGGGACCGGAGCCTGGACCGGGACGGGGACTTGAGCTGGGACTAGAACGGGGACTTGAGCTGCAGCTGAAGTGGGAACTGCAGGAGGACCGGCAGGCTGAACAATGCTGAGATTGTATAGATGGATCTTTTTCTGCTTCATGCGAAGATGACGCTTCAAGCCGCCATCATACTTATAAGAGTGAGGAAAATTGTACGGGTTGCAGTTCGGCCAATGACACCAAAATTCGTTATCCCTATACCCACCGCCGCTCATCATATTGCAGCGGAGCAGCTCCTGGAGCATGGCGTGATCATCTTCTTCGGCGAGAACTAGGCTGGAGCCCGGGAAATAGCATTTAACGCCCAAGTGACTCTTCTCCAGGTGTTCATCCAAGGATCGTGAAGTGTACAGGTGCTGGCAATGGGGGCACGGCTGACGGGGGGGACTACCCTCCTGTCCTGGGACTGAAGACATCTTGACGTGCTGGGCAGCTTTGTGCTTAAAAGAATCTTGACAAGCCAGCTATCGCCTAGGTCGACGTTCGACTTGTTTGATGACAATAGACGGAGAGCACGAGGTTGGCTCTCAAAGCCTGTGCTGAAGAGGGTGGTGCTCGGAGAAAGAAACCTAGTTTTCACGGCGCGTCGTGAGGAATTTATTTACCTTAAGATAGGTGCCTATCTACAACGCCGCTATCTACAACGTCGCTATCTACAACGTCGTTGCCGGTTGCCCAAAGATGGCATCTGGCAATGTCGAGTATGGACTTTCGCGACTGCTGTGACTACGGCGACTGCTGTGGCAGGAACGTACTTGAGGTGGATACACTGTGAAAGAAAAAGCCTAGATTGTTTGATACAATGCCAATGTTAGTTAGCAGCTGTCAAGATCAAGGTCATTGTTTGTTCCGTCTATCTTAGGTACAAGGTTATTATATATACTGTTACTTTAGGTAGGTACCTAAGTATCCTAATGCTTTTAGCTTCAGGCAATTTGGTCTTGCCTGGTATGTAGCAGCAATAATATCTAATTGTGTAAGGAACATTAACTGTGGCTTGGTTTCTTCATGTTGTTATTCAGGGGTTCAAGGAGCATTAAGGAAGTAAGTTTTGAGACCCTACTCGATGTATGTTCTCGTCATAGCGGACATTGATAGCAAATGGGATTGAAAAATGAATTAATTACTAAGGTATCAATAATAAAGATCTTATAGTCTTATCCTACCATCACCTCCGAACCATCGACGTATGTCTGAGTCACTCCGTCCTGCTCTATTACTACTCTCGCCAGCTTCGTCATTACCACCCATCCATTTCGGCTTCTTGAACCCATCTCCAATGTCCTGGATCCACTTTGGAGTATCTATAGTATCAAACGTGTTTTTAAATCGATGTCCTAGGCTTGTGAAGAAGTTATCATCCTCAGGCTCCGAGTTGTCAATGTCGGGCCGAGAGAGTCGCCCTGGCCTTCTAGCAGGCTCATCGTGATATGATGGTGATGTAGCAAAAGGTGTTCTAGTACCCTCAGCTCTGGCTGCCGGCAGTGTCAAGATAGGAGCGGCACGTCGTTGACCATTGGCAGACCTAGATGCAGCCTCATCTAACCTTCGCGAGATCGATGTCCCGTTTAGCTCCCGCTCTATTAGCTCTCTTCCCTCGCGCCATGAGCCGCTACCATAGCTAGGTTGATCTTCTTCGTCCACGATGTCAACACCAAATCCAAAGAGTCGCCTCACCTTACCGTATAATCCAAACAAGGTAGCGCACACCGGGACGAGAACAAAAATAGGGAATAGGTAGTCGAACCATTTCCCAAGAGGAGTAAGGTCGACGTATTGTCCTAGGATACTATAGAAGGTGGTCTCCTCGTATATCGACCGAGACAAGAACGTGACAAAATTGTAGGATAGCGGGACACTGAGCCTTGCGACCTGGCCCGCGTACCAAAATGCCGATTCGTGGGCAGTATTGCGACGAACTAAAGCGCGGCCGCGCCATACTTTGACTTCGGTTACAGAATGAAGAGCTGCGGCGCACATGTACATTATCCAAAGTGCTGCGATAACTTGACCTGCGAAACCAATACGACCGCTGTCACCCGTCCAATGATGGACCACAGTAAACCGGATGACTGATAATGACGGTAGAGCTGCTTTTACTAACTCGGACCATATAATACAAGCTGATGCCAGCGCAAGGAAGCCGCCAAGGATAATACGGAGACAAGGTAAAATGTGGAAGTAAAGAATATACCGTGTATAGGGAGTGAGTACGGTAGTCTTTTCCCAGAACGAGGAGCCCGGTGAACTTCTTCCGAAGTCCAGTTTCTTTGAGGCTGCAGAATCCAGTATCGCTTGCGTTTTTGAAGCGTCGCGAAGTAAGCGATCCCACTCATCGACATATCGCGACTTAGTATGTCTCGCCCGGGTCAGTTGGCGTGTGAGGTCCGCCAAGTATTTCTCCGTGATGACTGTCGGGGTTATGCGAGAGTCATTATCTGCTCGAGGGAGAACGTTTCTAGGTCTAGACTCGGGAATATTGCATATATCTGACAACTCCTCGATCCAGTCTTGGAAATCCCTGGCGCTTCCGGTTTTACGCTTGCTTAATTCTGACACTTGGACCTCCAGATCTTCTAAATTAAGGATGGCATCCTCCATCTTTTCGTAGAGCTTCGGCGCATGGCTCTGAAGCCGGCGTAATCGGTGACTAGCACTTGCATCCTGGAATAAATTTCGGGGAATTGCAACAAGTCCGTGGCCCATGAGGTATATGGCTAAAATCAAACCCCAGCAATAAGCCAAGGCTAATATCAAGCCTTTTAGCGATATGAATGAAGGGCCATATGATATAAAGAAATATATAAGTCCAAGTACGGCCGAGCCAAATACGAGTGCGTAGTACTGAGCGTTCGATCGTAGCGAGTAGAGTAACCGGTCTTTCGGTTCGCGGTAACCAGCGTCTGAATATTCGGCAAGTATTGGGAGTATGAACCTGGATGAATATTTCGTCAGCAAGAGGGTCTAGACAACTCCAAATGTGATGCGACTAAATATTACCAAGTCAGGACAAATGTTAGCCAATATGAGATCCTCCACGACACGAGCAGTGCCCTAGGGGGTAGCCAAATGCCTCTCGTTGCTTCATCATCGGTACTGGCGTTCGATGCTAAGTCAATAGGGACTAATAACACAATACTCGCAGGTAGCCATAGTGCAAAGAAGACGGGCACTAGTAGATAAGCTGGTGTTGTTCGTAGTGGGAGGTAATGCCGTTGGATCAGGAGAACGATAAGGGAGAGAACAAGAAGCGCAATAAGCGCAAATATTTCAGAAGGTACCGGCGACTGACTGCTCGACATCTGTAGCATCCTGAAGACCTAAGAATGCTCTAAATGCCCCATGGGAGTGGGTTTTGAGCCAAGTTGAATAGAATTGTAGATGTCAGGAACGCGGCTTTGACGGAATGATAGGTGCATTATTAGTTGCATCTTTTGGACTGGCGCTGACGTCGGGCTTTACTTGTATGGACATGGCTTATGCTCAGATTGCAAGGATCAATGCGTGGGCCCGCCTTTATTGGATGCGGCTAAAATTATATTTGCATGGTCCCACTGGAAGATTGGAAGATCATGATCTTGTGGCGTTCCATGTATTTATGATGTGGCTGCACATTTTACTAGGTACCTACTCGTACCAATGGATCTATTTTCAACTTTACCTAAGAGGCTAAGAGGGATTAGGTACTCTACATACCGAGAACTAAGCAGGGGTAGCTCAGTGAAACAAGCTGGCCACTTCAGGAAAGCGAACCCCGGATTTATTTTCGCACGGCTGAGGAGAGGCCAGCTATCATTGTGTGTAGAAATCGTCTAGAAACCATTGATTTCTCACACGATCAATTTTATCGCCATACGTCCCCTTTTCGCCGCATTAGGTCGCACTCCAACCTTCCTTTTCTATTTGTCCTCTTTTCGCTTCTGCTTGCATATTATTGCTATTTTATTTTTCGGATCACATCTCGCCTCCCGCCTCTCGAGTACCGAGCCCGACAATGTGGTTTCCAGCGCTGTCAGCCCTATGGCTGGCGGCTACGGCTTGGGGTGCTGTAGGTCGCGACGAAGACGGCAATATTAGGACTATATCTGTAAGCCCTGCGCGCGTTAGTTAGGCTGTTTAGGCTGCTGCTGACGAGTCGTTTGTCTTGCAGCTTCGGACCCATACGTTGAAGCAGCCCTACTTGGATTCCGAGATGCAAAGTCGGTGGTACGATTTTGGAGGCGATACAATAGTTCGAACAGATTCGTAGGTTACTACCTAATACTTGATAAACAAGACACACCTTTTAATTTCTACTTGATAGGTATATCCGTCTGACTTCGGATCGCCCGTCGCAAAATGGATGGTTATTTTCTCGAGTACCTATGACCGCTACGAATTGGGAAATCACTGTTGAATTCAAGATCCACGGGAAGAACCAATTGTACGGCGATGGCTTCGCGATGTGGCTTACGAAGGAGCGAGGACAGATCGGACCGGTTTTTGGACATGCGGACAACTTTGAAGGTCTTGGCGTTTTCATTGACACCTACAAGAATAACCGACCCGGCGTCGTTTTCCCGTATGTAATGGCGATGGTCGGTGATGGCAAAACAACATATAACAAGGATAATGACGGGAAGGACACTGAATTTGCTGGCTGCTCTGCCCGAGGCATTCGAAACGCGAACGTTCCTACTAAACTGAAACTCACCTACTTTCAGGACAAGTCATTAAAGTTAGAACTTCAGTACCAGTCCGAAGATGAATGGAAGCTGTGTTTCGAGACGAACGAACCCCCAGCGATACCTGCTGTCACGTACCTTGGATTCAGCGCCGAGACGGGCGAGTTGAGCGACAACCATGATATCATCTCTATCGATGCGAAGAATCTTTATGTGACCGGAGGCTCAGCTAGCAAGCCTACACCTGGCAAAGGAAGTGTTAAATCGTCCCAGCCGAAGGAAAGCGGCGGTAGCAGCTGGACCTGGTTCTTCTTCAAATTTATCGCCTTTGGATTAGCCGTTGGTGGAGCGTACGTTGGCTTCACGGCATACCGAGCGAACAAGAAGAGGAGCCATCGATTTTGAAGAGTGAATAAAGGTGTCCGAAGCTAGGAGGTAGAGATAATGCCAAGAACGACAGGCGTACATATCATCAGCATATGACAGTGCAAAGCAATGGGCTTTCTACGAAGCCTCATGGGTTCTTTATGTCTTATAGGGTTGGCGGGCGTCGACTGGCAATGTAAAACTATGGAGTAGCGCACAATACAGAAGAAATTACGAATTTCATTCCAATACCTATTTCCGGGTCGGATTTGGCCAGCTAAAGTGTAACACAAGATGGAGATTTTTCTTCTTTATTTTGACAGGTGGCTTTAGCCATCTGTAGCACGGAGTGTAACTGTCTGGACAATGGCTTTGTTCATGATAGTCTCGTTTGGTTCTTTTGCTCGAGGTATACCTCTCTATGATCACGAAAGGGAATACTGCTACCAACACCCTCCGTTATACTACTATATATGAGTAACGTAGGGTTGCACTGCGTGTTATTCTACACCACATAACTGCCAAGACGTCATCGGCGATGCTCATCCGATGCTAGAGATATTATTAAGACGTAGACACCAGAGTGTCTCGCCTAGGTACCTTTTGTATGCACATACGTCCATACTTGAGGTATTTATATATCTAACTAGTTAGTGCAACCAGCATCGATTAATTATTATAAGCTACTATTCCGTATATACACTTATACAAGCAGTTAGTTATACCAATTGCTTCGGGGATATAAAAATTACCCCACGTCGATACGTACCAGTGTATACATCCATTTATGTACCTAACCTAGACAGACGTACATATTCGATTTAAGCGATTTATTAATATTATTTATCTGTCCTTTCATGCCACCTCACGTCTATGTAATACAGCATCTTTAACACTATAAACGCTTATCTATCGATGTAATGTAAAGTTTCTAAAAAAAGGAAAGGAAGGAAAAGAACAAGATTATGACCTAGTTTCATTCAACTGTACTAATAGCAATGCTACCTACTGCTTAGGATCTTACTAACCGCTAGTTCCCCCATATGGGACAGACCCCTTTTGTAGGACAGGTTTACACCAAAACCACTACCTTTTCAACCACGAATAATAGTACGTATTTTGATGCTATAGACTTATAATAAGATTTATTTGGTAGGTAATTGATTGGCGTTTAAGGCTATATACGTTAAATTAAATAAAAAAAAAATATTTATGGCGCAATTGCAATGAGTATAGCCCATTATCAACGGTACATCGTTTCCACATACAAATTAGGTACGAAATTAAGTATTTTTAATAAAACAGTAAAACTGCCGCATCATAATAAGGAATGCTTAAATATTAAACCTAAGACATGCAATAGGATGCCCGAGATCCCTTGTACAAGTTGTGTATATCTCGTAATCATGAGACCTTTCGTTGTTAAGGTATTCGAGTGCGAAGATAGCCTCATACTAATATAATATAATCTAGTATGAGGCTATCTTCGCACTCGAATACAACACCCCCTAATTTAATTACAGCTACAAGGTCTCGTATATAAGTAAAGACTGATCATACTAAGCCTTTTATTATAAAAGATTTAAATATGTAATCGTTTTAAATTATTAATTGTAAGTAATCCATATCAGGAAAGTTACATAATTTTACACCTAATTTGTATGGTGGGGTAATGTATCTTTTATTTTTAAGATTCAACTATTAATTGTATCTCAACTATTGCCTCAACCCCAATCTTATATATATAATCATGAACGCAAATCAATTATCTACCAAATGAATCTAATCCCGAGTCTATAGAATCAATAGGCGTGATGTTATTCAAAGTTGAAAAGGTAGTGGTTTTGGTGTAAACCTGTCCTATAAAGGGGGTCTGTCCTAAATGGGGGAAATGGCGGTTAGGTATCTAGTTCCGATCTTAGAACCCCCCCCTCATTTTCACTCACTTTCCAGTCCACTATTATAAAAGATCTACGTAATGTCCACATGAGATTCTCTCAAGATTCAACCCGAAGCCCGACTGGGTATTCTGTTAGATGTTAGGGCTACCGGGGAGATGCGGCCTTTTCCCCTTGGGCTTCAAAAGCTTCTAGCCAATACTCTAGCCAGTCTGCTGGTTATTTTCAGGTCGTCACAATCTTTAATCATTATCAACCCCGCTTGTCACATTGGTGATTGGCACAAGGTACAATACCTACTGTAGGTAGGAAGACAAGTTTGAGAAGAAGGAAAGGGAAACGGACCCCACCCCATCGATCCTCCTCTTAGTTAGGCTACTCTTAGTGGCTTAGCATAATCCTTTCCCACGCCCTCGCCGGCTTCCTCGTCTGAAGAATCCCACGGTTTTATAGCTTCCGCCTAGAGATTTTGTCACGAACCGCTAAACCTCTTCCAAGTGTATAGAGGTATCTATATGCATTCCTACATGTAGTAGGCTATATGGGCTTGTGTTACTATTGTACAGCATTTTATTTACCATCTCCTTACCTAAAGTTCATATACTCTTTTTTTTTCTCTTCTTTTTAATTTCTTCCCTACATTAGCTACCTATATGTATAAGCGATACCTATAGGTAGGTAGGTACATGATCTGCCTAACCCCTAACATTACCTAAACCTAGGATTACTCAAATTCGCATATCTTCGCACGAAGCAGGCGCTGTACTTGTGCATACTTAGCGTCCACAGGCTAGGTCTTTACCTACCTAGGCTAGTAGGGTAGGTATTGTACTTCTTTACTTTACAAGTGCTTCCCCTAGTCCCCCCGCTTGTCTTGCCGTCATCCAGCCCACTTTGCTGTCGCCTCTTCGGGTCTTTCTTTTCGGGTCTCCTCTTGCTACCAAGATTCAAGGACTTACAGACTTACAGACTTACTACCTCCGTCCAAGTCCTCTACTTGCTTCCTTGCTTGCTTGTTGCGAAGTATTGTATCCCTCAATCCAATATTCTAAATTATAGATATCACTCCGTATCTCTTCAGGTCGTGGTTCCGAACGCCGAATCTTCCCAAGGGTCTAGCGCATCTCATTACATCGGTCCCGCGGTCATCTTTCTTGTGCAATCCTTCGGAGAAAGAGAACTTACGCTGCGCAAAAATTCGAATCATTCAATTGGCTCAATTGACCTCTTCATCTCTTTGTACCGGGACGACTTAGCTTCCATTCAGCTGTTAGAAAAGAACGAAGTTAGATTCCTGTTTTCAAAGCTATTCGTCTTATTACTAGGAAGATTAACATCTATCACAAAGTTACATGCTCAGAATAGCTAGCTACCCGTACCTTGAAACCTCCGCCGCCGTCAGCCTCCTTCGAACACCCTAGCCAAGGCGCGTTACGAATCATTCAGCTCCAAGGCCACCCCTTCTTGGCTATTCCTTCGCCTACCTACATGCCAACCTAAGCATCGCTATCTGGCAACTACTCTATACCTGTTAAAAAGATACTCGGTCGTGGACCATTGCGTCATCTGATATCGACAGCTAGCCTGTACCCAAGTCAGCCTTTGACAATATCACATTATCTTAACCTGTTCATCGTCACGAAGGGCCCGTCCCCTCACTTCGCTAAACATATCATATGCCGACGTTAGGATCGTTAGGATTTCTTAAGAAGAAGCGGACGAAAGAGGAGAAGCCAGAGCCTGCTTCCAGCCAGCCTACGAGTCCTGTTACACCAATCACCCCGACATCCTCGAGGACGTTCGGGTCGAGCTCCCTGACCAACGTCCCAACACATAGTACAACCGCGACAAGCATAGCTTCCCAATCGCAACCGACGACGCAAAATACTCAAGAAGCACCAGCTCCTGCTGGTGGGGGGTCACAAATGAATCCACCAGCAGCCCAAGCCGTTCCTTACGGGATCCAGTCTTCTCCGAGCCCCGCGCACACAGCAACACCACAAAATCTACCGAGTATCAACAACCTAATCAACCTACCGCAAAATGACGGTAAGGGATGACCATAGCTGTAGCTAAGTAATTTTCATCTAACATAAAAGCTAGGTCACCCCGGAGCGCCCCCAGCACAACATCCACAACATCCACAACACCAACAACACCAATCACAACCTTCCGAGGCTAGGGTAACGAAGGGAAAGTACTCGCTTACCGACTTCGATCTCCTCCGGACGCTTGGCACGGGAAGTTTTGGGCGTGTTCATTTGGTCCAGTCGAAACACAATCAACGATTTTACGCCATCAAGGTCTTAAAGAAGGCACAAGTTGTCAAGATGAAGCAGGTAGAACATACCAATGATGAACGGCGGATGCTCGCCGAGGTGAAACATCCATTCCTCATCACTCTATGGGGAACCTTTCAAGACCCGAAGAATCTATACATGGTTATGGATTTTGTTGAAGGTGGCGAGTTGTTCTCTTTGCTAAGGAAGTCGGGCGTACGTTAACCGCCATATTTTTGGGTGCTTAATGTTGCTAACTTTTACCAGCGATTTCCAAACCCGGTGGCTAAATTTTATGCCGCAGAAGTCACTCTCGCACTTGAATACCTACACTCAAGAAATATCATTTATAGGGATTTAAAGCCCGAAAATTTACTCCTGGACCGCCACGGGCACCTCAAAATAACAGATTTTGGCTTTGCCAAAAGGGTTCCGGATAAGACATGGACCTTGTGTGGGACTCCAGACTACTTAGCACCAGAAGTGGTTTCTAACAAGGGTTATAACAAATCGGTCGACTGGTGAGTTTTGGTTCACAGAAGCACTGTTGATAGGTCGGTTTCTCACGTGGTATTCATCATAGGTGGTCTCTGGGCATCTTAATCTACGAGATGCTTTGCGGCTACACACCATTTTGGGATAGCGGTTCGCCGATGAAAATCTACGAAAATATCCTAAGGGGCAAAGTCAAGTATCCGGCGTATGTCCATCCTGACGCTCAGAACTTACTAGAGCTTCTTATCACGCCAGATCTGACAAAGCGACTGGGTAACCTCTACGGAGGATCACAAGATGTGAAAACCCATCCGTGGTTCGCAGAGGTCACGTGGGATAGGCTATCAAGAAAAGATATTGATGCTCCATACACACCCCCGGTTAAGGCCGGTGCTGGTGACGCAAGCCAATTCGATAGGTACCCCGAAGAAACAGAGCAGTATGGCCAGCCGGGGAATGACGAGTAAGTCAAACGAATCGAATCGTGACAATATATATATATATATACGTGCTAACATCTGTAGGTATGGGTACATGTTCCCTGATTTCTGATAAGCTGGTGGACTTGTTCTATAAGTGAGTACTATTGGGCGAGGCGCATTGCAGGTTCTTAGATCAGGGCCTATCAGCTAGGCTAGACTTGGGCAAAGGTTCAATTTGTTGCTTTGTCTTTTGTGGACACCTTGAAAAGACGTGATAATAGTGGCTCTTATGGCGTAAAATCGTGTCGAACGCGATGGCACATACTTGGAAAGGGTGATGGGTGAGGCGCGCGACTTCGCATCTGGACGAGAAGTCGTGAGGTTGTCATTGGGCTCAAGGCGATTAAAAAGGGGGGGCCTAATATGGAATTGGGTGTCAACCTAGCCTTGGAAATTCTACATACGAACATTATAGGTTAAAAGACCGAAGACTCGAATGTCGTGGTTCGTAAAGACTACGTCGTTGTAGGTAGTATGGGAGAGTCAACCTTTGTATTATGCCACGAAGGTAGTAGATGATTCTATGAAGGTCGCGTTGTTGCCTACCACAAGGAATTTGCCATTTGGTATTGCAATATCCAATAACCATGGGAAAATGTTGTTCACCGGACACGTCGATGCGGAGACCCGCATGAGGCTCTGCTCACAGTTTTTTGTAAGAAGATTTCCCCAAAGCCAAGGTCTCCTTCTCCTTCTCCTTCCCCTCCCCCACCACACATTGTACCTTTTCGCCTCACAAATTCGATTCGTCTTATATTTAGGGCAAATAATACCGTCTATCTTATTACGAAAGATGGTAATGACTCCCGTAAAACATGTCGAATAAGACCTAGTGTACGTATTGACCTTTAAGGAAGAGACAACGCATCATTCTTATGTAGTGTACTTCGGTATGTATGCAACTATTATGTAGTAATTACTACCTAGGTCGGTTATGTAGTTAGGACGAAGAAAGTTTCAAAGTCCCAAAGTCCTAAAACTAAAATGGGACGGAAAATGGGACAGGGACGGAAGTTCGGAATACGGCCGCGACCCATAAATCCCCACCCAATCCCGTGTCGTGTCTCCACAACTTGTTACGATTTAGAATAAGCTTCTAACCTAACCTAGTCTACCCGCCTCTCCCTTATTTCTCCTTTAATCGTTAGCTTAAATTATTTTATCTGAAGAAGTTTGGGGGGTTTTTCGTTTTCTTGGGTTTCTTGGTTTTTCTTGCCCGTTGGACTCCGACCTGCAATCCCGAGACAACAGGACAAGTTCGGTCAAGCATCGCCTCACGACCCTCCGCATCGATTCGGGACTGCGCCTCGATCTGCTGCACGTCACAAGTTCATGAGTCCTATGGAAGCTTAATTGAAGATGCTTTGATGGATGCCGTGTTGCTCCGATAATTATTCTCGATATAGATCTATGCTTGTCTTTGCCCCCCCTTTGCTGTATCATAACGTAGTTTGCATCTCTTGACCGCTCGTCGACATGGACGACTATCTATTTCGCTGGCATCTGGACCAATGCAAATCTGTCGAGGAGAAAACGACTTATTTGGAGATCTTCAACTACTCGGTGTGTTTTACTCTACTGTTACTCTCAAGAATTTGCCAAGCTTTCATATACATTACCTAAGGCGTATATTTCATGAGCAGACTAGCACTAACTTCAACATTAGGATCCAGCTTATAATAGTTGTGAAGACCATTCTTTATACACGGAAGACGACTTTGAAAACTTCCTTCAACAAACTGTAAGTCAACCGTCTCATGCTAAATCTTACATTTCCTAGAAATACCGTGGTATATATTCTTTAGTCACTCACTCCACTTACCATGCCTCCCAAACTATTCATCTAGGAGTCATTAGCATTCTAGACTAACACATTAGTACTTCCAGGGCACGTTTTCTCCTCAGCCGCTAAAAGAGGGAGTGAAATTACAAGATGGAATCCGTCTAATGTGAGTGGGGAGTGACATTTCATGCCAAGAATAAGACTAAGAACTGCGTGATAGAGTTCAAAAAGATGCCAACCACGCCAATACATTTGCGCCTGATTATATATCTCTACAGCGATCTACTTATGAATCTATGGTGAGGGTACGTATACTATATATCCATCATTCGCAGTCCTGGTGATTTTTACTTTTGACTTGTATCTTGGACACCTATCATTTCCTATATTCATGTCTTGTAACCAGCAATCAACCCTTGGCCTACTTATCACTTAATAAGGTACTAATCATGAGTGATATAGAAATGGCGTCTTCCATTTCGAGCCATTGAGGGTAGCAGTATTGTTGGGCCCTTCTTTTGGTGTTCTCATGATCAAGATAGAGACGATCGCCATCTACGTAAGGATTCCTCTCAAAACCCCGTTATTTACCGAACTAGGCAAAGAACCGTATTCAGATAGTATATCTAACTTTTCTTAGAAATTATCTTCCGGAAATCTGACGTGCGCAAGAAAGGCAAGACTCGAGGATGGGAGATTAGTATGTTATTCTATACTTAGACTTATCTGCATCATTACCCTATCATGCATGGTTCCGACTCTGGATTCATGGAGCATAACTGATCATTACATTCGAGGTTTCTTGCAAGTTGCACGTACTAATTATGCTACTGCAGTGCTCTCATATTCATATAAAACGCGTATAACTTCGGGATTTGTCAAAGGCACTGAATCGTCAGATATTGTGAAGTCGCTAAAGCATTTGAGCGCCTGCCGAGCTGAAGTCGGCCACCCACTTCTTCTTCCAATCATCATTCTCTCTCACGATCTTTCATCCAAGGGTGACAAAAGACAACGTGATGCACGGGATTGGCTACGTCGTCTTGAGAATGCCATCACCATGCGGAACGAGATTGACCTGGCGGAAGTATATTCTGAATTTGATGTGGATGGCATCAATCGGGATCTTGTTGAATGCCATTCCCAGGTCCTCTGGAAGCGGCCGCAAGCATACCAAGAGATCATCAAAGAAATCAAGGAGGCTATGCGGAAGTTTATGGAATATGAGCCGGACGGAGGCCATACATACGAAGTCAGCGCTTTGAACGACAACATGCTAGCTAGACTAGATTTCTACCGAGTAAAACTCACGGGTATGGAACATTACATACACACGACGTTGGAAAGGTTACACATACAACGGCAAGCTGTAAGTTGGTTACATCCTATTAAACCATCACACGCTTTACTGACAGATGGCAAACAGTTGTATAACATCATGGCTCAGAAGGAATCCAAACTCAACCTCGAAATAGCCTCGCAACAGAGGAGAGTAGCACATGCTACTAAGCGAGACGGCACCGCTATGAAGACACTGTCTCTTCTTGGTGCTGTGTTCCTCCCTGGGACGTTTATGGCGTCCGTCTTCAGCATGACTTTCTTTGATTTCAAAGTCGGTAAGTAGTTAATTTTCACCTAGCCTCCTAACCCTTTTCTTAGGGTCGACGGGTCCCTAGCGACTAGACTTGAATGCTTACTTCTCTAGGGCCGGACAGCGGTGGCTCCTCGGGGGGCTCAGAGGTTTCGAGTGAGCTATGGGTGTACTTCGCCGTCACAGTACCATTGACGTTTTTGATCGTGCTAGTTTGGTGGATTATAGATCATAGGCGCGAGAGAAAGTACGCCGAAGAGGATATCGAAATCGAGAAAGGTATCGATACTATGGAAAAGGATATCTTGGCTATCATGCGCAAGAAGACCATTAATAAGGCCTCCACATGGAACTCTTCCGGGACACCTGCGGCGACGGCGCTAGCGACAAGAGAAAAGCTCATGGCATTGAAAGCACGCGACCAGTCCGTTGAATTGATTTGATAGATGCTCGAGATTTGGTACGGTCGAAGCCAAGGGTGGCCCCTACGCTAATTTTCCGGTTCATCAGTCCGGCAAGAAGGCCAGCGTTGTTGATTTTTTTTTGAACATTCACTTTTTCTTTTGCCGATAGACCTGACGACGCCACGGTTTTACGACTATTTACGAAAGTATATATCCGTAGGATAAAGACTGCCTACTTTAATGCTTCTTCGATAAAGATTCACGACATAGCGTACATATATTGATTAATAGATGAACATTGCGGCCGCAAGATTCGGCGTCTTCATACTTCCACATGTATATGTAGGTACCTACATACATATCTGCTTTGGTCACAAAGGAACCCCCTATTTCAATTCTGAAATCAGAGTTTTGCCTCCGAACCTTTTGCAGTCCCGGGCGGTAATAGCTCAACATCTTGATACGGCAGCCCAAGGAAGGCATATACGTGACTCCACCTATCGCTACCGAAGAAAGGCTCGCTCTCCCCCGTCGTCGCGTTCGTGACCCACAGCCACGGAGCGCCGAACGCGCCCTGGTCCAGCGCTCTCTGCGTCGCCTCCCGGAGCGCGTTCTTGTACTCGACGGACTTCTCCGCCTGCAAGATGTCCGCGACCTCCTCGGCCGAGAACAATCTTTCCCCGTCCCGTCCCTTCCCGGGCGGAGAAGAACTAGCAAGACTGGCGTTGGCGTTGGTGTTGGCGGGAATACTCTCGAGCGTCTCGCCCAAAGCCTCGGGCGTGATGGGCGGTCGGTGCAGCGTCCAGAACGCGTGGAACAGAGCCCGCCATGTGGCGAGGTACGTCGCGGCCGGGTACCGCGTCTTGACGTAGAGCAGCGCGCGAAGCGGGACGATGGTCCGGCCTACCTGCATTAGGTCCCCCGGCGGCGAGACGTTGGATAGTCCGACGGCGCGCAGCGAGCGCTGGCTATCGTGCACCCCGTACACGGCTTTGGCGGGGAGGGTCCAGGGGGGTTTATTGCCGGAGCCGGCATTCACGGCGCCGAGGAAGAACGGGTGGATGCTATGTAGGTTGGTTCCATCGTTAGTTGATTACCATAGTTATATATATATACCTGTATTCATCTAAAGCCATATAGCGTTGTAATGGGGTATTGTATTGTACGTGTTAAACGAGGAATGAACTAACTAACTCAAGTTCTACAGAGTGTTGTTTTAAAAGATCCTGAGTTTTTATGGCTTGCATGAGTGCTATGTAGCTGTACAACGACGCTGATGATGTTTTTCGAGAGAGAGTTAGCTGTCAGTCTCATAAATGACAACTGATAACTGATAGGTATATGCGGCCTTTGCCGTGCTTACTTGGGGGGAGGGGGGGATGAATTACCGATGTCGAGGTACAAGTCAATATGACCACCCATAGTGATGAGTCAGATTACCGATTTCGAGGCTGTGGTCGATTAATAACTTTGGGGAAAATGAGAAATGAGATCCGATGTGATGAAAACGCTCAAGAATGAGATGAAGTTGTTGAGAGCTTGTATGTGTATATGTATAAGACGTGCCAAGTATTCATGTATAAGGTATCGATCACCTTAGTAATCGACCTCGGTTGCGGGATACCCCCCACCTACAACCGAGACATGGCTAATGGCATATTTGATAAAAGCAATTGCTCTGTATTCGTATCTAGGTATTCGTAGAGTGGAATTCATGAAATCAATCGTTACATGTACCTACATAAGAGGGACGGACCTCCTTTAAGTAAATCATCCCGATATTCGATGGCCAAGTAATTGATGCCAATGTGCTCCCCATTAATGCAAATACCACCTGCTTGAACTCACCAACACCCTTGCCGCCCGTAACTCTTACGCCGCCTGGTATCGATGCCCCGTATCTAGCCGAGAGTCCTCACTTTTTGTACGATGCAATTACTCAAGATTGTATGGTTCCATCCGTACCGGGCCGCGGCGGACCCGTAGCTAGCTTGCCCATAAATCCTCCACTGACGAGGTTCATGGCCGTCTGGAAAGGATCTATGCCGCTCTTGCTTGCCTTCTCAAGGCCGGCGGCCTTAAATGCCTGCTCGAAATCGCGCCTGATGTCTTCGAAGTCCTCAATACCTAGACTGACACGCAGGAGGTCGGCTATTCATTGAATTTTCAAGTTAGCAATGTTTGCTTAAATTCGGAGGAGGTAGAAATCAGGGCACACATACGCGTCACACCACCCTTGATCTTCTCATCATCGGGCATCTGCTGGTGTGTGGTTACCCAGGGGTGAATGATGAGGGTCTTGCAGTCTCCGACGTTTGCCAAATGGCTAGCCATCTTGAGATTGTCGACCACGGCACGGACTTGCTCAACTTGTCCAGCCTATACCTGACGTCAGCTGGTAATACAATAATTACTGAAAATGCCTCGCGTCTTAAGGTTACACGAATAAAGGGGTGAAAGTACGTACCACACCAAAAGTCAGGACGCCACCTGCTCCCTTCGGCATAACCTTCTTTGCTAGCTCATAGTCAGGATGCGATTTCAAGCCCGGGTATAGCACCCAGTTGACACAGGGGTGGGCTTCGAGCCATTCTGCGAGCTTCTGTGTGTTTTCAACAGTTCTCTGACCCCGAAGCGGGAGCGTTTCTAGTCCCTGAAGGAATAGCCAGGCATTGAAGGGACTCATGCAAGGGCCAAGGTCACGCATGCTGTCCATTCGTACTTTAGCTGCCAACGCCTTCTTTCCGTACGTCTCCCAGAATCGCATGCCATGGTAACCCTCCGCAGGTTCCGTGAAGCCGGGGAACTTTCCCGACGCACTCCAGTCGAAGTGTCCGCCATCGATCACGATACCACCCATGCTAGTTCCGTGGCCACCGATCCATTTCGTAGCCGAGTGTGTAACAATGTCGGCTAAGAAGTTGTGTCAGCTTACAGACTTTAGTTTAAACAAGTCATATGTGCGCGGTCTACATACCTCCAAGCTTGATAGGCTGGCACAAATATCCGCCCATACCAAAAGTGTTGTCGACAACCAAGGGGATGCCATGCTTGTGGGCCACGGCGGCAATCGCTGCAATGTCCGGAACGCTATGTTTCGGGTTGCTGATCGTCTCGATGTAAATGGCTCGCGTGTTCTCGTCGACTGCTTCATCAAATTTTGCGGGGTCGTTTCCGACCACCCATTTGACGTTAATCTTAAACTTGCTCAAATACACACGGAATTGGTTGAAACTGCCACCGTATACTATAGTGATGAAGCATTTAGGTTAGTATATTTAGTCAGCAGCCACATTTATTATAATTTGAGACTTACGCCAACTAGTACTGATGAAGTTGTGGCCGGGTTCACAGCATTGGGTCAAGGCCATGAACTAAGATTACCTATTAGTATAAGGCAGTGATGACTGCATATTCGATATAATGTAACTCACCTGCGCTGCATGACCAGATGCGGTAGCCACTGCTCCAACGCCACCTTCCAGCATGGCCATTCGGTTCTCAAAAACCGTGTTAGTCGGATTGCCCATACGCGTATAGACATATCCGTCTCGAGACCAGGCGAACTTGCTTGCTCCATCAGCAGCGTCGGAAAAGTTGTACGCAGCAGTCTGGTAAAGGGGCACAGCTCTTGCGCCGTTGATCGGATCAGGTTCCTGTCCGCCATGCACAGCAATTGTGTCAAAGCTGGGCTCCCTATTTTTGTTGTTGTTAGAGGTATGCTTTTCATTTCTTCGTTACGAGTGTATAGTAGTAACATACCAGTCCAAATTGCTAATTGATCCCGGAGGAGACATATTGAAGTTGAATGAAACAATACTGTTAGGATGGGATATCTAAAGAGGGTAACTTGAAAGTGTCGAGAATGCTGATGTAGGTATTTGTAAGTTGTAAGTTTCGTCTTATACAGAGAAGACCTCGGCTTTAAATGTATAGACGTTGAAGAAGGTGCAAGGAGTTCGAATTGCAAACAATTGCATACATAACATACAGATGGAACTTACCTAGGTAGATAGGTACGGTATATACCGTATGTACAGAAGTAACACCCCTCAACCTGCAGCTTCCTCTCCAGCTGGAGGTACCTACGTCAGATAAGGTAAGTACACACTTGCCTCCATACATACCCGGCTGCCGTTGGTTATTGCCAGACTGCAATGCAACACCAGCAAAGCCCGAAGCTTCCTTACTCGTCGTATGATGGGAAGACCCACCACTCCCAGGGTCCCTTAGTCCCTGTATCCGTGGAGCAGGTCTCATGCATTACACATTACACATTACATACACATTATACATGACCTATACCACCATACATTATACAATCCCAGATCCCAGACAAAACTATACGATACCTACCAACGATACGCGATCCCCGATACGCGATTCGTACATACATAGGTAGGTAGCATAGGTACATGATGTAAGGGCACGGCATCCCCCGCACATTCATGTCCTGCATGCCGAAGAAAAAGAAGAATAAAGCCCTGTGATTACTGACCACCACCGCCACTGATACCATAGATACTACTATAGATGCCAGGGACGACCCGAGATTTCGGTCCCCGTTGTGCTTGAGACGCAGAGACACCGAGGAGCCTCAAAAGCCCGCGCCACCCGGCCATTGGACGGATTTCACGTGTTTGGAAATCCTTTAAGGGAGATAGGTTACACATGTGAAGACGAGCAATCATTCTCGAAATAGCTATCATGGCGGGTCGTTCTGCGGGTACAAACCAGGTTTTTTCTATTCAGGGTTCTGCTCTACGTACGATCTATGTAGATGAAAGTCCAGACTCGGATCCTAGAATATGCACCCTACCCAGCTACGTGTCTCCTGGATCGATCAAACGGCGTTATCCTAGGCTTTCTACGGAACAACCCATTCCTTTACTTTATTTGGTAAAGCTCACATTTGTCCCCGGCTTGGTATTCACTGTCAATGCGCTGTGATGCGTTAGCTGCCACGTCTTGTTTGCTTTATGGGGTTCCAGCATTGGTCGATGACTTACAACACGTCTGGGCGAGCGTAGCTACCAACCGGATCGAAGTCAAGCTAAACGTGTATTGTTAGAGCGGTAGGAAGGGAAGAGACACCAATCGGGTTCAAGATATTTACTCACTCTTGACTCGGTAACTTCCGACATCTTCAAATCGGCGTAGATGATCTCTTCTTTATCCCACACCGGCTCGGTTATAGGAACTCCTAGAGGCCCTACGATGAAGGACCCTCCGTGATTGACAATATCGTCAGACTCCCACTGTGAGCCGTCTGGCTTCCTGTCATGATGCTCAGGGGTAAATGGTGGGTAATCCTTCGGAAAATCGGAAACCTTAACCATCGAATTTACCGAGACAACGAAGCAGCGTCCTTCTTTAGCAATATGTTGCATTGATGCAATCCAGGATGGTAGATCATCCGCGTTAGGTGCTATGTAGATTCTGTTAGAAGATTGGTTAGCAAACTTCGACCGTTCTCTTCCTAACTAATAGGTACGTATATTCTCTTACTCGACTCCTTGCTGGTAAAGAGCCATCCGCGCTGCGGGCATGTAGTTTTCCCAACTAAGATCTCATTAACAACTCAAAGTCCATTTTGAGGCGTATAATCTCACCATATCAAGGTACCAATTCTGCCAATGTCAGTTTGTACGACTCCAAGGCCGTCTCCTGCACCTCGTCCCCACACCAGGCGTTCTGCAGCCGTGGGTATCAACTTATTTGCGTTTAGTTTCCGTGGAAATTTTTACGGAGGCCCGGTTGCACTCACTTTTCGATGTTTCAACAGTACTGATCCATCTCGGCCAACTAATAAGGCCGTGCAGTACAGAGTGCCCCCGTCTTTCTCAATGATGCCGACTTGAATATAGACCTGATGAGACTTGGCTGCCTTCGAGATGATGTCAACTGCCGGAGAAGGTACGGCAACAGCTGAATCGTAGTACTTTGCATACCATTCTCTTCCTATTTGAGGTCAATAATCCTGAAAATTATTTTCTTATCGTAAAAACTCTTCTTACCACGCGGCTCTCGAGCACCAATCGTAGCATCAAACGCATATCTCCATGGATACGCGGACAAGAATGCCTCGCTGCATAACCACTGTAAGTAACTCTTACTGTTTGTTGAGTATGTATTGGCTGCTTACGGAAACACGATAAGATCTGCCCCGGCTCCAGCCGCCTCACCGACTATTCTAGTTAGTTTTTCTAGACTCTTTTCGAGGTCGAAGGAGACGGGCGCCGCTTGAACGGCGGCCACTTTCACAGCCCGAGCTGCAGCCATGTTTTTTTCGGACTAACGTGTAAGTCAAAGAAGTCGTTGTGCTTATCAGAATAGGAGTCAAGAGGAGTCAGGAAGATCCCTGGTCCGGGGTTCTCTCTATCGGAGTTAAGGGGCAATAAGATTTTAGGGTCTAGTAATGATACCTAAATAGAGCGGGAGGTGCCGGATCGACAGTGTCAGTCGATTCCTGCCCCTTGGCTCACGATACCAATTTAAGGCATCGTTGACAGCCATGGTGGTGTTTGGTCAATGGGGAAAAGTCGCAGATTGTGGAGCCCAGGTACAGCATGCGGTACGACGGCGCATACTACTCTGCAACACGACGCAGATCCCGAAGTACCAAATCCCGGTTCGCTGGACGGTAGGCCGAATACCGGCTCAAGGTACGTATTTCCTACCTCTCCGTCTGGAAGATCACCCTTGGATCTTCCATTGTAACGATCTTTGTGGGGGGTCCGCATATGGCGTATGCAGTCAGTCAGTTTGCTGCCCAGCCATTCGGGACTTTGTTAGTACCGGATGTACGCGGAACCATGTACTACTATGGCCATACATAGCTATAGATGTGGCGCCAGGATCGTCCCTCTATTGCTCGAAGCTGCCCAGATTGTCTTCGTTGTTGAATCTATCTTATTAAACTACAAGCAAACTTTACATCAACATGGCAACTCGTAAGTGTACCTCTTCTAGCTATCTTTGAAGTTATTCTCACGCATAATAGTCCTGGATCACGATCCAACCCCTCAGAACTTCTACGCAGGTCTCATTCAGGGGCAGAAGTTCGCCGTTATATCAGAGCTCACGCTCGATTCGGGCGAGATATTAGAGTCTTGTCCGATCGCCTACAAGACATGGGGTCGACTCAACGACACCGCGGACAATGTCTTGGTGATCTGCCATGCTCTCACTGGTAGTAGCGATATCAGCGATTGGTGGAGTCCGCTTCTTGGGCGCGACAAGGCGTTTGATCCGGCACACTTCTTTATCTTTTGCGCGAACGTTCTCGGTTCACCCTATGGTAGCGCGTCACCGCTCACCATCAACCCTCAGACGGGAAGGAGATATGCCAGCGAATTCCCGCAAACAACGGTCCGTGACGATGTGCGGTAAGCTAGACCCCCATTATCATGGGCATGACCACATTGTTCCTATTGAATGCTAATGAAATTGCTACGTGAGTAGGGCACACAAGCTCGTTCTCGACGCCCTAGGCGTCCGCTCGGTAGCAGCTGTAATAGGGGGTTCGATGGGCGGAATGACAACTCTCGAATGGCCCCTTTGCACCACCCCTGGCTATGTTAAGAGCATTATCCCAATCGCGACTGCGGCAGACCACAGCGCCTGGGGCATTTCGTGGGCTGAGACGCAACGCCAGTGCATCTACTCAGACCCTAAATTCGACGACGGGTACTATGAGCCGATTCCCGAGGGCCAGCCATCGGCAGGTTTGGCCGCGGCGCGTATGGTGGCCATGCTCACCTACCGTTCATCCATGAGCTTCGACTCCCGGTTCGGCCGCAAGCCCCAGCGGCAGAAGCCAAGGCCCGTACAAGAGCCGCCCCTAGACCTCCCGCGAACAGACGTCCCTGTTGCGACCACGGGGGCGGCACCAACATCCGCTAAAGAGCGCTCGGAGAGGAAGAGCTGGACCACAAGACGGGACCCCTCATTTTCCGCTCAGGGGTATCTACACTATCAGGGACAAAAGTTCATCCAGCGTTTCGATGCCAACTGCTACTTACACATCACCAACAAAATGGACGCGCACGACGTAACGGTCGATAGAGCGCCCACCAGTGAAGATTCGTCTCCCATCGACGGAGATAACGCCTTGCTCTCTGTGCTGTCCGTAGTACCTCCCGGTGCCCTAGTAGTTAGTGTCGAGACAGATGCGCTATTCCTACCTGAGCAGCAAGAACGGCTAGCAGCCTGCCTCCCCAATGCCACACTTGCGATGCTCAAGTCGTCGGACGGTCACGACGGATTCTTACTTGAATTTGAGCAGCTCGGGACGCTAATTCTAGGAAAGCTTACGAAGGACTTTCCGCATTTTTACAAGTCTACCTACGACGACACTAGCTTTTCGGGAGAACACACGGCGCAACCTGGCGGCGCCAGTTTGACTGGCGAGGTGGAGGCTTGGTAGAGCGGCTAGTAAATTGGCCTTGTACAGTGTCTTTACTGTGTTATTGTATATCAAGCGTGTTTTATTATAGGCTTCGGGGGGTTTTCGGGGGTTGGCTGCTTTTCCAAGGTGTCATTATTCCAGCACTTACTACAGCTGAAATGTCTTTCGTATTAGTGATTTAGTAACACCACATAAATGGGTCGATGATGATGCTACCAATGAACGGAACGGCTACGGGGAGCCTCATCCCATTTCGTGCGCGCTATAATACCAAGTTTTCTTAAGCTGACGAAGAGCATACCTATCACCGTCTTCAACTTAGGGGCTTATGATGGAATGGCGGCTTCAGGGGCAAAATTCCGTGCAACATTTCACAAGACGGACCAAGGGATGAAAATCCTTTTATTTAACTCAAGGCCTCGGAAGCGTTCTCTCTCCCTTACTACGGAGTAAAGTAAGCTCCGCGAGCAAAAAGACGCGAGTAAGACGGATAATGGTACAGTAGATTCCAAATGATGACATCCCCCCGCGGGGCAAATAAGGTGCTTAGAATACTCTACGTTGCAACGAGACGTGAAGAAAACTAACCGACTGGAGGAGGCTATAATGTAGGCTTCTTGGATACGACGAGACTGGGTGGCAACGGTTCCGGCGGTTTCCGGTTGTATACGACTACATATTAGCCCGGCATCCAACCTGTTTCCTCCCATCTCGCGATGGCGAGGGAACGAGGGGAACGAGCGAGCAAACAAGCAAGCCCACCCCCTTCACCCCCTTCACTCCCTTTAGAAATCCTAAAAAAAGAACTTGTCTTCTCGGCCGATTTAGGAAATAATGAAGTCCAACGCTGGATAGTCGTAGGGATTCAAACACCGCGGCCCATCACGTGGGGCCGAAACAAGTAAAGTCCGGGGAAAAGGGGGCGCCGCTTTGGGAAAGGAGGATCTGCTCGGTGCATACTTATCACGCATGACACCTATCATAAATGCCGGCCGGGATTTGGGAGTGCATCTGGCTGTCTCCATTATGGTCTCCCCCCCCTTTCCCCAGTATTTGCGGCTAGGTGATGCGTTGTATCTGTAGGTACGTATGTGGCAGACATCGTACATGGATGGTATTGGCATTTCCCAGGAGCCAACCCTCCCTTCCTAGTGTATGTATGTAGACGTTTCCGTCCGGGTATTCAAAATCCTGATTTTCCCTAGCTTGGTATTTTTGCTCTCCCTGGTATTCCGACGCCGTGTGATTATGGAGTTGTGGTCGGCCCACGCCGCCCCGTCTCGTTATTTCCCTTGTATGGCCCTCCTTTCGATATTGTCGGTAACGTATCCCGACAAACGCAACCCCGTGGACCTGTGGTTGGCTTGAATATGTGAATTTGGCTCCGCTGGCATTTCACGGTCGCCCCTCCTTCCAATTTGAGCCATGTATGGCCTTTGTGCTGACACCTATAGAGGCAGCTGGGAAAAGAGCATAAAACCGAATGTTGGCCAGGGCGGATAGCTTCAAATCGAGTCAAGACAATATGAACCACTCCCTTACCTAGAACTCTCATTTTTGCTCCTCCTATCTCTATCCCCTGTCTTCAAATTCCACAGAGGCAGTCGTATAAGCGCCATACCAATTCTTATCGTCATTATTATGGTGGCTGCGATGGAAACTAAGTCCTGGTTGGTCCAGAAGTATGGTGGCACTAGCCTAGGAAAGCTGTTAGATACGATATGCTGCAAGATTATCCCCCAATACAGCACGGAGCACAATCTCATTGTTGTCTGCTCTGCCCTCTCCGGAACTCTCAAAGCTAGCGGGACGACAAGTTTGCTGCTTCAATGCATAACATATGCCGAGCAGGGCTTTGATGCTCAGAAACAGCTAATCGACCTGGTAGATTTGATCAAGGACAATCATCTGGGCGTGCTCAAAGCATTTATGAACTCTCCCGCACGGATGGCTATCCATTCGCAGATTTACGAAGAGACGGTTTCCGGTATTCAGAATGAATGCGAGGGTCTCAAGAGGTTTCTACTTGCCGCTCAGGTAAGCTTCGCTAGATGGAAATATCATTATAACTGAAGCTGACTTGCCGGACTCAGATTATCGGGGAGCTATCGGCACGGTCGAAGGATCGCGTCATCTCCCTTGGTGAAAAGCTCTCGTGCATGATTGTCGCGGCTTGTCTGACGAGCAATGTAAGTTCCTCTCCAGATAGGAGACTCATCAAAATAGATTTGGTCAGTGAGCTAACAAGGCCGACCCAGGGCACACCAGCAAAAGCGGTATTTCTAGATAATATCATATCATCTGCTTTTGGCAACTCTATTCACGACCAAGTGGCTGCATTCGAAAGGCTCGGTCCTAAGCTCTATCAGGCATTGGCCAGCCAAATAGCCGAACGAATTCGGGAGTGCGGAAGCGCAATACCTATCGTAACAGGTAAGACACTATAAATACGGCGACTCTGAGGTTTATTTATGCTAAGATTGTAGGCTTTTTTGGTATAATGCCAGACTCGTTGCTTCAAACAGTGGGAAGGGGGTACTCGGACCTCTGCGCAGCTATGTGCGCGGTAGCAGTAGGAGCAGAAGAGTTGCAGATCTGGAAGGAAGTCGACGGTATATTCACGGCGGATCCGAGAAAAGTACCCTCGGCACGGCTCCTATCAACGGTGACGGCCGAAGAAGCGACGGAGCTGACATATTACGGAAGCGAGGTCAGTCCATCTACTCCAACATAAGATGAAAGTAAGCTAATTCAACTCACAGGTTATCCATCCATTGACAATGGATCAAATTCGGGACGCTGGCATACCGTTACGCCTCAAAAATGTGTTTAAACCTTCGGGAAATGGCACCATTATATATCCGTCGATGGACAGTTCAGCCCCTAATAGTCCGGCCAGCGCATCGTCTGACAGTTCGGAGAACTCTTCTCGAGTAATCACGCCTTTATCGAGCTTTATGCTGGAGAACGGCTACCACGGAGCCCAGCAAGAGCGCAGAAAACCCACCGCAGTCACAGTTAAGGATGATATACTCCTTATCAACGTCGTCTGTAACAGGAATACCAAGTCGCAGGGGTTTTTGACGCAGGTATTCGACCGTCTCGAGAGGAATAAGATCCCCGTAGATCTGGTGGCCACGAGCGAAAGGCATGTCAGCCTTGCGGTTCAGTCCCCAGGCGATGCCACCGCATTATTGAGACTTAGGGAGGAGCTCGAACGGTTTGGTCAAGTTGCCATCACCTCGCACATGTCCATCGTGACGGTAGTCGGCCACAAAATGCGCAACATGGTCGGCGTGTCTAGTAAGCTATTAACGAACCCTGCCCTGGTTTCAAAGCATAAGAATTAGAGATTGCTAACACGTCTTAGACGAGATCCTATCGGCGTTGGCTTCGGCGCAGATCGGAATCTACCTGATAAGCCAGGGCGCGAGCAAAGTCAACATATCCCTAGTCGTGGACGCGGACAACGCCCTCGCGGCGATGAACGCGATACACAGCGAAGTGCTCAAGATCCCGACGCATAGGGAACAGGAAAACCGGTTCATCCCAGGTAAGACGAGTTCGATCCTCCCGGGTCCCCCGGCACGAGCTGCCCCTTAAGTACGGAGCTAATACGATCGAGTAGGACCGTGGCTATACTAAGTAGCGTCGCGTCGCTCACTGGAGCAGGCGCCCGCAGTAGGACAGAGATGGGGAGGGGACTACCTATGTATCACTAGATGATAGACATTACGAAGGCCCGGGAGTGAAGGAGTTTTGGTGCGTCCCAGCTCTCGGTTGTATAGATCAGAAGGGGCGACCGGACCGATTGTGAGGCGTTTGGTTAGAAATGAGGTTTGGGGGAATTTGTTTGGAGAATCGGGGATACGAGTGACGACCCGAGAAGGGGAAAAAAGGAATACCCCTATTTGAACATACCTTCTATGAGCCTTCGAGTATATAGCCCTTAATTGCATCTGGCTCTTCGTTTTTGACCATGTATTGCTTTATTTACGTACCCCGTTTGTTTCACATATAGCATTGAGTTATATTGAATTGAGCAGATAGTATGTTATCCGGTGGACCTACGGATCCGTACTTAATAAACCAAACCTCGGCTGCTCCCGTAGACCCACTATATTCATCATACATGTCAAAGGAGCGCTTGTACTTCGTATAACTATTAACTTGTATAAGTCAAGTATCAATGATTACTGATCGGTTCGAGTATAATACCTCGGGTCACTCAAACACAACACTAGAAACCAGAATAATATGTAGTACAGATCTCTCACTCTCACTCTCACTCATTCGTGTAATGATCAATTAATTAATCAAGTAACCCGTCAGACGTTAAACGAGTGGATTAGCTTAGCTGGCAATGGCAGACACCAAAGGAAACGTTGCGCTCGTAGTCGGTGCGTCTAGAGGGATAGGGAGACAAATCGCCGTAGACCTGGCGAAGAACGGATATGCTGGTAAGCTAAGCCCGTCTCTATAAGTCGGATATAGGTTATTTATAAACGATCACGAATTCACGATTCACGATCCTAATCGTATATATGTACTTACTCTCCTCAGTCGTCGTCGCAGCCAAATCAACAAGTGACGCCCAGAACGTCGTCCCCTTCCCACCGGACCCCAACTCTTCGCTGTCTACTATTAGTACTGTTGAGCGGGAGATCCGTGAAGCGGGCGGCCAAGCGACAGCGATACCGGTAGACGTCCGGGACTTTGCCAGCGTGCAGAAGCTCGTGGACAGGACTATCGAGGTTAGTTAGTAGCGCCTTGCTTTTATACCATGTCCTTACCCCCCTTCCCTTCATTCATCTACAATCTTACAACAACAGCAACAAGTCCACCAACAGCTAATAACCCAACCCCCAGACCTACAACCGCCTCGACGTCCTAATCTACAACTCAGGCGCAATATGGTGGGCCTCCGTCGACGACACGCCCATGAAGCGGTTCCAGCTCATGCAGCGCGTGAACCCGGAAGGTCTCTACGGGACCATCCAAGCCAGCCTGCCGCACCTCAAGCGGCACCACCAGCGCGGACGCATCGTCGTCGTTAGCCCGCCGATCTACAGCCGCTTTTTCCGGGGGAAGACGGCGTACGCCGTGGGCAAGGTAGGCATGAGCGTGCTGACCAAGGGGCTCGCGATGGATTTCGAGAGGCAGGGGTTGCGGGAGATGGCGGTTACCAGTCTTTGGCCAGCTGCTGTACGTATTTATTTACCTAATTTATTTATTTTCCTTTTTTTCTAGTCTCTTACCCCTATTCCCCTTCGTACCCCTTAACCCCAACAACCACTCAGATATATATAATCTTCCCCATATGACTACCTACCTACCTACCTATACAAGTAAGCTTCCTAAACCCACCCTCCAGGCCATCGAATCCGCCGCCACCGTCAAAGCAACCAGCACCAACCCCTCCGAAGCGCGGGACCTGCGCCGCGCAACCATATTCTCCGACGCCGTGCTCGCGATCCTGCGCGCGCCCGCCCCCAGCGTAAACGGCCAGCTCGAGCTCGACGAGGACTTCCTGCGCAGCGAGGTAGGGGGACGCATCACTGACTTCTCCAAGTATGCCCTCGTTCCTGGCTCGGAGCCTCGACGAATCATGCCGGCTGTGCTACCGGACTTGACGGTCGCGGAGCAGGACGATGAGGGCAAGAGGATGGATAGTGCTGCGGAGAGGAGGGGGGCAAAGTTGTAAGGTTGTGGGCTGGGGCTGAGATGTTTTAGGGGGGTTGGGATTTTTTTTAGGGTTCTTTTTATGGAGGGTGGTTATGACATATACCTAAGATGATATACATATAAACTACCTACAATATTGAATGATAAGTAGAAAATTAATTTAAAAAAGAAAAAAAGAAGAATAAACATACGTTACTTTTATGGCGTGAAGCTGCGGGAGCCTCCAAAGGTTATTATATGGTTTGTTGCTAAGCCAAGGAGAAAAAGGTTATTCTACCAAGATTTAACAAGTTGGAATCAGTAGAAGTATAACCACTGTGAGAGTGATACCAAGGCTGTTGTTGTTGGAGTAAAACACGAAGCCAGTATGAATTTATGGTACCAAAAAGTCGTATTTGCAAGAGCAACACTAGTTAGAGAGCTATGATCACAAGTGCAACGTAACAGGAAAACACATCAACAAATTTCAGTAACCAGTTGCCAGTCATAATATTAGGCAGCTATTGCTTGAGTAACATGTTTCTGTCCTATGAGAAACCCTCAGAGTCAATGCTTGCGAACCTTTCCTGCCAAATCGGAAAAACTTCCCCCTGTACCAGTTCGTAATAAAGGTGAGAGTATGCAAATGCAACTTAATAGGTCCTAGAATACATCTCCTTTGATCATTAATCCTGCTTCATCATCGTCCATCCATGCAAAAGCAGTACCACCAGTATGGCTGTGTATCCACAGAAATGAATCAAACGCGTGAGATCGTAAGAACATTTTTGCTCCGTTGCGAAAGCATCCCTATCAGGTCACCTTTTTCTCTCCCCTTAGATGTAGTTGATCAGCGCTATGAGCATTGCTCCACCGAGAATACCGCTCATGCCTAGGGTACCAATGGGCAGAGAAGCAGCAGCCGAGGTGGGAGGGGCGCTCTCAGAGGGGCTAGGAGTAGGCTGAGTGCTCGAGTGAGAGTGAGACTCGCTGGTGGTCACGCTAGCGGTGTGAGAGGAATGGGTCTCGGTGGTGCTGCCACTGCTAGTGACGTAGGTCGCGGTGTTGGTAGTCTCAGTGACAGAAGCAGTGGTGCTACCGGTTCCAGTCTCAGTGGTGCCGGTCTCGGTTGACTCAGTGGTCGATAGAGAGAGGGTCTCGGTGGCAGAGCCGATGACGGGGGTGGTGGTCTCAGAGCCGGTCACGTAGGAAGAGGGAGTAGCAGTCACGAGGACAGTAGACGGGGTGCCCGTGGGGTAGCCGGGGTAACCACCGCTGGGAGGAGTGTAGACCTCGCCAGTAGTGTCAGTGGGGGGGACCGTCTTGGTGACCGTAACGCCCTCGCAGGTGCAGGAAGACTCTTCCTTCTTGACAACCTCAACGTTGGAGGCAGCCTATTAGGGATAACAAGGTTAGCCGTTAGAAAAAGTCAAGTATGCTAATAGTTAGGCAGCGCAGAGGGGAGCGGGTGTATATAGAGTCAAACATTTGAGTGGACGAGATTAAAAGGGTAGATTATGTAGGCAACAGTTAAAAGTAAAGGATACAACTCACCATGCCAGTGGCGATCATGGCCATGGTAACGAAGACCTTAGAGAACTGCATCTTGGTGACTTGACCTAGTGTACTCGAAGAATGTTGTAGAGGATGATTAGGTTTGTGAACCGTGGCGAGTCGTAACTAGGAATATTCTAATAGTCCTAGTAATCGACGAAGAATATTTGTCTAGGACGGCAAAGGTGTAAGGAAACGGTTGATAGTTTGGATGAAGGGCGTGAAGAAGAAAAGGTGGAAGAGGAGGAAAAAAAGAAATTTGAGAGAAACGGCTTGACGCGTTTGTAGTAGTACCTCGTACCTTGGATCAACGTCGGGAAGGTGGGTGATTTTGTAGAAAGAGGGAAGGAAGGGTCTTGGGTGATTCACAGCAGAGATACGTTTATATCTGGCAGCTGCGTGTCGACGTTGATTTTGGAAGGCACGCAGCAACCAAGGTACCTTGGGTACTTAAACCCGAACAGGAAGTGGATATTTGATATGTTCAATCAGTTAGTGAATAATAGGTACATGCAACTGATGTATAAGGAGTATAATGCTAGGAGGTAGCTACCTAAGGTAATCTAGATCGATTCATCCCACTTACATGGTTGCCGTAGGGAATATATCTCGAATCAGCATGTGTACCTCCTATACATACCTATGGACCTAATGGATCTAACCTCTACCTGTACCCTCCCCTTCCCCCCTATCTGATCCTTTTCATCTTCAAGTTCTGTTAATAATATTTCCTGCCACCACCCGCTCTCCCGCAGATCAAGTGTTCCCTCATCTAATTTATCCGTTTGCTACCTCCCGCCTATGTAGTAGACATACTTGATTTCTAGTGCTGTCACCTAATGTACTACCGTCTACTACATCCTAAGCCATCGTCTTATATTGCTGGCTACCTACTATCATCTACTTGCGACATGTCGAATAGCAGTTAACCGTTCCTCAGGAATTTCTAGCAGACCCTTGCTCCTTAGATAGGATGTCTTACCTCAAGTAATGAATTTCAGTTAGCTATCTAGGTACCTAACCTAGGTAGTTCGTCGTCCGCGGGTCCAATCTTACTCTGGTCCAACTTGAAATACAACCCTACAAACCGGGCCGATGCAGTGTACAAATCTACTCAACTTGATACATCTCCTAATCCCAATATCCAGCATACAAGACGAGCTGACTACAAGGCGACTTGGATTTCTTCAGCCCTGTCGCGATATGTGACTGAATGTCTATATAATATAAACACCGCATGAAATTTGCATACAATTTGATGGTAGCCCTATTCCCCCAACTCTGGATCCTCATCTTGGGGGGTACGGTTCTTGTGGAGTGGACCTGTTACGAACATGTCTAAAACAGGGACCTTATGAACCAACTAGTAGTTGGCAAACTGACGACGCACTTATGAATTAAGTCAGGGGCTGCAAGAGATGCATATCGCCAGGACTATAGTGGGATACATCATAACCTAAGACGCTAGATAATGGATCAATATACATATATAAGGCGTTAATTCACTAGCTCAATAACAATTATCGTTTATATATAATAGTTTTAACTGGGATTATTACTAAAATCAGGGCGGATTACGGCCGGGATTCCGAAAAGGCCTAGGATAATGACGTACGAGTAAGGGGAACTGCATCGGACAGGTTCCATGATTTCTTTGCCTAAGTAGGCTAGTTAGGTATTCTAGTTAATACTAATAAACAAACATACGTACTTGTCTAATCATAGATCGAGAGGTATTCTAAGAATCTAGCCCTAACTTGGTAGAGAAGCATACGTTGATGGTTGGATATGTGCTCAGCAAGATAAAAGATCCCATTGCTGTTATTCAAGTCTGCGTAGTGTGTGACGAGTAGCCTACCGTAGACTACCTCTTAACCTCTTAACCTTAGACTCCTTAGACTAACATGGGCCGGAACTCCACGGGGCTAAAAAAGAGTTACAAATAATTGGTGCATAATGGACGGTATATCGTTAAGACATATATCCAATATACTGGAACAGATAGGTATACTGTTGAATCACGAGCTCAACTTAAAAACTTACCGGCAGAGCTACTTGCTCTGGCTAGGTACCCAGGTAGGCTTGGATATCCGGACTCGAGGCATTTCCCTTCAGGGCATTTCCTAAATGTCCCTGTTATAGGGAGATATTCCCTTCTTAAGTTCACGTACGATCTCTGCTGCCTCTTGAGCACTCCTGGCTTCGAAATCATACCTCTTGCTCTCCGTGGCTTTATATACGAGGAGCTGGTCCGAGTTTTAGCACCCGCGCCATGCGTACGAATAGGGCATCACATTGACTTACTTTAAAATTGGTCGGATGGCGACGTGAAACACTACATCCGACCACATTGCTGAAGTGAACCGTTGTGGTCTTTCCTCCTTCACGTATTGCCTTGCCCCCAGACGACGGTTGTATGTATACGTACTCGCCATCGATTACGAGGATCCGCTCGTTCATGCCAACAAATCTCATCGTCTGCTTGCGCCAAACCGTGTATTTCTTGTACTTGACGTCACCGCTACCGGCTTCGTCTTGCATTATATTCTCTTGGGCAAGAGGGTGTGGCGTCATGAGCTTCTTTTTTCCCTTTAGGGGTGGCTCGTTCCATACGTGCGGCTTGGGAGAAGGACTGCTGGGGGAGCCAATCGTTAGTGGACCATCCGTTGCGAACCTGCGACGATGAAGTTCCAGGTCCTCAACGTTGCCGATGGATGAAACAGTACGGTCTACAAGAACTACGGCCCCAGAGTCGGGGAGTTTGAGCACATGACTGTTCTTATCCAATTGCCTCTTACGGCAAACTAGATCAAGAACCTCAGCAAGATACATGTCCGTAGTAACATCGAGGGTTACCATTTGTCCTGGAGCAGTATTGGATGATAGAATATGGACTTTCAAGAGCTTATGTTGGCCTCTGGTCGTAACCGGAGCAGATGCTTGAGGTGGCGGCTTATCAGCTAGGGGCGTGTCCACCCGATACGTTGTAGTAATGATAGGATTCGACCGCGGATGTGCTGCCGCTAGGGGGGAAACTTGTGGTTGAGGCGTACTTTTCGGGGTTGCTTCTTCGTTGTTCACGTCCTCTGCTACATCTTGTTGTTCGTATTGTGGTGTCTGGGCTTGATTCTCTGCGAAGCCGGCCTCCGAAGCTTGCACTAGGGCAAATTCATCGTAGGCTTTGGAAGCCGATCTCGATCTTGCTGCCCTATTGTTTGCCGTAGTGAACGAATTGACAGGCTTTTTACGATCTAATGGCTCGAAATCGTCGTCAACCTCGCCACCTTCTTCGACCATCCGTAACGTCCACCAATTCACGTTCAGCTTATCGGCAGGAACTGGAGGTTGGAGCTTTTCGGCATGATACCTCCATAGGCTCAGGCCAATTAACTCGGCAACGGTCACTGGTCTGAAAGTTCCATCCGCTTCCTGAATATTGCGTCTTATAGGGACTTCAAAGGGCGTCTCTGGATCTTGGGAGAAGGGCGCATAGATTCGTATCCTAAGAGGATCAGGGTCTCCCTGGCCTGATAGGGATGCGAATGCATCAAAAGGCATAGCTGGCTTCGTCTTTTTCGCCTTGAAGGCATCTGATAGAAGACTACGAGGTGGGGCCATGCTTAGAGGCCTAATAGTACTCATAGGTCGAGGGGGTGGAAGAGCTTGAAGCACCTGTGGCTGCGCTGGTGGCGCTGGTCTCTTGACTGTAGACTGACGTAGTAGTTGTTTCGGCACGTTGCCAACCACCTGTTGGCCGGGAGAGGTACCAACTGCCGGGTTTTCAACTGTATCCAAGATAGAAGTTGAATCAACACTCTCGACAAATGCCGAGGAAGTATCCGACATATCGGAGTTCTCCTCTTCTTCGGCAAGCAGGTCATTTTCCTGACGTCCAAAACCTCGACTGGATTCTGGAGTAGTTCTGGAGTGTGATCTCGTTGCCCTCGTTCTTGCAGCTTCTTTATTTTTATGATAGCCCGAAGCATCAAACTCGTTGTCAGACGAAATCTCGCTACTGGTGACGGTATCCCGCCGCGGTCGTTCCTTGACAGTCTCCAAAGTAGGTTGCGATCCTCGTCGAGGTGCCGGGGCAGCACGTGGAGATGACATATTGGTGGCTTGACGCAGATTAGACGATTGGATAGGCGAGGATCCAGCTCGACTTCGGAGGGGCATCTTCGCAAATCTTATCTGCTGTGCAGCCCTCTGATCCGTATCATCGTCACTCTCGTCGCTCAGGTCACTACTGTCATCTTCCTCCATTTGCTCTCGGCGCCTTTCCCTGCGCCGCTTGAGAGCGCTTCCCGGTCCTAATGTATCTCCACCACCGGTTAGCATACCCCCTTCTTCGGCCTCATCCTCGAGCGTCAAGCCCGTAGATCTCGGGGCAGCCTGGAAGTATTCGGAGGCAATAGCAGTAGGTATCGGGGGTGAGTGGGTTCGCTTGATATGCGATGGGTTCGATCGCCAGCCAGCGGCTTTAAAAGGAGCGGTGTTAAGGAAACTATCGTTGATCGTAATGAGGCGCTCGCCAACGCCATCGGCAACTTCGCTAAGATAGCTTGTCCGTAGTTGGTATGACACCAAACTAATAGAAGACTTAATGTCAGCACAGCATTCATTGTATCGTTATTATAACTTATAATTTATAAGGAGGGGCTATAACCTACTCTTCAACTTGTATCAACGACATCCTGAATAGTAGACCAGCTTACTTGGCGAGAAGAAACCAATTATATTCATTCTCGTAAGGCGATAATCATGCCAGGTTTAAATACCTGGTATGAAGCAAATCTGAGGCGTGTGTCTGCGACACTGGCGCAATTGTAACTGATAGTCTTTGTTATAAGTTTGGGAATGGGGAGTTGAGTAGCTCTTACAGGTGTGTTATCGGATAGTTATCAGGGGGGTTATCAGGGTATCAGATCAGGGGTGTTAGCATCGGTATCGCGAAAATGGCTCGTGCACTGCTGCTTAACCCGGGGGCTGCTAGTTGCATCTGTGGCCTGCTAACTCCAACTTTAGTGTCATACAAAGTTACACGACCGCCAACGAAAACCTAACTCATAGGTTGTGATACGCGAACAATTCTACTTACTATTAGGTACTAATATTCATCATTGAGATTATGACGATGACGGTGTTTCAAGTCCATATTCTAACTTATTCAAAAAGACTCATCAATATATGCTATGTACTCTTGGTATTATAGACACAGCCCATCGCAAGCCCTCAATCAAACTAGTTTATCCACGCCACACGAATTCGACCACAGAAATAAAGGTCAAAGGATTAGCGTTGACATGAGCCAGCTCAAATCGCTCATCAGCATCGCGGAAAATCTTAGCCCACGCATCAACAGGTCGCTCTCTCGCGTTGAATAGTGCCATTATTCTTAGATCGGTAGCCGTACCCATGTTTTGGATCGAGCGCGGCAAAGCTGGTCCTTCGGTCTCGCCCTGGTTACCCATATACTCGATAAGGACCAAACGAGCACCCGGCTTTAGGGCAGGAATCATAGCTCGTAACAACTTGACTGCCTCGTGATCTGGCCAGTCATGGAGGATCAACTTGATTACATAGATGTCTGCCTGAACAGGTTGCGGCTGGAAGAAGTCATGTGCTACGAAGGACACGCGGTCTTTTAGGTCTTCGGGGACATTGGCCTCGAACACCGGCTGCACTTGCGGTAAGTCCTGCACCGTGATGGTGAGTTCAGGGAATTTTCGAGCCAGCACGAAAGCATCATGACCAGCAGAGCCCCCGACCTAGTTGATACATATTAGCTACATATATTTCTAACCGATTGCACGTTGCATGATATATATTGTAAGGGTGAGAACTTACGTCAACCACTGATGCCTTTCCTACGGCTTTCCAGTCATAAGCGTCGAGCACTATGACATTGAAATTAGTAAATACTAGCCAATTTGCGGGCCACCAAAGGAAGCTTGAGTTACAATGCCCATCTTATGGGCTTATTCCCCGAGGGCATTGGGCTTTAATAGAAACCAAATGATAGATAATAGACTCACAGATTCCTTCGAGATGGAATATCTCTTTGAGATAGGCCATGAACGCGACAAAATTTCTCTGCCGCCAGCCCTTTTTCTCTCCTTCGCCATCGTTCTCAAGCAGACCCCAAGAATTATTGTACTTCCCGAGTTTCCCTCCGCTATATAGTAAACCAAATGATGTCTCGTCCATGTTCTGGGTTAAAGCCGGCTTTCCACTGCTATATCTCCTCAACGCTTCAGGCATGACCATCATCGGTGCACTTGCGACGCCTAAGACTGAAGAGACAAGTGCCTTTAGCCCGGCATTCCGTGCTAATGCTGCTGATCGAGAAGTATGACGTATCCTCGACGAGGATTTACCAGGATCTGTTTCTTCGAAGATACGGAGAGTCACAGCATGCTGTAGAACCCGCTGGACGACCTCCTCAGGAAGAGAAACGCGCTGGGCAATTTCAGGGTACGAGGCGGTACCTTCAAGGGGGACGGCAGACCAGAAATCGAAATGATTCAAGATGTTGAGTGCTGCAGCATCAGGTATGCACTATACATGTTAGATATACATATTAGGATAAGGGGGACTTGAAGGTAATGGAGGATGGGATGGAAATTCTCACGCTATGGACATAATTGTAGATACTCTCACTCGGACCCTGTGATAGATACCATAGATCTGATAGAGCATCCGCTAATAATTGACGAGTTACGAATATTTCGGGCGACAAGCCACTGTAGCTGGTCGGACTATCCGCCGCAAAGGTCGGCTGTTGGATATTATTGTCCTTCAAGTAGCGCGTAAACGTCTCCGAGAGTTCCGTAATCTTTGCCGCAAGGCTGTTGAGTGTTGGTTGCGAATCTGCCATTGTATGAATTGATCACCCGCACTCTATTCTCAGTCCTGAACACCAAAAGGAAGACGACTAGTAAAAACGGAAGCATGGCTAGGGCCCGGAACCTGGGTCGGTTTTTATATTAACTGAATGGCAACCATGATCATCCAGGCCCTTGGTGCGTATAGGAGGTCCGCAGCCGGAGCTGTAAACTAAAATAAAATCTCTTGGTATTCGTCTTGGTATTCGGTCGAAAGCTTCCTCATTCATACAAAGAATAAGTGACATGTGAGCAGGTGAGCCGATTGATTAGACACAGATAATCTTATCAATCTAATCAATCTCATCAAAGGAGAGGTTCGGTGGGTACACTGGTACATGGAGTACCGCCGGGGTTCCAGCCAAGCCACTAGGAGTGCGCGCAAACGTAAGAATATATCCATCTTGAATGGTAAACTTCGGGAGGTGTCGTCGAGATCATCCACTTGTAGTGATTTGAAGTTCCAATTACGTATAATACGTCGCTCATCTCCACTTACTCACCCACTTACCTGACAGTCGCAATCGAAAATTGATGGCCGGGTCTTGGCATTTTCATGGCATTTTCAAAGAGGTTCAAAATGAAGAGGTTCAAAATGCCAAGACCCGGCCATCAATTTTCGATTGAGACTGCCTGCCTAAGGTGGCTAGGTAAGCATCTGACGTGACTATCCAGATCGATGTGGAAGCTCGGATCCGAGACGGGTCATGCAGTTCTAGCTTGCTGAATTTGTTCTCGTTGTTTGCTGTCATATGTGGTAAGGTATAGCTAGCACTGATTGCTCTTAAAATTAAGAAGCTAAGGGGGTATTATGCCATGATTGGCTAGGTCCCATACGTATAGTATAGAATTTGAATGATATTCCTGAATGAGGTACTTTGAGGAACTATTAGCATTATCTTCCTTAGATGTGATTTGGAACAAATTCCTACGACTGTAAGTGTAATATGACTTTGGTTTCGGTTTAATAAAGCCGCATACTCTGATACTATACTGCAGGTAAATTCGCATTCTCGCCAAGCTTTCAACTACAACTATGAGTAATTTTCTCCGACTCGTAGTTCCATTATTCGACCATTAGACCATTAGAGGTTTAGGCCAAACAGGAAACTCGGTGAAACTCGATAGGCGGGTGCTGAAAAGAACCTTGTATTTCATGAGTTTGTCTAGCCTCTGATACTACTAAGTAGTACTAGCCAACAAAGAAAAAAAACATTAACAAGAATGAAAATAAGATTTGCGTTCGGGTAGATTTCACTACATGAAGGGAGAAGAGCAGAAAATTCCAAGGTTCTGAGATAGAGATGAAATGTACCTAAGTACCGCGTACCTTATATAAGCACATGACGCACGATCCACCAAAATAGCCACAACTCCACATTGCCATATGCCTTATGACGCCACATTAACCTAAGCTTTCAGATAGGTATTAGACATTACTTAAAACTACATCATTAGATTCCACAACTTGCCAACTCCCACTTCATTACGTGAAAATGGGGCTCGTCGACTATTCAGATTCCGAATCCGACTCCGAGACCGTCGCCAAGTCCGCGGCCCCCTCCCAATCGGTAACGGCTCCAGCAACGAGCGGCAAGAAACCCTTCCAGAAGGTAGTCGACCGAGCGAAACCAGGCAAGATCCTCGTCAACCTCCCGCAGAGTTCATCGGGTCGCGACAAGAGCAAACCTGCAGATGGAGATAATGAGCCACCCCCGAAACGCGCAAGGGTCACAGGTAGAGGAGGCGCGTTTAGCAGCTTCAACTCGTTTCTCCCGCCTCCAAAGAACGTTGGGAAGCCTGCGGCGTCGAGTAGTAGTGGGAAACCAGCGCCAAGGCCTGGTATTAACCTGAAGACGGGCGCTACCCCTGGTTTCAGTAGGGAGGTGGACGGGAACGAAGAGGGAGGTTCAGACGAGACGTCAAAAAGGAGTGAAGATGCAGAGCCTACGGCAAAGCAGCCATCTATACCCGCGGAACAGAAGCCAGCAGACGAGGTTAAACTGGTCGGCAAACCATTAATGTTCAAGCCGTTATCAGTATCACGAAAACAAGGCAAGAAGAGCGCGAGCAAAGCATCAAAAGCCGCTACTACTACATCTACACCGCCAGCTCCTCAGCCAAGCGCGGAATCACAGGCGCAGGAGCAAGACAAAATGGAACCACCTCTGAAAAGGCAAAAAATATCACTCTTTTCAATATCCGACGAACCGGAGACAGAAGCAATAGAGACCACCACATCCAGCACCGGCACCTACGAACCCATGTTCAGCACCTCCACTTCTACAGCCGACGACTTCGCCGCATACGACGCGCAATTCGCAGCATCCCACAACACATTACCACCCCAAGCCGCCCCCTCCAACGCCGACACCCTCGACTCCATAGCCGCAGACATGAACCTGTCCGCCGCCGCGCGGCGCGAGCTATTCGGGCGCGGCGGCGACCCATCGTCCTCGTCAGGAAGTCGCGTGGTGCGCTTCGACACGGACCGCGAGTACGCGCACAACGAAGCGCTGCGCGCCTCGGGCCAGCTACAGCCCACGTATAACCCCGTGCGCTCTATCGCCCCTGGAAAGCATAGTCTGCGGCAGCTCGTCACGCAGGTCCAGAGCCAGCGCGACGCGTTGGAAGAGAGCTTCGCGAAGGGGCACGGGAATCGGAAGGAGGCTAGTGCTAAGTACGGGTGGTGATGGTATCTCTTGAGAGGCAAAAAAGAGAAGAACTATTCACGTCTACCTAGGTACCTACCTATGGTATGCGTTAGGTACCTGGATATATCCAGCCAGGTGAAATCGGGAGTTTGGCAATGAAGAATGAAGGCGGCATTGGCGTAAACCATAAGTCCTTGTCCTTTGAGGCATTCACCAAATCAAATATTCATAGCCAGAAAGAGAGATATCACAAGTTATTTCTTTTTTCCATTACCCCCATGCCCAGCGAAGTAAGCCCCTATCCTAATACAAATATTTGTATACGTACACGACGCCGAGAATCAAACCGTCGGGCGGGTATCTGTACGCATTACAACGTACGTTAGGTAGTTAGTTTATATAAAAGCAGGTATATATTCACCTGATATATGCAATCTCTGTCCACAGCATACAACACACAATACAGTAATACCATCCCATCGCTAACAAGTCTCCACCGCCGCCGTCTTCCCCCGCTGCCACCCATCCCCCTTAAACAAGAACCCCCACTCCCCCCGCGTCACCGGCGATATGTCCTCGTACCCGTTCGGCGTCAACGGCCCCATCCGCTGCGACTGCTGGCTCTCGCGCGGCGACGACAGCAGCATCATCGAGTCGATCGACGCGCTGCTCCAGAACGCTAGGCCTGGTGGTATCGGACGGGCCGTGCGGTCTCCCTCGTCTTCCTTTTCGTCGTAGTCGGTTTCTTCTTCGATATTTTCACCATCACCATCGCCATCATCGTCGTCGTCGTCGTCGTAGAGAAAGCTGTCGTCGATCTTGATTTCTACCTTTTGTTTCGTATCCCCCGTGCCGTGTGCTTTGTCGGCTCCGCGTTTATCTGTATCTACTACTGCTACTATAGGTGCTTTTTGCACCGCTACTTGAGGCACGAGTTTAGCCGTCGGCTTGAATATCCGTGTTGTCGTGGCGGTTGCCAGTTGGGTGTTTAGTTTCAGCACGGGTGTTGTCTGTGTTCTGGGCGGTGTCTTGGGCGGAGGCGGTGCGCCGATTTTTATTACGGGTTTTGTCTCCCGCTCCCGTTCCTCGTGAGTAGTCGCTTCGAAGGCCCCGGTTCGGTCCGGGCCTCCGTATGCTCGTCTGTACATACTCTCCACGTCTCTCAACGCTCGCGAGTTTACCCCGAGCCAGTCGTAGCTCCGAAAGAGATCTGATTTCGATATGGGCCGTCCGCCGTTGGCAAGGACGAGGCGCCGTAATGCATCTACCGCGTCTTCGAGACGTGTGCTATCTAGTGTCTTGGTGGTCGGCGAGACGGGAGAGGGTAAAGAGGTGGTAGTGCCGTATGTGAAGCGCGCATAAACGGCAAGGGCTGATTTAAAACTATATAGTCTGTCGAGACCGAGCAAGGTTAAGCCTTCAGATGAGAATAACACCTCGTTTTGCAGCATACTTCTGCGAACGAGATCTTCGTTCAGGCCGCATGCGGATGCAGTCGCGGCTGGAGGTAACCAGCTGGTGCCTATGCGGAACTTTCGCTCCGCTTTGAGAATAGTAGTCCGTAGTGTCTTCTCAGCTTTAGGAGTGAGTAGGCTGGTGTGTATCAACCGAATGCCAAACTCGTTTGGTCCCTGCGTCAGGGATGTCGTTGAGGAGGCTGTAAGGATGCTAGATGGTGTTTGGGGCGTCATCGGCGTGCGAGGAAACGGTGTACTGGGTGTTGGGGGCACAACCCAACGACGAGGGCTAACAAGTGGCTCTGTCGGCGGGGGCGGGAATGACGGAGACGACACGGCTGTGCCAGGTAAAGATTCTGATGCTGTAGATGATACGGTGGACGTCGAGTTTCCTGTTCCCCTTCGGACTAGTTGTCTCAGCCCTATGACAGGCGAAGCAAACCGTGGAGACATAATACCCGGTGTAAGTGGAGGTGAAGTCGGCGTAGGACATGGCGGTACTACGCTCGGGAGTTGATATTCCTTCCTCACAACAACTAGGGTAATATGTAAGGCTTTCCTCGCAAGCCTCTTAGACGTATACTCTAGTGCTTCTGTTAAGTGAGAAGGTAAGTTATAGGCATCGAGAATCGAGGGTCCTGCCTCTAAAGGCGAGGAGATGCGTTGCTTCGACAGCGACATAATGAGTGATATCTTGTTGTCTTGTCCGGCAGTGAGGAAGGACTTGTACTTGGATCTAGAAGGATGACCTGACAGATATAATGGGTAAATATAGATCTTAAGATGAGATCCAAAATGGGAAATGAGTAAGGCCAAAAAGAAGAGGCCTTGCTACAGAATGAATAAGGGTGGATATAAAAAGAAGGGCGCTTCGAAACATGAAACGATGAAACGATGAAACGTCGAAACAATAGAAGCAAAGAAGGTCTATTACGAAGTCGAACCCCGCGAGGTGTTCGTGGGGTTGGAAGAAGGGGAAGGGGGGATTAAGGAGCATTGTTATTATTATCCGTTTCCTGTCCATCCCTTGCTATAACTCATGATTTCTATCTATATTCAGCGGCCATGAAACTTAGCGTCAGGCTCACCTTGACCACCACCGTTGGCTGGTAGTGGTAGGTTGGCGGTTGGTATGCCTCGTTTCAGGGGGAGAGAAAGATATGTGATTCGTTAATAGACATAGCTAAGCTGTCACATGCAGCTACTGTTTAGATGCAGATACAACAAGTCAGGCTTTAGGCAAGGCCCTCTTGTCTTCGAATAGAGAACGAAGTGATTACTTACACGTTACCTGCTTACCTATTAGCCCTAGACTTATCATGCATGTAAATACATGGGTCCGTGGGTTTGTGAATTTATGTGTATGTGTGATAGTGATTACATAGTAGATGATGTGCTGGGACCTGCAGCGTAAGGATAGGTATGTATAAAAACCTCCAAATGTTGACCAACCACATCTCCTACCGCTTTCTCCCCCGCATCTTGCCTCGGCGGCTACAAAAATCAGAATGACCCAAATATAGATACCGGACTCGGTACCCGACCACTAAAATCCCTGCTAGACATGTGAGCTAGACTAAGCTAGACTAAGCTAGACCTATCCTAGCTAGACACCAAAAGATTCCAGCAAGGGGTTCGATCCAAAAATAGACTCCATGTCCACCCCATGTCCACCCCATGTCCTAGAGGCTAACGTCGGTCCATTGTTGACGGGCAGTCGGGTCCAACAAAAAATGCAATCTTCTGAATCTGCAATGTCGTTTTTCACATTTCCTTACAACCAATCATATCTAGTCCTTATTACTGTACCTCGAACGGATTGTTGTGATTCCGAGAGAAGAGCTCGAACCTTCATTATCATAGCGTATTACCTCAAATCATATTATTTCAATCCAATGGCTAACCATTCAAGTACTTTGTAATGTGTTTGGTTAACCGACAACATATTTTTAGCACCCGTTATTCCAAACAAGAGATGAGACTTTTGCTGTGCAAGTCTGCTTTAATAGCTCAGTAGCTAACTGCGATCAAATCATCATGTTGCTCCTTTCCCCCCCTACTGTAACTAACTCACGTAAACGTGAATAAGCTGGGTATTCTGTGCTGAAAGTAAAGCAAACCAGCAAACCAGCAAACCTACGATTTCTACCCCTCCCCTGGCTTAGGCATCATCTATCGCAACGCACCGCTCTATCTTGTAAGAATTGCTACGTAATAAACCATAACTCGTACAACTAGACATCCTAATCGAGCATGACTAGAATCGTCCGCCCCTCTTCCTGCTTGCGCCAGAACAATGTCCTTGTGTGAAGTAGCATTTTGTCCATCCCTTAAGACGCCTACCACGCCAGCGCTATGCATTGTCTCTAGTTTACCTTTCCATTTATCCGACCGGCCTGTCATCACATCTTATATCATCAGTCGCATGTTACAACAACCCCTTCGCCTTAGCTACCCCCAATCGCTGCATTAACTAAAACCGTGGCTAAGGGGAATGTTTCGTAGGAACCTGAGCTTTGCTTATACTAGATCGCGGTCGATTTGCATGCTGAGATCTGTCAAGTTATCCATCTGTTCCGAAGAGCCGACCGACTGCTCCCAATCTTGGACTTTGTCAGTCATAGTCCATGGTGGCGGTGGTAGAGTCGCTCCACATACCGGAACCATCCTCTTCAATTTCGTCCACTGTTAGTCTGACCATCGGTTCCAAAACGACTATTCCAGAGTTAGCACGCAATAGGCCTACCGGGCGGCCTGCCACCTTTCAGCATAGGAATTCGTACCTTGACGGAGTTCCATATACTGTGCTTTAAGGCCATCATCCATCTCCTCGTTAAGACTAAAGTACGGCTCACACTTCTTGAGCACTCGGTCCAAGGGATCTATCGTGTATTTGGCGGCCTGCGCTGCCCGAGAAACGTACGTATCCCGCAGATACTCCAGACATGAGACAGCCAGGCGCCTGACCACGGAAATTATTGCCTGCGACCTTTCAAGCCCCCCATTCATCTCCCCGAATGTAGGCGAGGGTCCGTGCCTGAACAACTTCTCCTGTAGAAAGTTGCCTACATCATCGCTAACTGCATGGTCGATATATCCGAGAAGTCCCGGGGCCCATTTCGGGATGTTCTCCAAGCTATTCAACCGGATGATATCGCTTGTCTCACCTGTGTTTCTTGCCCCATTGAAGATTTCTCGTTGAAAGTCAAAAAAGGCTCGGCCTTCTGCGTTCTGCAGGCTCCTGCACTGGTTGGATATATAGCTAATTAGGCGATAGACATTATCGTATTGAGTACTGTAGCGGCAGTATGTTACGGCAACGCGAAGGAAAGGCGATACCATGTGAGAAGTCAAGTCTCCAGTGATATTAAATCGTAATGTCAGGTATACCTTTAAATCCATTAGCGGGGCATAACTCATGAGGCGTCTGATGATAGAATCGGTAGCCGCTGGGTTCTGGTTGAGAGAGATGAGCTTTTCCATGAAAACATTTGCTTGACCTCTGGCCCAATCCCGGTATAGAAGATTACACTCTTCGACCGTGAACAGAACCGGTTCATCTTGGAGGCCTAGTGATAATCGACCACGAGCATCTTCCGCGAACCTCCCTGGACCAGGTATTAGATCTATGACTGCCATAAGTTCATCGATAAGGGCGATAATGTTTTCATAGTTGGGTGGTCTCGCCGACCTTCTTGATACCGTATTGAGCAGCCTGACGTATTGCGGGGGAAGGTCAAAAACCTGGTCGACTGCGATCGCCAGGATAAGTTTGCCTAGGAAGTCCCTATCTAGGAACGCCAATGCTTCATAGCGTCCCATTCGGGCGAATTCAAGCATAGTTCCAAAGCATTCCGGCCAGGAATTAAGGCGTAAGTGGAAGTTTTCCCAAACGTATAGGAAGATATCTAAGGTCATGTCCACTATGCTCAAACTTCGGTCTACTGTGCTGGAAAGTATTATATCATCGTCGTTATCGAGCGGGCCGTACTCCTCCGGGAATGAGGTTTTGAGGGTTAAAATGACAAATATGAACATTTTCCCTATATCCTGACGCACGCCGAGATCTGAGTTCCTTTGCAGGAGCATGCGCAACGCATCCTTGTGTTGGCTAAAATAATCGAAGAACGAGTAACAGCACATAGTGCACCGCTGACAGACTTTGATTAAAAGATGTTTAAGTTGGTCGTAATCCGGCAAGTCCTTGGCTCGCGATGCGATTTGGTCTAGATGACCGAGCGCCGTCTGCATCGCTAGATTTTCTTTTTTGTGTTCCTTGGAGCATGTGGTACCCCACGTATTGGCGAGTACTTCGCACACAAAAGGCATGTGAGCCGGATCATAGAGACAATGGCGCTGCACTATTGCCCAGTTATCTTCCTTGACTTGAGACTCGAGGCTCCTGGGAAGGTTGCACCGGAAAGCACCGACTTGGCCAGATGCCCTTAACATCTCTTGCTCCTTATGCAACGAGGTAGAGCGCTGGTAGAATAACATATAAGCACTATATACCTTCTCATAGGCAGCACCAGCCTCGAATTGTGGGCGGTAGTCTGGCCCTCCAAAGCAAGCGCTTTCCATCTGTGAGGGATCCCACGACGTAACTATTTCGTCGTTGAATTCAACCCAAGATGGTGTACTGCTGGCGGTTGGCCGCTCTCGGATATACGAATAGTAGTGACCGGACTCCGCGGTCCCAGAATGCACGAGAATTCCTACTAGCTCGAACATGTCTGGCTCGGTACTGCCGGAAGGATCGCTTAGATGCTCAATAGTATAGGGCTGCATGTTTATCTTGTTCGGGAATGGGAAATAGTCGTTGATCTTGCTTCGTGTTAGGGTCCTCAGGCTAAAGTCAAATCTCTTCAGGTGAAAAATCAGGTTGTCAGGAATATCCTTCAGGCACGCTCTGCTTATATAGTTAGTGTTGTCGGTAGTCAATAGGTAAATATCTCGCTAGACTTGCCTTTTGACTGCGTCCACATGCCTATCGCAATCGGAACACTTGTATTTGTTATCTGGAATTGTTAGACTAGTGCAACGTCAATTAGGAATGGTAAAAACACACCTCCTTCCATGATTTCGCCGTCCACGTAGGCTTGGAGGCTTTCCTCGAGACCCGCTTTGCCTTTGATATCGCACTGGATCGCGGAGAAGGGCTCGATACGTTCCGAAATGTGTTGGCATTCTTTAGACTTGACTTGCTGGACCAACTCACCACCATAAATCGACCTCAGCTTCTTCTTGTCGGCTTCTAAAGGCAACTGCGCCTCCCATCGATCAAAAAGAAGACTATAAAATTCGTCCACGTCCATTTGGTTGTGGATATCAATAGGCGTTTCATCGTAAGTCATGATCTGGCTAACACAGCCCGTAGGTTCTACGAAGCGCCGCCGGCTATCCTGGAGAAACGCGAATAGCATCTGGGTCTCGTTAAGTAATGACGCCTGCGAGTTTCGCACTCGCCTCTCGAGTATAAAGCGGCGGAATCCAACGTTCATGAAGAGTTGTGTGAAGAGCGAATTCAAATAGCAAGTATTCGAAAGATTTCGTAGCCCAGAATATCCACATGACGATCTAATAGCATTCGACCTTTCAAAAAGCTGCGGGAGGTCATACTTGTACAGCTCCGTACCATCCTCGGGAGGACGGAAAGATGTTAGTGTATCTAGGTCTTGGAGTAAACGCGTAGATAGTGCCACATCATCTTTGACCAAGGCGAGTATAATATCGTAGAGTATAGCTCGCGAAGGGGTGTGGAGAATTACTTTAGGTACCAGCCCCATATCTTCATCTTCGGGTGGAAAGAGATGCCGAGAAAACAACTCCGATGTGAAGCTAGGAGGAAACTGGACCCGTTCCTTTCTGTTCGATGCCTCCCTAATACCGATCATTAAAATCATGACAAGCCCGTGTGCCACAATGTCCTTGTCCGGATGGGCTATGTCCTCCGTGGTCGTGTGCGAGAGCAGGAGTTCCCCACATTGCCTGAGGCAGGTAGGCAAGTCAACAACGCTGGAGCCCTGCTCGTTGAGCTTGTGAAACAGCTGAAAAGAGATATTGAACGTCTCTTCGCACTTGCTCGGTTCTTTAACGGCGAGATGTACCAGCTGGAATATAATAGGCCAGAACAGCTCGGCAAAATCCAACGCCTGCGCCCCAGGTACAGAGCGTTCGTATAGGCTCTTAGCAGTAATCAGCTCAGCGATACCCCTCCTCACAATAGTACGGGGATCGTTAAGCACAAGGCGCTGGACCACCTTTTGCAGCCCAATCTGATCCCGAACCCCCTTCCAGAACACCTGACTCTTCGCACAGGATTCAAGTAGGGCCTCAAATGATCGGGTAATCAGTTCGATGCTGAGCTGGTTTGTTTGAGCTGAGACGGCGCCCATAAGAATTTGTGAAAGCCTCTCCTGAAGGTTTGGGCTTAAGAGTTGCACGACCGTTTCAGTATCCGTGATTTCTTAACATAGTTAGCCAATAGTTCAGTCGTAGATCCCGCCATATCACGTACCTTCCAAGAGATTAATATAATTGTCTACAAGCTCAAGACTTAGCTTGAGTTGAAGAGCCTCGCTCGAACCTCGTTCGACAACCTCGGGATCACAAATTGCTGCAATGACTAGGGACATTGCCCTCGCCGAAGCATCACGCTGGTCATTTGTCGATTTTAAATGGGTCTCACAATTCTGCGAAGATACCTGCATCACGTTGCTCTTGAGCCGTCGAGTACTAAGATATTCACGGAGAGCATGTAGTGCATATAACGATTTGAAAGGCTGTCCAAGTGGGAAGACGTCCAGATAAGAAGTCGTGGGATCTTCGAACGCCGTCAGGATTGAATCGTCAGCCGGGAGCGAAACTAGAAAGTGATAAATCTAACGATATGTGAGCACATTCCTAAACATTACCCAAGGAAAAGCCTACCTCTCTTGCTAGCTTCTCTTCCATGCTTAGATACCCCCACAAGTCTTTGAAGTGACTCAGGATCTCAATATCGAGTGGCGAAGCTCCTGGTTTTATGCGTCTAGGAGAGGTCGTAATGCCAGTCTCTTTCTTGACAAGGATCAGCCCAGTTTTTATGTCAAGTTCCTCTATCGATTTGCATATTGCGCTTTCTGATGGCGCTAGAGGTTGTCCGCGATAATACAGCCGGTAGTTGTCAAATCCTGTGGCTTCGCGCAAACTGGCGAGTAGTGAAGCCGCCGTATTTCTGAGCCCTATATCTAAAGATTTTATATCTGTTTGATCATTACCATCAAATGATTGATATTTCAAGTCTGCGGATTCGCCATCTACCGGGCTAGGGGCCTGGAGCATGAGAGACCGCAAATCAGGCGCCGCAAAATGGGGCCTGGTTTGCAGCGCCTTTAGAAGCGCTATAAGAACCTGCAGGGATCTTGTGAATTGTAACTCATGCTCCTCATGCTGTTCTTTAGACGGTACGACCACCGTGAGGTCACCATCTCCATTTGAGTTTCCATCGCTAAACTCCTTTAACCTTTGGGCTGCACGTTTGAGCTGCTGTAGGCACCGCTGCACTAGAGCAAAATGAACCCTCCTTGCGCGATGAAGTGGATACGATAAAATTGTCTTGCCGTCGACATAAATATCATCAACTAGCGTAGAAATAGCCGTTTCTTCAATGGTATGACACGGAGCCGTCAATATCATCTGCCAAAGTAGTTCGACTCCAGAAGACTTAACACTGTCTTCGTCATCAAGGACCATACCATTGACATCGTTTGCGAGAGGAATAATAGCTTCTCTAACGAACGCGAGAGAACCCCCGCAGTAACAGCTAGGTGGTAATTGGGGTAAATATTCTCGCAAGCAAGCATCGAGGAAAGGGTTATCTAGGCGTGTCCTCTTAAGTGCCGCATTTAAGTCGTCCCAGGCAGCTTTTCTATCGTCCTGGCATGCTGCGCCACTCCCAACCAAAAGATCCCAGAGGCGCCGGCCAAGTTCCGAATCGATGGTGGAACCATGATTCACAATAATGGCGGAAATAATCCTTCGGCGAGCATGGCCTATTGGATTTGCATAAACCGGAGAAAATCCAAGGTCTTTCGCATTAGCAATTGTAGATTCGAGTTCGTCAACCAGAAGCCGAGTCAGGTCGTGATCAGATATCAACATCTGCAGTGCCGGGGAATTACCCATGAGCGTACTTAGTACATGGAGACTCCCCGACGTGCTTCGAGATCTGGCCGCAATATCATGCACACAACTCATCCATATGTTTTCACGTCCTGCTGGATCGGGCCCCGAGTGTAAAAGAGCACTGAACTTCGACAGAGCGAAATGGTGTATTTCCGGGTATAATACAGAGCCTTGGGGTCCAAGGATAGACGACTCTTGAAGTAACCGAACACATATTTTGTACGGTGAAAGAGGGACCAGTTGGTAAGGTAGTATCTTCTCCTGCATTTGCTTTGTAACCTGGTCGAAAAGATCACGCATGCAAGAAGAGAAAGATTCTATCGGTAGACTATAGAATTTCTCACACATATAGCTGAGACTTTCCAGCTCGAGGAGACCAACTACCTTGGACATCATGCGAACAATAGCATCGGAGATTCGGGGATCCTGGGTTGATGTCAAAGTTTGCCAAAGTAATTCTGTCTGCGTGGCAGTGTAAGTTTTAGTAACGGCTAGGAATCCAACAATGTTAAAGCTTGCTTGGGTAATTTCTGGGTGACACGTTGGCCCAAGAAGATAGTCGACGATCCCAGTTGTAACCAGATAGCCAGATAAATATCGAAGGAAGTCCAAGTAGGGAATATCATCTCCTAATTCCTGTCGCTCCATATACGTCCTCCATTGTACAACGAGATCTTCGCATAGGTGCGATGTTGCTGCGACTCTAAGTTGCATCTGACGTGATCTCACTAGCTTGCAGCATATGCGCATCTTCCATTCCAATGAGAGAGCCTCTTGTCTGAATCTGTCTTGAAGATCAGGATGCATTTTTCGGTGATCCTCGAGTATTTGGGCGGTTTCGATGGTGTCACCGAACAAGCTAAACTTGAAAATTGACGTGAGACCCGCAATGAGATCCATGGCCGTCCCAGAACCCAGATTGTTGGTAGACTTCTCTATCACGATGTCCATGGCCTCCGAAGCCGCTACGAAAAATTTGAAACCGAAGATCATATTTCTCCTTGAGCGATCAAGTACTGACGGGGTATAAAAGTTGGGAGGTGACAACTTTCGATAGCTATCACGCACAAGGCTGTCCGTGAGGAGAGTGATTCCGATAAGATTATCCATTACTTTCTTAGGACATCGCGTGAGATTGGTCGTAATTAACTCGGTAAAGCGGCTCAATTGAACCTGGAGGCCATCAATATTTGCTTGAAGTACGTCGAGCGGCTCTAAGACTCCCGGATGGTTCGCAGGAATGTATCCGTTAATGGCAGTATGGCTTTCTTCCTTACTCGCAATGCTGCTGAACAATCGTAGAAAGTTTGGGGATATCAAGTCGAAGTCGCTGCCCTCCTTCTTTATTACCTGCATTAGTGTTCGGCAGTCAACTAGGAGAAGGAATCCGGTTAGTCTAGCAATCTGCATAAACATCTGACTAACGATGTCTCGAGTGTGATTTGACTTCGAACAGCCGTGCCTAAAGAGGGAATATCGTCAGTCAAGTCATATTGGGGTAACGCTTGGATTATGCATACCGATGGCCTATAGAACAAAAAAGCTCAGGAAGAGCCAGCCAAAACTGTCTATTTTCCTGGTATGCCTCTATGATCATAGGGTAGAATTCGATATGTGCGCATGATAGGTATGAATTTAGCCAATTATTTAGTTCATGTAGGGCATCGTCGACATGGGAGGATTCTAGTTTAAAGTTAGAGCATTGACGGAAGTTGGGAAATCTCGACGCACGTTGTCGAAAATAATCTGCGAGGCGAATAACCGTCTCGTGATACGATTCCCCATCAGTATGATATGGAAAATCGAGCATGACAGCACCAAATTTTGTCACATTTTCGACTGGTAGAAGCGTTATGTTGGGTTCCACATCGTAGGGGGAGAGGTCATCCTCGATTGGTGCTTCTGGACTATCAAGCTCGGATGTTGATGACGATGCATCTTCGGCCGAAGGTAGTTGTATCATATTTACCTCCGGTTCTTCGACGCTAACTTTAATGCTGTCTTTGCGGAATTGTGCGGGCGTGGGAGATGGAGGGGAGGAAGGCGTATTCTCAAGGCTGTCAGCATTCCTAAGGTTGATAGTGACCTTACTAGAAACAGGTTCAGCAGCAGGCTCTGAACGAGCCGGCGTACTCGGGGGAAGCTGCTCTGGCGAGTCGATCCTCATTATGTTAGAGTCGGAAGGGGTTCTTTCGTCGTCCGGGGATGGAATTGTTTCGACTGACGAGCTCCTAGAACCGGAAAGGGAGGTCCTACGACGTTTTCGGGAAGAAGAATCACCGTCGTCAAAAGGGTTAGGTCGAGTTGAGCAGGGCTCAGAGGAGACGGCTCGTTCTCGCGGCTCGGATGATCTCGAATCCTGATCCATCTGTACCTTGCTGACAGGGTCGGGAATGGTGGAAATCGTGGAGCTCCAGACAAAGCTTGAGGCGTTCGCGCGAGAAGGCTCGGCGGCTGCTGCTGGACTCCAGAATTAGCATGTGGGTTGAAGAAAGATAGGCGGGGTAAAACACTGGGAAAATAAACACAATAGAATAGACGGTAGAAGAAGAAAGAGAATAATAAAAGACAATCAAAGGTCTATAAGGGGTATCATCAAAGTGTCGAAAGAAGAGGAAAATGATTCTCGTAAATTGCAAGAACGACAATGAGAATTCCCTTGGTCAAGAAGCGGCCGGGGGAAGAAAAAAGAAAACAGATAGCCTAGGCACCTGTAATAGTTTGTGACGGTAGAAGATAGACGATAGACGATAGATGATGGACGTTTGGAGAAGCTCCAGTTACTTTGTTAGTGACGGGGACTTTTTCTTTGGGACTCTGGCGTCAGTGGTGCGAGTGTGAAGGAAGCTAATGGTGGGGGAGGGGCGTGTGGAGAACTTGGTTAGGAAGGCAGCCCTGGCAAAGTGGGAAACAAGAGCTCAGCTACCCGCTACAGTAGCAGCATTGCCTGGGACTAGCTAATAAATTGCTAATCCTAGGCAGGTGGGAGGTAGGGGTTCTTTTTTTCCATCTTTCCCCGGGGCCAATCTCTATCGCGCGATCTCTGGAAGATTTCCAATATCCAAATTTCCCAATGACGAAGCTTGAAATGTGACGCAAGGTGGGTTAACCACTTACCTCACATGAAGAAAAACGGCGACCAGCTCGAAGAGTGTCGTAATGCTTTAACCACCGTTGAAAGCTCTAATGCTCTAATGCGTAGACATACATATATTGAGATGACGGAGGTAGGTTAGATGAATAGATGTATGCAACGCGACCGCGAATAAAATAAAAGCCCCTCGGCGTATCTGATTGAATAATCAGGGTTCTCAATAGAGAGACAGAATGTGATACTGAACAAAGCGGGTAGCGTGAATAGTCGGGCAAGGCTGTAAGTCGAAGATTGCCTTGAAATAGTTTTGTCTCAAAAGAATGCCTGGGTATATCACGGTAGCTGTTGGATGATTAATGAAAAGTGCCAGAATTAGGCGACGCTAGTGCATTCGCAAAGTGGGGAAGATGTGCAGAAGATGTGCAAAAAGACGTGCGTACGCCGTAGTACAATGGGAGTATTGACGTATGTATGTATCGGTACTATATCATGTGAATTACCTAAGGTAAGTACAAAATGTTATGATAGTGCTTTACACTTACCTAGGTAGGTATACAATTTCTAATCTCTCAACAATAGGTGATGATGGACGTCCGGGAGGTCTGCAACCAGCTATTGGTAAGGCGCCCAATGTCCGAATATGATGCAAGATTGGAAGACGTAGGTATGGGTATGCACAACGGAATACGATGCGATTATGTTCTAAGCTAATCGTGATAAATTATACATAACATACATATATGTCGGTAGGGAAAGTCAACTTACTTTAGCGGGTCTAGGCTGCAGGGTCAGGCTAGATACCGAGGTCCTGGTCTGTCGTGTTGCCAGGCTGCCAGGGCAAGCAGTTAGGCGTCGTCCTCCACTTAAATACCTGTAGATGGTATGCAGTGTAGGTACACTACCATCTACATAGCAGTTGAAGTTCTAGAAACGCCCGCTTCTAGGCAAATACATATTAAGTGAACTGACCAGATGTCTTTGCCTTTTGAGATTGTTCTGGTTTGTAAAAAGGTGTATCCTTCTCTCCATTTCTTTGGATAGTATTAAATTCAACACAAAAGGTGCTTAAACATGGTCGCAAATACGGATTATATACCTACCTAATCTTTTGCCCATAGGTACCTAGGTAAGGTACTTACACGCATACTGGGATGTACGCAATGCATTTGATCATCCCCAGCTTAAAGTTCTTATAATATTGAAGAACGCATATGCATTTCGATGGTTGGTAGGTATCAGGTAATTCTAAAATTTAACTAGCAGACATCAAACCGCCTAACGCAAGGCACACTGTAAGTGTGCATAATAGCTTCAAGCATTTACTAACTAACTTCAATAGGTATACTATCTTAGTTGGCCGAGTTAGCCGTATTACATGTATGGTAGGCAGTGTACCTCTTATGCACATACAAAAGCGGAACAGGTGGGCTGTGAGGGACTCGGTTACGGGTATTAAAACACATAAATATTGAAATAGGTACATACTATGCCACCTACATGTAGGTAAACAACAAGTGCCTGAGAATATCCGTATCCCCAAGTCCCAAGTGTTAGAAATGGGATTCGATGCCCTATCAAGGCTAAAAAGCGCTCGAGTAGCCACAGGAGAGTACCTCAAAGAAAAATGGTAACATTTCCACATTTCCCCTTCGTCCATTAAACGCCGCTTGTTCAAAGGCCCGCACTATTTCCAATATTTGAGCGTCTAACACACGATTTGCTGAACAGGGAACATAGAAAATCACGGAGTTCTTCGGAGATAGAGGAGGATGTAGTCAAAGCCGAAGAAGAACGTCGTCGCCGGGAAAAGAACGAATTTCTCAACCTGGTTTTGGCGAAGATTACTGAGGAGTCAGCTATCGGGATGCCGCCGTTACAATGGGATCCGATTACGCCTCATAGGGCTGTCTTCTTAATCACCACGCTTATCGAGTTCGGCAGATTTGAACTGTCCAAAAATACGTACAAGTTGCTTGCTAAACATGTCGGTATGAGCCAAAATAGTGTTAGCCACTGGGCATTATGCGTGATTGACCGCCGCTTCAACCCTTCTTACTGTTACGACTTGATGAGTGATCAGATGGCACTTAACGCTATTGGCAAAAGCTACTTCCGGGTAACTGAGATTACCCCAGAATACATCCAAACATGGAGCTCATGTTATTATATCGGGGAGACGACAAAATCTCATGAAGAGATACAAAGAATAGGTAAGTACCTAGGTAGGCGCTGAGACGGAAGCGCTAAATTCTTTTGCCAAATTCTTTTGCCAAATTCTTTTGCCAAATTCTTTTGCTAATATAGAGCTCTAGGAGCCAATCACATGTCGACTCACCCGCGCTACAACCTCTTAACAAGCAATTGTCAGGACATGGCAGAAAGTCTTGTAAGAGAGTTATGCGACGGCAGGATAATCAGTCAAGCCAAACTAAGCGAAGAAATATCTTTGGTGTCCCCGAAGATAGCCTTAGACTTGATGGTAGCGCGGTTAAGGTCCAAGATAGAAGTTTTAGATGAGCATGAGGATAGTGATACTGTGAAAGAAGATGTGGATACTATCAAAGGGCTATGGCGTAAAGTCCATCGATGATCAATACTGATATTTTACCATAACGGTCAGGAAGATAGGGATAATATACATATCGTACGTACTTAATGCATAGGTAATTTGTAAAGTAAAAAATAAAGGTATAAATTTCTACGACGACTTACAGGTAAGGTTTTGTCTGTTTGATATTTTGAGACTTAGGCTCGTGCACAGACCAACAAATCCATATTAGGTTCAATAGGTGCGACGCGATTCCACCAAGAAACTTATTTCAGTTTCTGAAACAATTACGAATATACAACAGCAGCGAGAAGTACAAACTTAAGTATCTGTCACAGTAGCGGGGGTGGATTGCATACTTTCTTCGTCAGCTTGGACTACCTATGCATGAAGATGGAAAGGAGAAAGAAAATCGTCTATCAGCTTGATACGCCCTATTCAGCTGTATCATGGTACGAAACACAGGCCTCTAGCTTTTCCATTCCTATAAATTTAATTCACCTAGACTAACGATGCCAGGCCTAGCGTTACTATTGATGACCAAGAAACCATCTTAGAACTTCTGTGCAAGTGAGTCAAGAGTCCCCCAGATCATTCTCCGCGTCTAAGAACCCGGAAGAGTCATATCTGTGTCCTCTATGCTAACACATTAGAGTAGCTTGCTTACACCTCTGGGTCAATACCGCTCAGAGTATGTTAAGTTGTCAAAAGGCAAACGCGATAAGAAACGGAAACGCAAAGTTCCAACCACATGTTCTGGAGACATTTTGCCCCCTCCTTCTCCGGAGTTAAAGTCGTATGTAGACGTCGGACTTACAACCGTCACGCGTCATCTACAGGAGTTAGCATGTAAAGCACAAGCTGTGGAGACCAATTCGGACGACAAACTCCCTACTCAGGATGTTTCTCGCCGCCCCTATTCAGCTATCTTCGTAGCCCGATCTGGACAACCAAACGTTCTTAATGGACATCTCCCACAAATGGCAGCAGTTGCTTCGAAATCACATCCTGAGCAGACGCCTATCAGGCTAGTAGGATTATCAAAGTCATGTGAGGATCGTCTATCCGAGTCGCTGGGTATACCCCGTGTTTCCTGCATTGGAATCCGCGAAGGTGCCCCTGATTCCAAGGCGTTAATTGAATTCACGGCCAAGCATGTTCCTCCCATTAATATACCGTGGATGGAAGAGGCGAAGAAAGCGGAATACAAGGCGACTAATATCAACACGATTGAGACGTTCGTGGGTACTAAGAAGCAGCATAACCGTGGATTGCCTGGGCAATGATATTAGTTGGTCTATTGGCCACGTTCAACAGCTGAATATACCCGTCTAAAGAACGTCCCATTCTGGATATGAAGTTCCTTACCTGAGCGAGATATGGAAATCAAAGTGATTATATGTCCCCGTATGCCATACCAGATTTACAAAACACTAATGGTCTAGATGTTCATTTTTATCAGATCACAACCTTCTACCCACCCAAGTAGCCTTTGCCTAGCTGATTTCGTTTGCACTTGCGTGGGTGCCTGCATTTGCAAACACCAGTCTGAACCGGAGTATGTTGCTATATCTAATGTGTATCCTCTTGGTGGATTCAGAGCTAATCGCATTTTAAATAAATAGTCGTGACAGCAGGAAGCGGAAGTAGCAGACGCAAATTCACGATACTATTAAAACATGAATTAGTAAAGGGGGGTGTAAGTAAGTACATAACCTCCTAACCCAAGAAACCTAAGGTGCCACCTACCTGGGGATTTAAATAGTTGAATGTATCAAAGGAAGGAACCATATGGCTGTCTTTTCTATTGTTTCCGAGGCGATAGCATACATGTACAGGTCCGATTACCTATAGGTACCTAGAGGTGCATAAGGCAAGAACTACCTCTACATTATCCTCTCTGCCTGCACATATTCTACCCCATATTTTACGAGTCCTTTAGGTAAACATCTTATGAGGTTTTGTTTTGACTTTCCCATCCTTATCCTCTTACCAACCTTGACAACCTCAGCAGCTCTGTTGTTGAGCAAGTCGATCCTCCAAACCCACCGTTCTGTATTGTATTTTACACTTTGCACGCTTCTACTCGTAACAACCCTCTGAGGTTGTCATAACCTAGCTCTTACAACTTGACGGAGTTAATTGGACTTTTTGTTCGTGATCACTGAAGAGCCCAAAGAAAAGACGAATTATACCGTCAAGATGTTTGGACGTGGAAATATAGAGGACGCGAAAGAGCTACAGGCTTCTTTCACGCGCGCAAAATCACCTCGGCGCAACAAACGAAGCCAGGACAGGAGAAATGGAATCAACGCACGACAGGGAGGTGCCTTAGCGAACCATCGCCAGCAACAGAACCAATATGGTCAAGGTAGTAGTGTCCAGGGGCGCGCTCAACTGGGTTCAAGTTTAAGAATCCACCCTCGAAATACGGTACTGCATCACCCTATACAATCAACTCAGGGAAGTATTTCCCGAACACCTCGCCCTCATGAAATGCCTGTGTTCCGCGGCACTGGAGAACCACGAGCTGTTCCCACAGAGGGTATATCCCCTTTACAAGGACCCTCTGCCTCACAAAATGTAGCTCTTACGATTTCCACTCTGCAAGAGACATGGCAGAAAAGCATTACCTCCTCTAATGAAGAGGGAAGCACCACATCGAAGCCTCTTAAAGGCGAACTCACGGGGGATTTGACTCAACCACAAGTACAAACAGCCAACAGCCCTCCTCCGCCGCAATTTTGTAGACAAATATTTGGCCCACAGAGTGTAGGCGACCACTTCCAGACCGCTCAAGCCTTGACCCAATCTCCCGATCAGCTACAATTTGCCTATCCATCTCAACCCAATAATAATTTGGTGGACCCTGCTTTGGCATACAGCTCCGATGCTTCTACCTTAGTCTCTCAACGAGCCGTTTCGCACCATTACTCAGAATCTATACAATCCGAGACATCGCTCCTTGATGAAGAGGGTGAGCCGATTAGCCAAGACGTGATGCAATTCACTACTAGGAACGAGGCTCACCAGGATGATGATGTGGCCATGGGTGGCGTGGAGACAAGAAGCAACGTCAGAGTAGGCCTCAAGGCTTCACGATGGAACCCTGACAACCCTGATCATTATCCTGAGAAACATTTTCCTGAGCCCATGCATGTTGATCCGCCAACTCAGGAAAGACGCGGTCCTTCCGTTCCAACCGGCAAAACTGTGGTCAGTGGTATCTCCAAAGGACCCGGTCTCGCAGATTCTCGCTGGGCTTCGTAAAGTCGACTAAGATAGTCGCTACACCGAACCTCAAGTCTCTATTGTGGTTGTACCCATGTTGTTACCAGCCTCATTTCATCTAGGACTGTCAACTAGAGTACCTCGAGTATTCAGTACTTCTGTTCATCTTTATGCGTATGTGAAAGCTCATCTTCGGATTAATTCAGAACATCGACCATACGGGCTTAACGATAACGACGATATGTAATTTTACGCCCCTAAATGTACGACCACCCCCCTCGACTACATACTTACCTACCTAGGTATTAATGTTTTATCAACCGCCACTGTGAGATCCCAGGTAACGAGGAACGAACGCCTATAGGCCAACCCCGGCGAATCCTCCGACGTGTCACTTAAGGCTGTAACCCCTATTCTGTAAATGCGGGGATACGATCATGGAATATCAGTTTCTTTTGTATCGACTTCACTTAACGTATTTTCTGCTAAGTTAGTAGCAGGTAGCTCTCTCTACGAAGCTAGTCGTGTTGTTTTATTTTCACGCTGTCACGCAGATCATGACCTCGTGTAGTTTAGTCTTTCGTTTGTGTTGTTCGTATTCATGTGTGGTACTAATTAGGGGCTTGGGAGCACACAGTAGACTTCGAGATGTCTACATCTATTATATCACGCCTTAGCTCGGCGGTCTTGTACACAGAGGATTAATAATATGTCATGAGCCACGATGCCATTTGTGTTTCTAAAAGTGAAATTGCGAGAATTGGCACTTTAAGCTAATAGGTAGATCAATATGGCGAGAGCAATAATGAAGAAAGACTATGAGCAACAGCAGCCTCCTAACACAAGTGTTCGAAACAACCCGCAAGCCTCATTGACGAAATAAGTTAATCCCATCATGCATAAATTCTTATACTTCCAAATGAGAGGGTTTACACCGCATAGAACGCAAAACGGGAATATTGAAGTCGTGCCATATGAGGAATGCTGTTATCTTCGATGTTCGATGTTCATGTTTAAGAGGCCAAGATACACATCTGTACAAGTATACATGCATAGAAACGAGGTCCATAGATAACATTAGAGGCTAAACTTCGTACATAGATAGATACCTAATTCATGTATCTTTAAACCTCACCCACCCCCCCCTTTCCAAAACCACTCTACTTCTCCGCCAAACTCAGACTCTTCTCCACAATCCCCACGCCCCGTCTAACAGCAGGACAATAATGCCTCCGCAACATCTCCCCCTCCCAGATCGTCGCCGCAAACGGATTACTCGCCTCGGCGCTATCGGCCAGCGGGTTGAACGCGCCGTCGCCCTTGCGCTCCTCCGTGTTCCACAGCGCGGCTATCCGACGCCCGTGCGTCCCCGCCACGTCCGCGAGAAGCGCGAGGAGCGCCTGCGCCGACTTCTCCGGCATGTGCAGGGCCGCTGTCGCGAGCTGCTTTGCGAAAGCTGCTAGGCGGACGGGGGGCACCGAGCGCACGTTCCAGGGGGGCAGGAGGACGGCTGTTAGACAGCGGATTAGTAGGACGGTGGTCGTCTGTAGGTTGACTTTGTTGCCGGATTTCCGGCTCTTGTCGCGGGCTTGGGGCGGCTTGTCTGGGTCGGGGAGATGGAGGGATCGTGCGCCTAGCTCGAGGTCGGGATGCAGGCTAAGGGGGTAGAGGGTCTGGTAGAGGTGTGTTGTGAAAAAGGAGAGGTCGAGATGTAGGTCCGCGCGAGCGTTATGTGCGTCCTGGCCCGCGAGTAATTCGAATGCCGTCGTGGTGCAGAGGAGGGCTTCGCGGGAGGGGTTGCGGACGGGCGTGTCGTCGTCTTCTGCATCTCCTCCCTCTTTGTCTTCCGCGTCGTCTTCCTCAGACGCTTTGCTATGCCGGATAAGGTCCTTCAGCGCCTCGAGGAGGTCACCGAAGAAGTTCTGGTTGATTAAGTGCGCGTATTTAGATAGACCCTCTAGGACAGCGCCCATGAGATGCGGCACTCGCAGCTTAAGGATCCGGAAGTATGTACCAAATACGAGTTTCAAGGTTTCTCCCTCCATGCGATCCCGTTCTTCGTGCTGAACAAGCGCGTCGGCTGTGGCCATATCCTTTTGCAGCGACTTCTGTTCTCTCATCTGTTTCCGCTGCCGCTTAGTCCGGAACTCCCACTTCGACTTTGGCTTTTTGCTAGTATGGCCGTCATCCGGACGTTCCACGGAGTCCTTCGACCCCTTTCCCGAAAAGTCTGATAGTAGTTGGAGGTGAAGGAATAGATTGACAACGCTCTCGTTCACTTGGTACTCTTTGGCTTTCATCATCTTGGAAAGAAGCGAGACTGCTTCCATGGATGGGCGACCCTCCTCATCTTCTTCGAATAGGGTTTCAAGTGCTTGGAGACACTTATTGAAGTCGTCATCGACACGCCTCGTGCTTAGCTTCCCGACTAGTATCTTGACTAGGTCGGATCGGAAGTTAAAATGGGGTACGGCAGTTAACAGGTTGCAAGCACAAGTGATAGCAACACTCGCGACGCCTTGTGCATGACTAGTCTTCGCATGTTTGGTGAGTTCCTTTACGTATGCCTGATAGCCCGAGATGAGACATGTCTCGTAGGTTCGCAACTTTCTCACGTCCTTTGAAAGCTTCTCCTCTGGTCCATCCTCAGCCACAGGTCGTATTCGATAGCCAGGGATAACATCCTTATATACTGTGAGCTGTGTGGCCAAGGCAAGCTTCTGTATCGTCGGAATTCTGGACTGTCCAATCTTGGCTAGGGCCTTGAAGGCGCCAGTATTTTCATCAGGAGTCTCGTTAAGAATTAGAGCTATCTTAGCCAGCTCTTCTTTGGCTTCTAAGATCTGTTGATGCTCGGGTATTTTAGGCTCTTCGGGAGCCTTGCTCTCTTTAGCTTCTTCATCTTCAGACACATCCTCGGCACCATCTAACCAATCCTCGTCGCTTTCAATAGCTTGGAAGTTACTTTCTGGCGCTGATATATGCTGCACACGCCCACCTGGGAGCTTTAGAGGAAGTCGAGTACTCTCTTTCTCCTTTTTCTTCCCTTTCCTCGCTTTAGTCTCATAGTCTTGCTCTAAATCCCAATTTGACGCATTAGTTAAGAATGCTTTCTGGATCTTTGCACCAGACTTCCGAGATGGGCGCTCATAATCTCCGGGGGGAGTAAGCTTCCTTTTCTTTACAGGTCTGGATGCCATTGTGAAAATGTTGAAAAATGATAAAATAAAATAAGATGTTCGCAACTTGTGACATGCGATGCAGAAACTCAGAAACTCAAAACTCAAAAATTCAAAGATTCGCGGCAGACCCCTGTCTATCGGACCCACTATATACGCAGGTACACCAATAGGAATAATTCCGCGGTACCTATCTTCTTTCTATCTTCTTTCACCGCCAAAATTTCCAAGTGGCAGAATTTTTTCCTATGTCTACTGTTCTGAAGTACGCCCCGCGCTCTCTTATGAGGTATAGCATTATCCAATTTACTTGGCGCATACATAAAATACCGTCAAGATGAGGCAGCTTACAGAACAAGAAACGAAAACGCTTTTCGAGAAGCTAGCCAACTATACAGGAAACTCGTTAAAGAACCTAATTGCGCCGCTCGACGATTCGCCCGACGCCGATCGCTATGTCTTCCGTCTGAATCGCGACAGAGTATACTATGTCCTACTCTCCGTCGCCAACTTAGCCACATCGATATCAAGGGATCATCTTGGGTCGCTGGGTATCTGCTTAGGTATGCCAAAAATATTTACCTATAAACTTACCTTTTTCTTCTACCCCCTAAAAATTCATGTCTATACAACACAAGCCTTAGGTAGTTAAGTATAGCTCGCTAACAAGAAACCTTCACGAACAGGCAAGTTCAGCAAGACCGGAAAATTCAGGTTACACATAACAGCGCTGCCTATCCTAGCCGAGCATGCGCGGTATAAGCTATGGATTAAGCCCAATGGCGAGATGCCCTTCCTTTACGGCGGCAACGTCGTCAAGGCCCACGTCGGCCGCTGGTCCGACGACTGCCCCAGCCACCAGGGTATCGTCGTCTACAATATGTCCGACACGCCCCTCGGCTTCGGCGTTACCGCCCGCAGCACCGCCGAGGCCCGTCGCCTCGACCCAACCGGCATCGTATGTTTCAGGCAGGCCGACTGTGGCGAGTATCTCCGAGACGAAGACACCCTATTTGCGAGCTGAGCAGGCATAAATTGGGTGGGGGTGACGGATGTATGTATATACGAGGAGACAAGAAGAAAAAAAGGACGATGGGTAGCTTTTGGCACTAGAAGATGGCCTGGAGTTCGGAATTGGCTTGAGCTTTGTGCATTCAGGGGCGTTTGCGGCTATCTACAAGTAGTTCTATGTGACTTTGGTCTTTTCCACGAGACAATATAAAAACATTCTTGCGATGGTCGATGATCTAGGTATCCCTTATTAAATTTCTTTTTTTGTAGCCATGTAACTCCTTATCTCCTTACGCCGTCAGTCTATGCGGAGTAGCCAGCTTCTATAAGCTAATGTCGTTTTCGTAAGCGGCCACCCCTCCGCTATCGTTCACTTTGTCAAACACAGGTGTCACTGGCCGGCTCTCCCTACGAAGCAAACTTATACTGTCTCGGTCGGCTATGTACTCGCTGTCGGCGTAGCCTAGCAGGGTCTCGATCTGCGTGCTTCGGTGCCCCTTAATTCGGGCGATCTCGGGTGCTGCATAGTTAACCAGTGCTCTCCCGATCTCCACCCCGGGGCCCTCCCAGAGTTTACCATCTGGTCCTGGTTCTGATCGCCGCTCTACGACCACGATGCGAACGGCTTCATGTTGCGCAAAGTTTCCCTCTACGTCTAGAACGCCTACTGGAAGAAGGCCGGCTTTGTCTGAAAGGGCGCGGTGAGCGCCAACATCGATGTAAATCGTGCCATGCGGCGCTAGGCCGTGAAGGATCCAGAAGTAGCGATCTCTGATCGGTTGAGAGAGCGGGAGAAATCGCGTGTGTAACGGTGGTTTCTCTAGTGCGTTAAGGGCTAGAGATGCTGTGGACCTTGATAGAGGATCTTCCGCATCGTCATCTACCACGGGTGTATGTACTGACGATGTGCATTTCTTGCTAGCTTGCAAATAGCGAACAATTTTGACAATATTTCCCGGTGAGGATGATCGAGTGATGACCGTGGTGACGCCAGCAGATGTTGCGAGCCTAGCAGCAACGATCTTTGTGCTCATACCGCCGGTTCCTAAGGAAGATCCAGCACTGGATACTAAGATCGCATTAATAATATTGACCAATGTTCTACGCGATTATAGCCTTACCATCCGCACGTATTTCCCCAATATCTTCCACCACCTCTATGGGTTTAGCATCGGGATTTGTCCGCGGATTCTTGTCGTACAAGCAGTCGACATCCGTCATTAGAAAAAGGAAATTGGCATGAACCATAGCCGCAGTGATGGCAGATAGCGTGTCATTATCGCCAAACTTGATCTCAGCAACTGCTAAAGTGTCGTTTTCGTTTACGATGGGTATAACACCCATCTCTAAGAGCTCCAAAATAGTATTCTGAGCATTTAGATACTTTGTCCGCTGCAGTATACATTAGTAGGTATACCTCCCTTGACCACAATCTTTTTTTACTTACATCAGCAATATCATTTCTGGTTATGAGAATCTGAGAGATGGGCTGGCGTAGATGTCCAAATAGACTATCCCATAGACTCATCAAGCGACATTGGCCAATAGCTGCCAGCGCTCGTAGCTTGGATAGGTGCTTTGGTCTCTTGTCGATGTCCATCCGCTGAAGACCGACGCCAATGGCGCCAGAGGATACGATGATGACCTTATGACCATCTTTCCGGAGCTTCACAGCTGTCTCGACAATAAGAGTCAAGATCGACAACAGAGGCTCATGTGTCTTCTCATCAACGATGGAACTGGTTCCTACGTGTAAGTTAGTTCAATATTGACCTGTTCGCTTATGCATTGTTACATAAAGTGATTGCTCGAGGAATAAAAACTTGAACCCAAGACTTCGACGATTTTGACTCACCAAGTTTAATAACCACTACAAGTGGCTTAGGGCCCTTCATATCTAGCAACACATTAACGATGGCGTCTTCGAAGCAGGATATTTAGAAAGATAACATATCGTTTAACAGCCAATCTCCTTTTCTTATCAAATAAAAATCATGACTTACAAGGCGTTGGGCCCCCTGGATCCGCCATGGCTGTCAAGGGCGTGTTGGCGACTTACAGGGAATAATTCTTGTGGAGAATTAAGAATTCGGTATACGATTTACGGGTTTTGCTATGTAATAACTGTCATCATTGGACAGCAACCACGAGCTGAGAGAGGTCCTTTCCGCTTACACTTCGGTGGAACCCCAGCCGAGATCGGAAATTCTAAAAAGGCTGATCCGGAACCCGACCTTGCCATTGCTGTTAACCTAGTCCGTACCTAAAGGTACCTATTCCGTTATTCCGCGCTAGATTTAACGGACCGCAAAAAGATCGCGAGTTACATAGTAGTTGCTTACCCGGACCTGGAAATTAACAGCCGTCATTCCAACAAAGTTCACACGCAGTGGACCTTGTCTGAACTTCCAACGGCAACAGCAAATCCATTCCACAATGTCGTCACAACCGCAACCGTCAGAACCCTCGAAACCCACTTCCTCTCCCTCTCCCTCCTCAACAACATCCTCAGGCGCGCTCCCGCGCAACGTCGAAAACGACCCAGCACGAACCGGCTTCGACCCGCAGACAGCCTGGTGGGTCAACTACTTCAAGATCCTAACGGGCGGCGTGACCGACGAAGGCATATTCCACTACCGCGAGTGGCGGTACCGGGTGCACGAGGAGCGCGACTGCAAGCGGTGCGAGGAGTTTCGGGACTGGGCGTTTGCGCAGTCGCCGACCGTGCGCTTCATGCGCGAGAAGGTCGAGGCCCTGAACGGACGTCTCGACAAGGATAACGTCGTGTGCCGCCGGTGTCCCGCCCGCCTTACGGATGACGGCCAGGTCCATCGGTCTTCTGGCGGGTTTAGTCCCGACCATGGTATTTTGATATGTGCTAATGAGGTCCGGAATCGTGGACACCTGGAGGACACCCTGGCTCATGAGATGGTGCATGCTTGGGACCATTTAAGGTGGAAGGTCGACTGGATGGGCGATAAGGACTTGAAGCATGCGGCGTGTACAGAGGTATTGCTGCTCCTTTTCTTTCCGTGTTTGATATGAAAATACAAAATACGCAAGCCTTACTAACATGGTACTCCAGATCCGAGCAGCAATGCTGAGCGGCGAGTGTAGATGGGCTAGGGAGGCGTGGACGAGAGGGAACTGGAAGTTAACACAGCAGTTCCAAGACTGTGTGAGGAAGCGGGCAGCACAATCCGTGTTAGCTCGGCCGCGATGTAAAGACGACGTACAAGCAGTCAAAGTGGTAAACCAAGTGTGGGAGTCATGTTTTTCGGACACGCGGCCCTTCGACGAGGTTTACAGATGAGCGAAACCAATCCAAAACTCGCTTTCGAGCAAATGCTGTATTTATCACCTGTACTATAATTACCCTCCCGTCGGGACTCTAGCCAGGCGGCGAATAAGGTCTGTGTCTGTAACTTCAAATCATGGTACGCAATAACATCCGACTCCCCTAAGCATGCAAATTCCCCAGCCCGATTAATCCATCACCCGAACGCCTCGCCTTGCCTAAACATACATGTGAATTCATTCCAATTAATTCGTTATTTTTCGCTAGAACGATCCTTCTTTTCCCTATTTGAGGCACGCTCTCCCCTAATGCAGTGCTTGACAATCCATGGGTGCGTCTGGACCTGTTCCAACGGTATCCTTTTTTGAGGGTCGAGAACCAGTAGCTATGTACGTGTGTTAGTGGAAATATTCATCTGTGTGGGGAGAGAGTGTGTGTTTAGGTAGCTCTCACCTTCTTGATAAGATCCCTTGCTTCAGGGCTAACAAACGACGGGATAGTCATGTCTGCCTTCGCAATTCTCCTTTGCGTCATGACTGGCGTGTCTTCGAACGGTGCTTCTCCCACCAGAAACTCGTACGTCAACACACCTAAACTCCATAGGTCCACCTTCTCGTCGTAGTAGTTATCCGAGCTGCCAGGTTTGATCATCTCGGGCGGGAGGTAATCAAGAGTACCACACATGGTCTGGCGACGACTATTCGGTGCATGTACGCTCCAGCCAAAATCGGAGATCTTAATCTCGCCGTGAATCCCCATAAGAATGTTCTCCGGCTTGATGTCCCGATGGATGACGTGCTTGCGGTGCAGGTATCTCAGGGCGCTCGCCATCTGGGCGATGTACTGCGAAGCTTTCCACTCGGGGAATCGCTGCTCCCTCCTAAGGTGCTTATACAGCTCGCCCTTACCCGCAAACTCCAGAATCAAGAAGACTCGCTTGCTGTCGTGAAAGTGACCAAACAGCTGTAAGATGTTGGGATGCCTCAAGTTGCTCTGGATCTCGATTTCTCGCCGCACCTGCTTCTCAACTCGACCCTGCTCTAACTCTTTCTTGTGAAGCACCTTCAAGGCACAAATATAGCCGCTTGTCCGCTCTCGTGCTAAATAAACTCTTCCGAATTTACCTTTCCCTAATGGTTTCCCAATCTCGAACATGCCAAGATGGAACTCTTTTGGTAGGAATGGCTGGTCAATAAGAGACGCCGACTTCCGCTCAACCAGCTCCTTTTCATCGGATGATGTCTTTGATACCGTAGTAACAGTAGGAAGTGGTTTCCTAGTAGGTGAGGGAGGTGGTGCACCTTTATTACGTTGTGCAGCCTGTGATGGGAGGGTGACTGTAGTAACGGTATTTGCGCTCTGCGCTTGAAGAGCGACCTTAAAGAGGTTTGGACGACTCGAACCATGTACTGTTTGTGTTGTACTCCCAATGGTCTGTACACATAGTCGCAATCATAAGTCAGCCGTCTGATTTTCACACCTAGGGAATATGGCGGTGATGGGACAAACCTTTGGTTTTTGGTAATCGTTCTCATCATTGACGGACAAACGCCCAAATTGGGATTCCAGTGTTCGAGCTGCCATGGTTTCCAGCTTGATAGGTCGCTCTATCATTAGATCGAAGGGCTTAGGGAAATGTGAGGTTATTCGCTTGTCAATTGAATGACTTTCAAGAAATAGGAATCGGAGTTGATAATTGGAGAAATAAATGCTGGCATTGTTATTAGCAAATAACCCCTTGTTGACGCAGCAACCATTGAGACCCATAATTAACCCCCCAAAAATACTGTGGTAAATCCCTGTCTGGCAGGTACATAGTACGTTCTAGACAGGTTAGGTGCTTCCATATCAATCTCAGCAGAGGTAGCCATCCGTATGCGAGGTGCAACTCATTTATTTTAGGAAAATTTAAAATTAACCAATTGATTAAAAGAATACCTATTTATATTCACTCTACGTTCCCAGGCACTTTACACAACTTTTATTTGAAAATTATGACTCGTGAGTCAGGTACGAGATAACTACAGTACAATATCGTTACAGCAGTGGTCAAGCCAAATAAGAACCCTGTAAGGTCCGCTATCCAAAAAAGTAGCCAATTAGATCTAACCAATACAAATTTTACTGTCATTGGAACCCCACCAATTTAAGAGGCTAAACGAAGCAAAGCCGGTGAGTTATAGCACTATACACACTAACTAGGTACTCTCAATGTGAATGAAGCAAGACATGTATAAATCAAGCCATAAAAATGATGCGGTTCTGGAAGGAAAGTCAAACATAGAAAGTGGTGTCGATATAACTAAGTTAAAGGAAACAGCTGAGGATAAAATGTCCAGACCCCCAACATCCCATTTTAGAGATCAACATGCATACTTCTAACTCATCTCCCAGGACTTCAACAACCATTCCAATCTATGCAATATAAACCGTATATTATGACTTCCCGCAAGTTTGAACGGTCGTTTCAAATAGTTCTAGAAATGCTACAGTCGCATTAGGATCCAGCTTCATAAGGCTGACTATCTACCGTCCACTATCTACCCACCTCAAATATGTGTACAACTTATGTACTATTTACAGTCCTCGGCCAATTTCTATCCCGTGTATTAGTATACTTCAGATGGGAAAATCAACCGAAACCACAGTGAATTAGTGGAAATCAATACACGTCCTCTTTATTGTCAGCTGAATCAGTGTATGCGTACTCGGCGCTCCAACATTCGCATTCACTCCACCGAACAGAAACCAACTAGCCGGTAGTGAGGGTACTCGTCTGACTCTGCCCTGGATTTCAGCGTTGATAGTAAAAACGTTGGTGTTCTTTAGGAGATCGCATTATATCTGACTGAAGTGTAGGGCGCCTTTTCCATGATAATCAGCGTCTACTTAACCATCGTGATCATAAAAACGTAGTGTGAAAAAGAAAGCCAACTACGTCGTCGAGCTAGGTCAGGTTAACGAGGATATGCCACAACCCTTTAGAATATCTCATATTGTATCTTCAATATATTTGGCATTGGGCAATAATTCTCTAAGCGGTCTTCTGATAAGATGAACCACTGTGACCATCCCTGAAAAAGGCAAGTAATTCATAGATAATATGGAAACCATTGCAAGGCATCAAGAGGTACTAGAAGATACATTTGACGCAAATTAATCACAGAAGGAAATAAGTCTTTAGAAAGGGTCAAGACTATCGTTAAGTTGGCGATATATTCGAATAGCGAAGCCACATCTATATACGTCATAAGTACTTAAGATAAGGACCCAAGCCACAATCAATCGCCCACCACTGCGCCAAGACCTTTAGCACACCTGCAGTTTAGGTACTTCAATAGTGTAACTACCGTGCAAAATAATCAATGAAGCTTCAACTTTTTCGAGAAGCTCCATCTAATCCCACCAAGACAATCCGGGACTCTAATTAGCCTCACCACCGGCCGTAACCACGTCCCATATAAAAAAGACTCAGGTTACAGAAGCAAATAATAAGCCCATCATGGACTCCTCCGGATCTATTAAGGCAGAGGTCATCAAGCAAGTCAAGACCCAATACGCCCTGGAAAACGCAAGACTACTAATCGAGGTACGTATTAGAAATAAACGCCTATCCATCCGCACATGCTAATCCCGAAAACCCGTCTGAGATGCAAGTGGACTAACCCGATATGCTACCATGCAGAAGATCAACGAGCACTGCTTCGAGAGGTGCGTGCCCAAGCCGGGCCCCTCGATGTCGAGCGGCGAGTCGACCTGTTTCACCCAGTGCATGGAGAAGTACATGTCGGCATGGAACTCAGTAAGCACGACATACATCGACAGATTGCGACGGGAGCAGTGAGCTAGACCTCCGTCTTGGAGGCTGCATCGCAAATGTCAACTCGCCCCTACTCGATGTACATTAGAATCCGCCATGTTGCGAGCCGTAGCCGGCAATGGGAAGAAATGGAGGGGCGTTCTCACGGTGGCATCGGGACAGCGGAAGCATAGAATGTACAATATTATCAAGGCCGCTGTATCGCGACGGAGGTATCCCGTCTTGAATAGAAGATAGGGTGGAGACGGACACTCTGCTCACGACGTTTCTGCGGCAGCTTTCTTCTTGGCTTCCTCAGCCTCTCTCTTACGTGCTAGGTATCTCTCGCGCGCGCTCGAGACGTCGGTCTCGGTCTTGCGGCTCTTGGACGCGCGTTCGATCTTTTGCCTCTCCTCTTCCTCCTCGGCGAGGGATCTCTTGAGAGACTGTTCTAATTGCGCCTCGAGCATGCGAGATTGCCTTTCGCGCATAGCTTGCTTGCCGCCAGAACCGACAAAGTTGCGAGATTGGCCCTTGTCGTCCCTGCGGTCTGGGCCCTTGCCCGCGTCTCTTCGAGGTTCCTGTCGTTTTGGTGCGCCTAGGTTGAGACCTCCCTTTAGCAGCTCGCGTTTATCCACTACTTGGCCATCTTCGTTGATGGCAATTTTACCGCCCTTCTCGTTGATTTCTCTTGCCACATCTGCGTCCGTCTTGACTTTCTCTTCCGACACATCTTCGTCCTCTTTCGGCCCGGTTTTCGCGCGCTCCTCCGCCGCCTTGATAACTTCAGCGTGTCGTTTATCGCCCCTTTCCAGTAGATCCTTGTAGAATGCAGTCATGCCACCACCTTTATTTTTCTTGGCTTCCTCCTCCTCGCGCCTACGCTCCTCTTCTTCAATGCGCCTATTCTCCTCTTGTTGTTTCTTGTACGCTTCCGTGACGAATTTCTCCTTGTCTGCGTACTCTTCGCCTTCTTCCGCCCGTTCTCGCGCGATCTTCTTCTCTTCGGCAATTAGGGCGTCGCGCTTCCGTACGGCGGCAGACGCCATCAAGTTCTTCATGTACTTGGGTTTGCGCTCAATATCTTCCTGTGTGGCCTTCTTCTCCGGCTTCAGGGAATCGTAGACCGCATCGTAATCGTATATCGATGGATCCAACTCCTCGGCGGCTTGTTGGTGTTTACGCGACTCCAGAGAGCTTGATAGGTCTCCAAACATGGAAATTTGGGGCTTTTTGCTCTTGCCGTTCAAAGATTTGGTAGGTAGGCCATTTTTCAACTTTGGAGGGGGCTTCTTATTTGATTGATGACCAGGCGATGCTGTTGTGAAATCGTCCAGCTCTGATATCTCGGTAGCTTGAGGGCCATCAGCTGAACCGTTCGCATCGTCGTCTGATCCATCATCATCGCCAAACATTGGTTTCCTTTTCGGGGGAGCAGGTTTCGAAGCGCCCGGCTTCTTGGCGAGGTTTAAGCCAAAAGATAGCCCTGGCTTACTCATATTTGCAGTGTCTGACCTTTGTGTATGAAAAGTTGTTCCAGTCGATGGTGAAGCTGTCTTTAGAAAGGTGGCGCGGAGGGTCCACTGTGTTACCGGCAATGTACATACATATGTACAAAGTAGACGCTAAAGGATAGCAATTCCGATTACGGATGTCCCTTTTAAAAGTTTTTTCCATAGGCAAATTAGACCCACCTATCAGCCACCTGTCAGGGCTTGGCACTAGTTGTTGCAAGTGTTAAATTATTAATTATAATACATTAATTAGTAAATTTATATACGATTATTAGCTACGTTTTAAATGACTTGTAATTAAATTAAAATAAATTATAAAAATTAAAATTATATATTGTTAAAATTATTAACGTTATTAATATTTTTTTAATTTATTTCGTTTATTTTTAAAGTTATATTTATTTAAATAATAATTTTTTTTATACGTTATTTTTTTAAGTTTTAACTTTTTTTATATTTGTTTTTATTTTTAAGTTTAATGATTTTTTATATATAAATAAAGATTTTTTTAATTTAATTTTAAATAAATTATTATAATAATTTTTTTTAATATTTTAATTAAATTTAAATAATTTTAAGTTTAATTTTTAAAGTTTTTTATTTAATAATTAATTTTTTTATATAAAATTAATATTATTTAATAACGTTTAAATCGAAAAAATTAATATATTATAATATACGTATAATTTAAAATAATTTATACGTTTTAATTTAAATTTAATAAACGTAAATAAAAACGTTATCCTTTTATATAATCGTGTTTAATTTTATTTTTATATACTTTTTTATAAAAAGAATTAATTTTATAAAAACAATTTTTTTACGATAACGATATTAATTAATCTTTCTTTTTTTTCCTCGAGTTAATTTGTTTTTTTTAACTGTAAATTTCCATTTAAACTTACGGTTAAACCTTTTATATAACTTTAAACAATTTATTATTATAGTTAATTTTTACGTAATTTTTAAATAAAGTTTAAATTTTTTATTTAAAGCTTTAATTTCGATTTTAACTTCTTTTTTTTCGGCTATTATTTTAAAGGTTTAATAATAATAAAAGTCTTTAATATTATACGTAAAATACCTTTAAAATATAAATTTTAAATAACTTTTTTAACGTTTTTAAATATAATTTTTAATAACGGTTTTAATTAATTACTTTTAAATTTTATAACTTTTTTATTAATATAATAATACGATTAACGTTTTATTAAATTAAATAACGTTTTTTTAATTATTTAAAGTTTAATTTTTATAAATAAAACATTAATTTAATTTTTTTTATTTTATATGTTTTAAAAAGTTTAACTTTTTCGTAAATTTTATTTTTTTAAATTTAACTTTTTTAAAAACCTTTTAAATAATAATATTTAATATTTAAATGCTTTTTTAACGTAATTTAACCGTTAATATTTTACAATTTTTTTTACGATTATATTTATTTTTTTTAATTTTTTTAACGATTTTATTTATAAAAGCTTTATTTTAAATTATAAAACGGTTATTACGTAAGGCATTTTATAAATATTTATTTTTAATAATAAAAAAATAAAAATTAAAATTAAATTCTTATTAAATTACACGTTTATAAATTTTATTATAAATATAAAGTTTAAATTTTATAAATAATTTAATTTTATTATTAAATTTATTAACGTATAAAAATTTAAAAAATATAATAAATACTTTTATAATAATATTTATATAAACCATTATAAAATAATTAAAAAAAAATTAAATAAAAATAATTATAAATAAATTTATAATTTTAATATACGTTATATTATTTTTATTTATTTTAATTTTAAAATATTAATTAAACGTAAATATTAAAAAACGTGGCCTTAATTAATTTATTATATAAAAAACCTATTTTATGTTAATAATAAATAATTGTGGGGCAATTTAAAAAGCTGATAGCTATCTTAACACCTGGCGCGCGTGTGACAAGGGTTTCCCTATGGAAAAAACTTTTGAAAGGGACATCCGTAGATAAGATTAAGCTTACAATCTTATCGGTACTTGTTATTATAATCCCATGTAATAGGTACATGTAACTTTCCTATCCGTAATAAGGTTCAACAACCTATTAAGGTTAGAAGAGAGAGAGAAGGAGAAGCTGCAATCTTAAAATACTTAAAAGCAAAATCTCATATATAGAATAGTCAAGTTCCCGCAACTTAATAAAGAGTAACTAGCGCATAATAATACTTCAGTATGTCATACAATACCTCAAATATGCTCCCCTCCTTTAATAGCAGTATCGACCCCGCCAATCATAGAGACATAAACCAAGACTTCCTGGAAAGCTGCATGTATATTGTTATATTCTCATTTTCAAACGCAGCTTCCCTTTATTCCTCGTAGCTCGTATTTTGCTGTATACATCGCCTACATTTTGGGTGTCTATACATATATCTACCTTGGCATTGTATACAAAGCCATGGCATTGACAGAGACATACCAGACCATCCAAAACTGGATCACTCGACAGTTGGAGTACGAGGCTACACACGGTTCTCCCGCGCCGGTGACAGACACCCAACGGAAGCTACTCGAGAAGCTGCAAGTTGCGCTACCTCCTTCTACACCACCTCAGCCCGAACCGGAGTTAGGGGATGCTAACTGGGTCGGTCTACTATTAGGTATATTTAATTCTTACAGCTCAGTCTCTTCAAGTTATTTATGATGTTAATCTTGTTATAGAATACCGAGCTGCCCGTCAACGAGTACCCACTAACGCTCCTGGAGGTGACTTTAAGGAGCAACCGGGCCCAATTGTATACGGGGTTCAGAAGTGGCATTATCAAGTGCACATCGATGAGCACCCGGAACCGTTTCCTGGACCCGATGGTGGTTTATTCCCAGACGGAACTCTGCCGTCTTTCGCACGCAAGAAAGACGCCAAAAAGTATGCAGCAAAATGTGCTGTTGAGTGGCTCGGCGTAAATGGATATATGCCTCGACTCAACGTCAACGGCGTAAAATCCCCTCCGGTCCAAGAAAAGCCAGCCACACCACAACCTTCGCCAGCTAGGAAGAAGCAGAAGGTTGCGCCATCTTCACCTCAGAATCCCGAGGCTTCGACTCCTAGCCCCCCGCCGAACAAAGACCCAGAGAGCCTTTTACCTAAGGGAATTGCCTCAACTTTCAACGGCGACGAGGTCTCGGCTATCTTCGAAACCGAGCGGCTTTGCACCCAACTCGGGTACCCTGGCTTTCCTCAGTTCAAAACCATAGAGGGCAAGATGGCCGGTTTCTATAACGGTCTTCCAGAGCTAGGGACGCTAGCTTTGAAATTGCCCCCAGGCATCGGCCACGTAAAGGATATCTACGGCAGAAAGGCAGTCAAGGAAAAAATCGCGGAAGAACTACTTGAGCCTTTACGCAAGCTAGCTGCAGAATCTGGACAGGCAGATGAGCGATCCAAGCCAGGTTCGTTACCAGTTAGAGGGACAGAACCGCAGGTTCCGGCCTAGTTAGGTGCGAATCTGGCGGGCTTGATTGCTGATGTGGCTGCATAGTATGACCGGCGTCGGGACTAGAGCGTTGAAGGGCGTATTTCATAGGGTAATCACGGAGGCAGCCATAAATAAATACAGCTTCTTCCAGTTACACATTAGAGCATATTTATGAGTTGTGTGTTACGACCTTCAGGCCAAGATGATTCAACATGATTAGCTAGGTTAGTTCAGATTCTACTTTAACAATAACGAGTCACTTCTAACTTACACAACCTTACGCGCGTGTGAATGGATTGACTCTTTTAGTCCGTCACTTGGTTAGTGATGTGGATGAATAGTATCTACGAACCATTATCTAGCCAAATACAAGAGAACTTACATACCTATTTAACCCCCTTTTCCAAACGCGAGCGAGACTTTCATCACATTGTCAATCTTCTACCCCTATCCTCCCATCTCTACTACCATCGCCGTAGGCACTATCAAAGCCGGATCCCCCATGTCCACAACCCGCCTAGAACCACGATACCGATCTTCCCGGACAGACAATACGATGAAGATCCCCAAATATCTCACCCTCGGTGTTCTCTCTTGCTTGCAGGGCCTGTCCCTCGTCAGCGCCGAGCCGCAAATGTTCGATAACTCGATTTGCCCATGGTACTACCTCCGCCAGAACTATCATAACAGCTTCGACGTTTATACCGTAGAGCTCATCGCTACCTGCGGCGTTGCCGTGAATTCTGCATTAGAGTATCATACGAGCCTTCTAGATTTGGATAGGTAAGCCCCTAGGTTATAAATCCATCATTATGTAAAGAGAATTTGCTAACGAATGTCTTCTTCCTCTTCGCTTATATAGGTGCTTCGTCAACAAGGATGGGAATATCAAGTTGGCCACCCCGGATATGGCGCCCCTAGGGGGTTTCTCTAAGACGTGCTGGAGCTGCGGTCTCATGAACATTGGACCTCACGATATTACCCCTGACACATCGAAGCCTATCATAGCTTGTCAGTGCAAACCCGAAGAACCCAGCACTGATCGCTCGCGCGATGCGTCCTTTGAGTTCGGTGAGTTTTTGTCCATACTACCTCTTCCCTTGTGCTGAAGTAGCGAAATGCGATTACGGGCGTTCTAACCTCCCTCTCTCTCTCTCTTAATTACAGACCAAGGAATTTGGATCGACAAGAACGGTGTTATAGGATGTCTGGATCACACCGCCGACATCATCCCCTACTCCAACTCTACCACGCCAAAAATGATTCCCCCGAATCTACTAGCGCCGCCTGCAACGGTGACTTCAACGGTAACGTCCACGGAGGTGCAAAACAACACGCTCATCAACACCGCTACGGAGACAAATAATGCCACAGTCGTGAATACTGCAACCGCAACCGCCACCGTCACCGCCACCCTATTCAGCACCGCCAACCCCTCTTGCCCGTCGGGGTCCCAGGTCACAGTGACGAAGACGAAGAGGAAGAAGGCCAAGACGCTGATTAAGACAGTCACTACGCCCTCTGTCAGCACTTACGTACTCACTGTTCTCGTTACGCCTCCGCCTACGGGCAACGTCGTTGCTAATATAAAGACGGAGACGACGGCGTATGCGTCTTTCACAACCGTCTACCCGAGGCCTTAAACAGGACAAGGTAGGTAGTCAGCCGTTCGAGATTATGGTTTGTCTATTTCTGTGCGTATCAATGCAGCTCGGAACGGGCGGGGAGAGTGGGGGTTGGCGCTTTATTCGGGTTTCGTTATTAGAGAGGTATTTGGTTATTCACCGTGTGCCTTGGACTCGAACTAGTGGCCAGCTATATACTCCGACGAGTATAGTGGGTTCGGTGCATATCTATAGGGTCCTAATATTATCAATATTCTTTCACTTATTCATGTAGTTGGAGCATGATACATTAGTGATTTGTCCAAGTTCGAAGGGGTTTGTCCTACTACTTACCTACTTTAAGACGACGAATCGATGTTGGTAATATGGTGAATGTAACAAGCGAGTCACAATAAGAAGGAATGCAATCCGAGGGCTTAGCATCGTGATCATTTCTACGTGTCCCTGATCTAAGTAACACATATTTTCCACGCGCTCATCCTTCTTGCGTTATCGACCATTCATTCACTTTGCCTCCCCCTGGCCTGCCCCCCTTCCACCTCTTCCTCCCCGTCCTGCACCCCCACCCCTACCCCCTCTACCCTTCCCAAAAGGTGCCTTCACGACAATATCCGGCGGTAAATCCGCTACCTTCTCGCCGTCGCGCCACAAGACGCCCACGCCCTGCTTGCGCCCCCTCACCTCCTTGATATACTTCAGCGGCACCAGACCGTCTTCGTTCCCATCCGTCAGCACGACCCCGTTCGCGCTGATCCACCACTTAATCCCGCCGTCCTCTCTCAGGCTCTTCTCCACGTCCGCAAACATGAGCAGCTCCGCATCGGACCTCATGCCGCTGACCACTCCCCCTTGGCTAGTAGCACCAGCATCGCCGTCCTCGGGCAACAGCCCCGTCCCGAAGTGCACGTGCTGCCGGCCCATGCGCTTCAGCCCGCCGGACGCCACGATCGCGGGCCAGAAGGCGAAGTAAGTGCCGTGGACGACGATCGGCGGCACGTTAGCGTCTTCCAGAGTGACGGGCTTGTGTATCTCCTCGGCCTCGAGCGCGATGCTGTGGCCCTGGTTGGCGCGGATCAGCCACGCGGCTGGGTCGGCCGGCGCGCTCTCCGGATCCGCGACAGATGGGTCCTTGGGCTTCATGGCGAAGCGCTGCTTGGCGTTGTCCGCGACCGAGGAGCGGATCTCGTCGAAGGACGGGTTGAGCGAGCGGATGCGCGGCCATTGGATCTGGGCGTGTTAGTTAGCGGGTTGGATAATAATTATAATTATATTATTCGTATTACTTGGGGTGTCTATATATCTCAAACCCCCTTTTCCCTCCTATGTACCTAGGTAGGTAGGCTAGTGATATAGGGACCCTATAAGCGCATGCGAAAAAAAAAGCAAAACTCACCACTTTATCCAGCGGCGCGTACCCCTCAGCATCAAGCTTAATCCCCGCGTTCTCAGCCTGATGTCGGAGCAGCGACGACAGCGCCTTCGAAATCAACACCTCGCGGTCTAGGCCCTTTCCACCTCCTCTACCGCCACCGCGTCGATCCCGTCCCCCTCTGCCTTTACCCCTAAGCGCCATGCCCTCCATTCGCTCAGCGGCGGCCTCGGCGAGCAAGTCGTCCGCCATCTCTAACCTGTTCCTCTTGTTTTTGCTGTAGCAAGCGCTTCTAGTGTGGAAGCTATGTATGCGCGCGGCCGGCGATGCTAGTGTAAGCCGAGCCTGGAGAGTGCGCAGCGCCGGGTAGCAGCGGAAGGGCAGCTGCTTAATTAAGTATAGGCTAGCCAGAGTGCAATAGTTTTTATGAGGTGTATAGAGTGAACTTAGCGAGGGCTCTTTATTCTACCTCTTAAGTTGACTGGATTTGGCTCTATGATTGTAGGTAGGTACCTACTAGGCAGTAATTGCTATGTGTGTTTAGGTAGTGTTACGGGATTGTCAAAGTATCCAAATAAATTATGTCGCTAGTAAATAAGTAGATCCACCCTTCGGTCTGAGTCAATTGCTTGCTTGAATTTTTAAAAGCGTCATTCTAATACTATCACACTACAACTTATCAAATTTCCAAAGCTTGGAAAAGTTGAATAAGAAATTCAAGAAATAACATCCGCTTTTGTTTTTAGGGAGGTTTGAGAAATTAATCAAGTTAGAAGCTTATTGGTTTAAAAAGCGCTCCTTGCTTTGACGACAAAATGTTGACAGATACTCGGTTTATAGCATCAAGGAGAAAAGCACCACAACCCATTAAAGACTGTTAAGAAGGAATAAACTTTTATATGCTCATCGCAAAAACTAAAGTATTCATACATTATCCGCCCAAGTCTTCTGGCGACCTTATTTACATAGTACATCGGTATTCGCTTTACCGTCCCCAGCTCGCCTCCCGAGCACCTGTAATGGTATAAAGGCTCCTTTTCTTCCCGCAAGTCCGGCCCCGTCCGGCAACCTAACCTCCCATACAAAGGACCTTCGGAGCAGCTGCTCCACATGTAGTATAGTTGGTGCTTTCCCTATTCGCCGTGAGATTGAGGCATTGGAGAGCCCTCTCCTAGGCCACCTCGCTAATCCGTGCCCATGTTATTCCACGACCCTTTTGGTGTCTTGTTCCCTAGTAATGTTGTTTGATATACACGGAATAACGCTTGCCATCGCTCGTCTTCAACAACGGCAGCTCAGAAAATTCGTAAACTTTTCGCAAAGACGGGGGGGGTATTATACGAAATAAAACAAATTCCCGAAAAAAAATAAACAAAATAAAAAAAACATCTACTAGCTATGCAGAATCCATGCTTGTGGGGAAATTTGCCTTAGCCCGGATGACAGTCTATTGTTACATTGTCATGAGCGTATCAAGTCGTTACGGCATTATCGGTAGCCCCCCGTCGCGGGAGAGCTCGTGGCAATCATACTTCCACGATTTGTTCGTTTGTCCATACTTCCGGATCGACCAATAGCAAATTGCCGTTGCGATCGATCCTCAGCCGATTTTTCTACGGCGCTATACGTTTCGCGATCCGGCGTCGATCGTTCGAAATACCGGCGAGCCGTGCTAGCGAAGCCAGACGTCGATCCAGGGATCACTAATCTGCTGCTGAGTGCGGAAGCCAGCCGCCTTTTAGGTAGAGCTGAAGACGCCAAAGGCTCGGGCTCCTTTGGAGGTGCTGGCAAATGTGATGCGTATTCGCGTGTTCCGGATCGAAGCCCGTGGACTTCAGTGATAGCGCGGGATGGTGCGCGGAACTGGCTTTGCTCGTCGTCACGATTTATTGTGCCCCGACGACCTCGGGTTAATGTAGGTTTGCGATCAGACAAGTCCTCAGGTTCTTCTGTAGTGGCGCGCCGTGTTCTAAGTAGTGACGATTGCGATGCCCTGCGCGCTTCGTCCGGCTCTTCTGATCCAGCTCGGCGGTTGCGGGCTATCAATAGCGAAGTCTTCCGGCCAGCACCATTCGCCGTAGCCTCGGTTGGGGTCGCAGGTGTTGTATTATATCGTGGGGATAAAAAGGTAGTCCCCAACGTACTATTTCGTCTCTCTTCGATATTTCGCATCTCTTCAATTCGAGGTATAGTTCTCGGGCTGGTATTGATCGAGAGGTTGCGATCCGCGATACTTTGCCGTCTTTGAGAGGCCATCCCTTGGAATTTTGTGATAGTAGGGCTTGCTAGCAGAGGATTCTCTGGAGTCGGCGGAGCTACTTGCTGCTGTGGCTTCATCTGCGCCGCCCCTTCACTTAACGCGAGACATAATTCAGTGAGACTGCGGCAGATACTATCTGCTTTTCGTCTTAGTTGACGGTCGGTAATAGTAGTACCGCTACCAATGCTACTTGCGCCGCTCGCAATAGGTCCTGGCTGACCAGCGGTACCCATCATTATTGAAAGTGCCAATGCATCATTAGCTGCTGCTTCAAGCGCTTCGAAAACTTCCACACTAAGAAATTCCTTGGACTTAGTCAATGCCGAATGCAGTAGGGGATGACCTTCTTTCTGTGCGATATTTGTGTCGGACGTTTGTGCGGCGCCCCCAGAACCGCGCTTGGGAGAGGCAGATAAGGTGGTTGCGTTAGTGTGGGCAGTTGGGGGTCGTTCATCAGATGCTCGCGAGATGGCTGCACCTGAGGTCGGAGGCAGCTTGCCGGTTAACTCAAGACGGTGGATACGAGACTTGAGGTCATCGAGCTCGTCCCATACTGTAGAAGGAGCGGCAGTCGAAGCCGTTGAATTGGTCCCCTCAACACCATGATTTGCATCGTCTAATTGGGCTTCGTGTCTTTGGGATTCTGCTGGTTTTGGTACTAGTGGTGAAGAGTTGTAAGTGCGAGGGTGGCTGTAGTTGACATTGGGCTGTTTGAGCGAGGACATGCGGGATGGGAGAGCAGTGCCGCTATCAATAGACGCTTGTCTTTTTCGACTGTAAGCAGACCCTTGGTCAGAAGGGGGTTCTTGAAAAGTTAGAGATCGAGGCGTTAGTGGTGAACCACGAAGAGCGCTGCCGCCTCTAGGTTTTGTTTCCTCGGATTGTTTGTCTCTGGGTACTCCTTTGAATATTATAGTACGCGCGATTTTCTCTCCCGATTGATCATCACCGAAACCTCGAGATCGAGAGGTCTCTTGATCCGACAAGCGCCGAGTCATTTGAGGAGGGGATGCTGGATGGGATGACGAAGATATACCTACAGAAAGAGGTCGTCGGCTGCTTCGTGCGACTCGGGACTATATCTGACGTTAGTTTAAGGTTGGAACGGGCGACCGAAATCCAAGGCTACTATGATCAAGTGTAGAGGACATTGATTCCTGTAGGCGGGGTGTATGGCCTACTAAAACCTTCCAGGGGCGCTATGGTCGCGAGGGCACATTGGCATAGATGCAGGTTCTGAAACAATTCGAGTAATAAAGAAATAATCGACTTACTAGGGCGCTTTGATTGTCTCCATAGTTTCGGTTGGTCTCTGCGCCGCGACGGGACGAGTCCTCGCGTGCGATCTTGAGAAATAGATCGCCACTTTCGTCGCCATCAGGGCGATCTCCCGCCGAGTCAGGCGGTGTTATCTGTGATTCGTCGTCGAAACGTCTTCCCTCTAGCGCACGCAAAGTCCTATCGCGGTGATTTGAGTCGCCAGAGTCCTCGCTTCCCTCATACCCACGTATCGAACGAAGATTCATGTCGAGAATAAGGCTTCGTCGTTCGCCGGAAGATCGAAATGATCGAATAGGTGGAATTGATGTTGTACCGCCCGAACCAGTAGAGTTTGCGGGTGGTTTATAGGATACCGGTGGTCGTCTCGCCACAGAGTTTCTTCTATCATCGATCGCAGTCTTCTGAATAGTTTTTGGCAAGATGAGTTCCCGTTGCCCGTGCGCGCTCTCCTTACTTATATCTTCTCTTGTTGATGCACTTTGAATTTCGTCCGATGCATGCATCCGATGCCCAGGCGAAGTTTCGTGTACCGAACTGCCCGAAAAAGGCGCGCGTTTGTGTCGCGATTGTACAACAACAACCGTATCAGCTGGATCCGTAGGTGACCTCGCGCTAGTAGTATTGCGCGTGCGCTTATTCGTATCAATGGTAGTTGAATCTAGAGAAACAGAGCGCTTTGCATTGAGGGATGATGTCGATGTGGCGGTCGATTGGGCGACGGCGGGGGATTGGAACGTGGATGCCCGAGACCTTGAGGGACTTAGGTTTTCTGCAGGCAATTGTTGGGGTGAGACAGGTCTAATATTGTTTCTATTGTTATGCTGCTGATGCGCTGTCTGCGGGGATATTTCCTGCGCCGCGTTTAGCTGTGTTTCGGTGTGCTGATCCGGATCGGGCGAGACAGGCGACGGCGGAATGTGGTGAGACTGTAGTAGCGAAGGTATGGTAATGTGTTCTCTTTTTAGATCGGCAAAGCGAAATGCAGGTAGTTTTGAAGAGCTGTTGGTTTGTCGGTGTGCATGGAAATTGTTATGTTTAGTTGGTGTAGGTGGTGGTCTAATTGGTGTTGTTGCTGTTGTGGTAGTAGTGGTGGTTGTAGATGTGATAGCGGAGTTGGTCGCGGTTGTGGTTGTGTTTGGAGATAAAAGGGAGGATGCAGATGGGTCCGTTGTTGCTATAACTGGAAGCGCATAAATTATTAGCGGTGGTCGTTCTTACAGAAGCTGCCGCGCTGCACAAAAAAAAAATTACTACCATTGCGATTACCGCTAACAAAACGCGGAGAAGTATTAGAGGCAGTAACTGCCTCTCCGGAATCCATTTTCGTCCAAGTTTCTCCTTATTAACACAACTTTTTTTTTTAAACCTTAGAAATTGATGCTGTACTTGTTAAGCAGGGTCAGCGATGCGCTAGAACTTCAAACTTGCAAGGGCTTCGAACAATGGTGTTTTTTGCATAAATAACGAAACGATAAGCTCCATGGATTATGTCGAGTGTCGCTGTCCACCTCGGAAACTGCCTATTGGCGTGATACGCGAAAAAAAAAATCACGATAAAGCAGAAGAACAAACAAGCATTAAAGAAATATATTGTAAATGAGCGACTAGTGGTAAAGATGACCGAGATTTGACTCTGGTGCTAAACTCTCAGGAGAAATTCGATAGTAGTTAGTTGAATCGGGATCCTCGATCATATTGAGATTTGGCCAGGACAGGGAGAGAGGCAGAAGGTAACAGCCCCGAGAGTGCGGTCTGTGCCGGGGTAGTAAGATGGATAAGGATGGGTCCCTATGGATGTGGTCCATCGGAAGCTGACCCCATCAACTAACATAAGTAATTAATAACGTACTTTACCTACGTCCCTCTTGTTGGTTCTTTGATCACTTTTCCTCGATCTTTCTCCTCTCCTTTCCCGACTTGGGCTAGGGCGTACTGGGCGTACTGCTAAGCTAGAGACGTGTATAGAGTCGACTCGTAGGTATTCGAAGTCGTTACAAGACGGACCTTGCTCGTCAGTATTTAGTATGTAAGTCGAAATCGCTAACAACTAGATAGGAGGATACCTATGGGACATCACGTACCTATGGCAGCCGAGTGCCACTCGGATGCATGGGTGATCTAATAGACGAGGTCCGTGAGTCTGGGATGGTACTACGTGCATATTGTATCATCCACATACAATATACTCATACGAATACTTGGTGTATTAGTGATGGTCGGGTTCGTCTGTGCTGTCCTTGGTGATCTCCAACGAAAGGATCTGCAGGGTGTAGAAAACTACGGTTAGTCCCATTCAGGGGCTTCTCTTAATGAAATTCGCTTACACGTAGATGAGGAACGACTAGGTTAAGCAGTGAACTCTTTCTTCCCTTCCTAACCTATTCAAATAGAGGAATTCTTCGCGTGTAGTTTACTAGTTACCTATGTATATAAATTCCCCCACACTACCTGGGTATTAAGTAGAAATAGAGTTAGCGGTGTGTGTGGAATGCCAAATGACAATTCGAACTTTGAAGCTTGCAGTATGTACTGTAGTTCATGCTTGAGACAAAATTCAGCGAACTCGGCGAAAAAATACCAATCATGGCGGACGGTGGGGTACGGTAGGTTTACTGCAACCAACCAAGAATGTCAATTGCTACGTATCTCGGGAGGTTGGACCACTGAGGTTTAGAGCGTGCAAGGCCTTCTTTTTCAAGCTTCTAAAACTAGCTTCGTCAGGGTGCCTGTCTGGACAAGGAAACGTGCGACAACCTTAGCTATTACTTCATTACGGAATACTCTAGTACAATGTAGGTATAATCAGGGGCGGCTGTTGCCCATAGCGCGACGAGTTTCTACTATATATGCAGTCCGTGATTAAGACGAAATGATTGGAAGTTGTTTAGTTAGGTATTTAATAATTCGCTATGCACATACATATAGTCGTATTGGAAATATACACCATGGCACATGTGAAATATAACCGGTTATATCCAAGTACCTACATAAGTAAATCAATATATTAGCGATAGTTTTCGCTTCGGCCAGTTCAACTTCCAACTGACTGGTTATTCCTTTCTTTCGAAAATTGAGGCTTCGGCGCCACTCTATTCAATGTAAGACATGATAGGTTGTGCTAGGTGTGCCGGACATGTGCACCGCATATGTTATCCATGTATGCATTGTACATGTTGATAGTGACGTTAAATTTTGCCTTGCGGAGTCCTGCAAGAAATTGAATACCAGGTAGTTATCTCCTCGCAAGCCTCTTAGACCCCCTAAATCTTCTGCACGGTCCAAGATGACGATCAAAAACTGACGAACCAGTCAGCCCAGTGTCGTTGATATTAAACTGTATTGGCTGCTGACGGGCCGCTGTGTTGTGGTGTGCTGTGCATTGCATCTCGTGCTGATAAGCACTAACCAACTAATGGCGGTTTGATGCAAGGAATGATCCCGTGGATCATTGCGGGGTCAGACTGTGTGTATACTGTGATGCTATCCGAATGCTTAATAGTAAGAGGTTAGTTATTTGAGAGAAATGTCTTGACGGAGCTCTTTGTTGATTTCTACGTATGTACTGACTCCTTTTCCTTGACCAGTGCTAATGTTCGCTACATAGTAAAGTCACACCAGGTTCTAGACATCGGATGCGCACAATTTCTAAAAGAGTAATATCAAGTAATGTGCGAAAGGGATTCTTGGTCAATTTGTCATGGTCGATCACGGTCGTTTGCGGCGGGGAGCCGCAGGGATCCCCGGGCTTCTCAATCGCAAACAGCAATGGCGTGCACCGCAAGCGGAAATACCAGGGCTTGAACCCCCTTAGCCTCGAAGGAGATCAAACGCTTAGCTAAGGATGTGAGGTCCGTGACAGCACGAGCGTCACCCATCTAATCAAACTTTTGCACGATTCGATATGTTTTATGTTTCAGGACCGTACAAAAGTTGAGCCTCAGACATCCCTTCTCTTCACGTTTCTACATCGATACCCTTATTAGCCAAGCAGTGCTATGCCGTGTCTCAAAAATGTCGTCAACTTTTTCGGTGGTTTAGCTCATCAGATACTAGGGAAGATCGGGACGGCTTGCTATAATTATTAAACCATCAGACAGGGCCTTTCGTTTGCTAATCAATTTACTTGAAGAAGTAAGGAGAAATTCAATGTCCGACCTATATTAACCTGAAACAGATAACCAATTCATTACGCAGAACATCTTTCAGCTCGACCAACTGTAATACTAATCCCATTCACATAAGTATAAAGGGGGTCTCGCCTTTTAAGATGGCCAATAGTAAAACTAATCCCGGTCTTGATTCATAGCACATAAGTGACAGCCGTCATCTTGGTCCTTCCGGTGCTTCTGCTGGATCATTGCTATCTAGTATATATGAGTCTTGTGAATAGAAATTGCCACGCTTATGGAACGACGACCTGGTTGTCCTTGAACATGAGAGAATACAGCTTACAAGGGACTCATAAGTTTGATATCCAACTGAGTACTAGGGGGAACCACTCAAAGCTTGACATTACCAATACGTTTTAGGGCTGTGGTAGATGTCATGCGTTGAGGTAGTGTAAGAGTCAGATGTGAGAACACTAGAGCACAAATAACTACGAAACTAGCTAAGACTAGACTGCCGAAAGTTAGGAGCTCTTTGTTATATACTCGGTGGTCTAGGAATCTAACAGGAAGTGGATGGCTTCAATTATTAGTAACGAAACACTGGTATTTTAGCATACTGTCATAAAGCCTAATGGCCGAGTACCGGGATATATTCGTGATATACGAGAACCTCCGAGAGTGGAAGACGCGCAGCCTATAAGTCAGGTTGATATCGGAAAGGGTTATAGTTGTGGAAATGGCTGTAGCGATGGACAACTAATGGCTCTTCCTTAAGAATCGCGATTATCACCATACCTTATAGTAGTAACACCCTTTCGGCTTCTATTGCATATAACCCCTCCCATTACTGAAGCGTCGTCTCTGCAGTGATTGGATCGCGGGTATAAACAAAATTTTGGAAATATTGAAGATGTCAGGATTAAGATCAGACGTATATATGTCGTATCTAATGAGTGCCTCTTCCCAACATCTGCGTAGCTATATGAAGTATGAAGTCTCAGTTCCATAGACTAAGAACTTGGAGCTATAACTACCTATACTAAGCTGCTAAATGCTTTGGGCACCATTATATATTAATGATTTTATTAGCCAGGTAAGTCGCGGCTCTGACGTTTTGTTGGTGTTATACGAAGATTAATTCGCCACGCATAAGTGAGAGGTAAGGGATGGCATAGCAACAAGAAGGATCTGTCTAAACGCCAGGTAAACAAACGCTTTAGCGCCACGGGAAGTATGTTCTAAATAAGCGACCTCCGTCTCTTGTATCCACAGGTAAAGGAAGTTCAGACACGGAGGTTTCAGGTGTACGTTAGTTTAAAATAGTAGTGGTACTAAACAAACTCTAGCACCACCTGGCCGTCGATTAGGGTTTCGGTGTTACATCACCCGACCGTTAGATCTCTAGATCTGTTAGATTTATCACCTGGAGGTATGAGGCTCTGTTTGATAGGTACCTACATAACGACGTCAGGCAAGAGACGGAGACTCTTATGCGACCATTCGGTGAACTACTGAGTCACTTTTAAGCAAACAGTCCTAGGCATTCTTGGGGATGTGGATTTCATATTCGCGTATACGTCGACCCTCACACTTCACATTCTATCCAGTAGATTATTCAGATATTATGCATTTTATTAATAGCGGATTGCCCACGTGTCTCGACAGGGTTATAAAAGAGTTCTCGCATCGCTACGCATTGTGCTCAGCTTTAAATAGCAACAAAGAGGCCTTTTTTCTTCTCTTTGTCAAGGGATATTGATTTCAACCTTTGGTAGGACCGATCAATTGATTGATGTGGACGCGGAGAAAAGAGAACCAATTGACCGTCCCGTCTCAAAGATGATCTTGTCACACCTCAACTTACCTGGGTAATCCTACGAACAAGTAGTATACCTATTGATCTAATAGTAGCCGTTTGATTTCTAAGTAGGTCGGTAAATTCCGATACTTAACTGAAGACAGATATTGGCTAGCCGTGACGTACGCATGTCCGATAAATGAGAGGAGTAATAGGATGCTGGTGGAAACAAATATACCCTGGGCATGATACTAATAAAAACGTATCTGGTCACTCCGAGTATATCAGGACAGACAGATTATTCCAAATGGCAATTATGCGACTTTGAGGATCCGGCTACTTTTAACATCTCCCTACTTACATAGTAAAACAATCAAACATTTTACTACCGTACAGATGAATCCATATTTCGAGAGCCGCTTGCGGCCCACATCGCCACCCGCGCATCGTGGAATAGCGCCGCATTTCCACAAAATCCCAAGCCACCAGCGCCATTTTCCGGGTTATGCTTGGCATTGAAGAAGTGATTGGCGAAGTCGAAATTATTAGCTACGAGGCCAAATTTGGCACGGCCGTTCTGATTGGTCGAGGTTTGGCGCCGGCCGAGCTGCAGAGATCTATTAATAGATTAGTTTTTTCTTAATCCCTGTCTCGGCCAGTGTCTCGTTTCGCAAAAGCCAATACCCCTGTCGATAACAACCATTCAGAAGACCTTGCGCTTTCAACTGTTAGCGGCGTAACAGGTCGCTCGCATATTGTTGACAATCGCAACTCACAAACTCGCATAACTCCGGCCGTCAAAAATCGTACAGGTGTAATACAACGCCAACAACGCCAACAACGAAGGGATGAATGACACCGCGGCTGCGATTATTTAAGGCACATTTTTAGCGCAGACAGTGGGTTGTCGGTACTGTTGCGATGGCCTATTACTTTACACTATATCATTAGTATCCTGTGTAGCTGCCTTTGGTAGGGAATTATGGAGCTTGGAAGACCCACTGGATTGAGCTTGTTAACGCTTCAGGCCGAGGTCAAGTAGCGAACTTGTTTCAAACACTGCCTTTGTCCATAGTGGCTGTACCCCAGTTCTACTGCCCATGTCGGCCTTGCGCTAAGGCCAAGTGCTCCCTCTAGCGCACTAGCGCAATCTCAATCCCATCCCAATCCCCATTCCATTCTTTCTCCTCCCCTCCAAATTCACCCATTCATCAGTCAACACACACAACAATTCCACACAATCCAGCGTCCTCCGTCCTCCACCGCATCCATCCGCCTCTCCCTCTTCTCTACTTGCGCCCACCCCCGGGTTTTTTTCCTGGTTCTTTTCCCCCCTTGTTCACTTGTTTCGAAAGACGGCGTGTGAGAGTGCATAGGTACTGGTGTCTGTCTCTCCGAACGCCTTGTCATCTTCCAATTAATTCTATCCTACCGATTTTCCCAAACCTCTCTTCATATCGTACATTACCAGAGACGAACCCGTATCGCCAACCGCCGCACTGCCTACCTGCTACCCGTAAACCGTCCATTACTTACTTCTATATGGTACGCAAGGTAGTAGGTAGACTGTGCTAGCTTCCTAATGGCTTCCGAATGCTAGCAATCTGAAAAACAAAATACACCTATTCTCTCTATTCTACCTCCTACCTCTTTTAATACTCGACGGTACATTCTACTCTTCTTAACACTCTTCATTCATTGTTCTTTCTTGCCTTTTCGGCTTCTAGTGCAGTCTTACGCAGACTTATACTTTCTCTCCCTCGACGCAGCTACCGGTTGCCTACTCAGTGGTTATCAATTATTGCGAAAGACGTTATGGGCGTGTGTGTCTCGGCCTAAGTGAGGATTATAAATAGGTGGCCAGACTCAATTTGTCTGGTGGTGACTTCTGTGAAAGAGACGGAGAAAGCAAGTTGAGAGTAAGAAAAAAGGATACAGCAGCGCTGTCCTGCACAAAGCATATTCAAAGTCGTTGAACTACGACATCGTTCGTTAACAGTTTGTTAATTGTGGAATTATTTACATTTATTTGGGCCGATTCCCTTGCGACGCGACGCCAATCGAACAGTCCAGGCCCTAAATACAGGAAAGAGGAAATTGAATATAAGTGATAAAGAGTAGGAGTGAATTTGGGGAACGTTTTCGTGGCCTTGTCAAAAATGCCTTCGGCCACCGCTAGACGAATGTACGAGGATCAAATACCCTCATTCATGTCCATATTCGATCCCGAGGCGGACAATAATATTGACGAGAGAGGATTGGTGACTGTGGTAGACCCTAAGTTGATGGAGATGGACTCATCGTGTGCACCTGGGCACCTGGCAGGTGGGTTACCACAACAACATGCGTTGTTACGGCCCTTACCGACAGATGCTTCGCACCGTCACCACGACAGCACTTCGACGCAAACTTCTGAGTCTGCAGATTCTTCCCCCACAACAACTTTAACAACAGATACTTCTTCGCTTTCCGACCCGTCGCCGTCATCTTCTCCCGACTCACCTGTCAATTTGATACCTTTAAATTCTTTTCCAGGTACCAATTTTGGTGGCCTGCCATCCACGATGAACAACCTCACCGTAAATGATCCTAGCATGCGGGAGAGACCGATGACATCTCCTTCCCCGCGGCGAGCAAGGAACATGAAAGGTCTGTCTATTCAGCCGCCGTTTGTTAGCTCACTTTCTTCCAATTTGGTATCCGAACCTTCTTCGCCTTCCTTCATCAAGCCAAAGATTCCGGCCATGAAGCGAAAACCTAGCCAACTTAGTTTGAAGACTGATTCAAATGGGCTCAATATTCGGCCGACTATTCTCGAAGTTCCCGGCTCGCCCGCTCTTCCGCCGATTCTGCAACGCAGATCGTTGAAACACTCGACATCTTCACCTCATATACATTCCGGATTGAAGTCGGCGACCTTTGGTCCCGCCGGTGGCATGACTTTCCCAACTGTTCTCGAGCGCGGCACTTCGGGTCTGTCTGAGGTATTACGTCCGACAAAGCAGGGAGGTCATTGCCCCGGTTTCGATACTACTATTCTTGAGGAGGACTCGCCTATTAAAACACAGCTTGCGAATCGCGCTGCGATGGACTTCGAACCTTTCATTGAACCGGAAAATAACGAAGACCAGAAATCGCCAGGATATCCTGACGGACCTATCGCGATCTATGATGACAATGTTTACCTATACCTAGAACCGACCGCAGAGGAGGCGGCGAAATTCGACGTGGTAATAAACGTGGCTCGTGAGGTAACCAACCCTTTCCAGGCCGCAGGCAAGAATAGCCTAGAAGATTTGAGAATGAGCCAGATGGAATCGCCCGTCCCCGATACTGCTATGACAAACGACAGTTTCGCAACGGCATTCGAATATCCTCCGCCGGGTGAGAATTCGGAAACACCAACGACTCCAAAGGGAAATTCACTTCTCGAGCCTGAATATATCCATATACCATGGGATCACAATACGGATATCGCAACGGATCTCATGATGCTTTGCGAGACAATCGAGAAGCGTACAAAGGAAGGAAAGAAGGTTCTTGTTCACTGTCAGCAGGGCGCAAGTCGCTCAGCTAGCTTGATCATTGCCTACGGTATTTACCAAAATCCCGGACTGACTGTTAACGACGCTTACTACGCCGCGCAATCAAAGAGCCGATGGATTAGTCCGAATATGCGATTAATGTACTGCTTACAAGACTTCCAGAAGCAGGTGGGGAAGAAGAGGCTCGCACCTCGATCTGCTGTTGGACCTCGAAGCGGAAGAAGTCCTTCAAAGCATCACCGTCTTACACTCTCCGCAGATGCGATTGATGTCCAACCGAAAGAGCCGATGACGGCGCCATTACCGGACGAGAAAGAGGGAATTGCCAATGGCGCTAACACAGAACGTGCCCCAAGCCATTCGCGTGGAAAATCCACTCCGAATCTGGAATCGATATCTCCTGGCCCATCGTCTGCTCCATCAAGCTTCTCCTGGACCGAAAAGGAAGATCCAAAGGATCCCGGCAAACCTGGACGCTTCAACTTTGGGAGCTCACTTGAACCACCTAGGTTCTTCGAACCGACTCCGCAACCGAGCCAGACATCCTTACTTCAACCGGCTCCGTCGTTTTTCAAGCCCCCTCCGTCGCCAGGGTTCTTCAAACCTCCTCCATCTCCAGGATTTGGTCCCAGTGGCCCTTCAAGCTTTGGCTTCAGCTTCGATTCTGGCCCTAGTTTCGAACAACGCATGGAAGAGTCAGGTAGCGAAAGAGACCTACCAATTGCAACTGTTCCGCCGGATGACGACACCCTTATGTCCCCCAGAGCCGAAATTATGACGGACAATCCTTTACACGACTCGTATTCGGAGATGGCGGGCATGAAATTTGTCGAGGTCCCTCCTACACCTAGCGAAGGCCTCTTTTCTCCGCGACAGTCGATGTTTCCGAGAGATCCATTCTACCCGTTTGGACGTCCCACCCAAGTCGCCGATCCGAGAAGCCCTCCCACTAAGGGTGAGACGCCTATCGTTAGATCTATCGACGACGTATTATAGGCCTTCTAACAGTCGCAATTATTTAATGTGATATGCGGCGTATGCTATACGAAATTCACATGCACTCTGAACCTGAGATTTACTTGGGATGAGCCAATAGTCTTTTTTCATTTGTTTACAACTTCAGACCGTCACTTTGTTTTCCTATCGAGTTGTTTATTTTGTTGGAGTGGTTCAGGCAGCACCGGAACGGCGGAATCAAATACCCGGACGGCACAAGTTGCGAGGCCTCTCCTAAAAAAGGATTGGAGAAGCTCTCGCGCGGTTGGTTTTTACGGCTAGCCATATGGAAACCCCGAATTGGCGGTTTGGAAGGCGAGAAAAATACAAGGGGACGAAGCCAAGGTTGTACGTCAGGGAGTATTGTTTGGAATACGGAACGGAACCGAACCGGCAAGGAATCGAGCTGGGGTACACGAGGATCCCATCACTACTTTCTGCTTGGACTGGTCTTGTCTGCACTGGCAAACAGACCGACCGGCAGGCTTTTCTTAACAAGGAGATCCAGCACGCGTCGACCGTCCCCGAAGTCAATCACCCTCTCGTTCTGCCTTTGCTTTCGAGCGTATACGAGGCGTATATTCATAAGCCATGACGACTGGAATCGGGATTAGTATAAGCTCGTACCCGAGGGTGTGGACGGAGCAACGAGCAAGCAACGGCGTTCGAGGGAGTCTGGAAAAAAAGTAGCTAATTCGGAGGTTGGGGGACATAATGCGTTCCTCGAACCTCCATCTTGTAAATATAATTCACGAATGTCAATGGGAGACGCGCAGCTTGGCGTGTCTCGTTCATAAACTTCTTGTGTTGTGTTGGTATTTGTGTATCGGATCGAATGTGAAAGTAATATTGATTTACTCCTACTATTCTGGTTGGCCTGCGATATCAGGAGCTAATGCCCCAAACTTTAGACGTGATACGATTGTTTTCTGTTCTCTTAGTCTTTTCTAAACAAAATAATAGCCGTAGGTAGGAAGCTAAATTGAAGTACTCTCCATACGTCTCTCTTCAACTCACCTACACACATGTAAGTACTTACTTACATTTTTATAAGAGATTAAAAGGGGGTCAGATGATCTCATATAGAAATATCTATATTCCTCTCCTCTAGCAAGCACTTTTTCTTTTCCTCATTCTCCTCTCGTAGCTAATCTTCGAAGAGTATATACATATTAACATCCTTCTTCTATATACAGACGTATAAGGTGACGGATACACCTATGTACCTATCGATCATAACCAACCAACCAACTTATCGGCCGGCTGGTCTAGCCCAACAAACAAATAAATTCGACTACCCTACCTACCTAGGTAGCTAAGCTATGCCGGAACAAAGACGAAGAACACCGAATAATGACAAAAAAGCGGACGGGGAGGCAGGGAGGGGGCAATCAGCAAAAAGAGAACGTGGACAAGAAAGACATTGGAACAATCAATCATTGCCCTTTCTTCCCGCTCTCCTCGACCGCCCTCCGCTTCGCCGCCTCCTTGGCTAGTTTCTCCTGGCGGGCGATGGCGGCCTCGACGCCGATGCCGCCGAAGACGAGGCCGACGCCGAGGACTTGCATGCGCGTGAGGCGGTGGCCGAAGGCGACGACCGATAGGATCATGGTGAACATCTTGCGCGTGACTGTTACTGTGACCAGGAGGACCGAGGAGAAGGTGGAGAGTGTGTAGACTGTGGTTTGTTTGTCTTGTTAGTCTTCTGGTTACTGATTCTTGCTGGATAGAGCAAGGGAAAAGGGGGGGAAGGGGAGGGGGGGGAAGGAGAGGAAGAAAAGGGAAAAAAAAAACGTACAGATGAAAACCTGCCCGACGGCACCGCACGCCGCGAATCCCAACACGTCAGCCCAGACGCCCGGGTGCCGCGCCATGAACCCCAGCGCGGCCTCGAGTTCTCCCGCGCCGCCCGCGACATCGACGCCGAGCCACTCCCCCGCGCCGGTGCGCGCAAGCCACGGGCTCAGGACCAAGTACGCAGCGGTAACAGCCGTGCTCATCAGGTTATTCGCACACATCATCTGGGGCCCCGAATACGGCTGGAACGCGCCGAAGATGTAGTCCTGGGTGCTATTCGTCAGGCCGTCGAACAGGAGATTGATGGCCAGCAGCAGCAGCCCCCAAGCGCTGTTTCCATTTCCCCCGGCGCCGCCGCTGCTTTTCTTACTATGGCTCTTGCCCGAGTGCAGCGTGAACACCGCGACGCCGGCCGTGACGGCGGCTACGACCAGGTACTTGTACAGGGGGTAGCGGCGGCGGAAGACGGTGACGTGGAGCAGCATGACGGGGAGGAGCTTGCAGCTCTTGGCGAGCAGGAAGGTGATGTAGTCGATGTGCGCGAGGCTAGCGTATCCGAAGGGGCTGGCGAGGGAGCTGGTGAGCGCGACGAGGAGGAGGGGCCCCAGGATGCGGCGCGAGGGGATGACGGGGGGGATGGCGTGGCCGCGCGGCGTGCTGGCGTAGAGGTAGATGGCTCCTGTCGTGGCGGCGAAGAGCGACTGGATCGTGTTCAGGAACACCGGGTACTTGAACACCTCGGTCGCGCCAGGCGTGCCGTGAGGCGTCGTCGTGAGTTTCTCTTGGAGATAGGCCCATGTGAGGCTGCGAAGGTGAAAAAAAAAGAAGCAAATAAGTTAGTCTTATGCTATACCAATAATATCATATCAATCATATCCATCTCAATACATACAAGGACCCGTAGATACCAGCAACAGCAACCACCAACTGCGCTACGCCTGCGTCCTTCTTCTTCGACGACGCCAGCGCGGGAGCTGCTTTGCTAGCAGCGCCGTTAGACCGCACCGCTACATCCTTGTCCTCGTCATTCGTCTTTGGTGTCGAATTCTGATGCGAGATATACTCTGACGAAGGCTGTCGTTCGACAGGTTTAGCTTGTTTAACACGCGCCATGATATCTGTAATACTATAGAGGTATGTAGGTAGGTAGTTGTCTATTCACAAACCCTCGGAATAGAGAGAACGAGTGTATATAAGAGAAGTGAAAATGCTGTCAACAATTGGACTTAGCTATCGAATCTACGAGACATTCCATAATCCTCGAGAAATGCGCGAGAACCTTAAAATAGACGACGGGAGAGTTGGTAGTAACGAGCTTAACACATCAGCGGCTGATGACAGATTGGCCATTTACCACATGAGTTAAGTAAAGAAGTACCGTATCTAAAAGTAGAATGACGGCAGAATTATACAATACAATACCGAATCCGCTAGGCGGTGTGACCCGCCCCCTGCGCTAGATCTTCCACTAATGTATACAACTAACCTTACTTGGAACTGCTATTGGAACTGCTATTAGTGTAGTTATGTCGATTGCATAGGTAATCACCACATGGACAAAAGATAAATATCTTACTATGCAGCTATATATGCCACATTAAATCGTATTCAACGCGCAGCCAACTATCTTAGGTACCTAGACACCTAGGCACGAGTGGGGTCACCATGCACATGCGAGCTTTTTTGGTCAAGTTTCCTTTGTCTACTGCTAGATACTCCTTATCTAGACATCTTAGAACATCTCGATCCATCCCTCGTCAATTAACTTCAAGGAATGTTTACTGGCTAAAGCACATATCGGTCCAACGCTCCCCTTTTGTTTTTGTTTTTTTTTTTTCAACGTCACGAAGAATCACTTGTAAACTAGCCACCGCCATTCTTATGTTTTGCTTGCCGATACGTCGGTCGTAACCATGATATTGTTGATCTTCAAGGTACGCTTACTATCTTGCTAGACCACCACCCACCTGGGTAACACCATCTCCCAGAAGCCACCCCGCCGGCTCCCTGTGGAAAGTGAATACCATGGCCTAGACGCATTCGAGGTAAAGTATGGTTGAGGTTTCTTCCGTGTTTTCTGACGTTAGGAAAGTGAGATATGATCGAGGGGTAATTTCGAGTCGTGGATTAGAGGATAAAGGAGGGAGTAATCTTAGATCTTAGCACTGTGACAAGACGAGGGTCGACGAATCGCCTAAGAGATGGAGAGGTTACTGATTATGGCCGATGCGCGTGTGTAGAAGCATGGATTAGGTCGTATCTAGTACGCCCGGGGGGAAGTCGATACAACAAGGATGCTGACGCATGGGGACGGATGTGTCAAGTGAATAAGAGCTCTGCGAGGTCTCGCGCAGCACCCAGCCTGGGTATCGAAGTTCGAAATTGAGGTGTCGAGTGGTTGCCGGGAGTCTGCCGTGCATCAGGTGTGAGGACCCATGTCCATAAAGGTCATGATTTCTTCGAGAAAATATTAAGGAAAGGGGATTTGTGGCAAGGCAATAATGAAGTTTGCCTCTGGGTAAGGAGAAAATCGTCATGTCATATCATAGGAACCGTCCCAAAAAAACAAGGGACGTCAGCCTTGCGGCAAGTCAAATCTGAAGTGCCCCTTCAAAACGCAGGGTACGTCGCGAAATCAGACCCAGCACTAGAAATATTCCAGATAGATGAATAGGGCTCTTGGCCTCTCTGCAATGGCCATCACATCCCATAACAGCGAGATGAGCCGTTACTCGGCGGGTTGCGATTGGCTGCGGCGCATCTTCTCTGCCTCGAGATTCTCGTAGAGAAGGAACAGCGCAGATTCGTTGGATTTCGCGGTTCCCATTATGGTGAACATTCGCTCGCCAGTTTCGTCGTGAGGTGCCTGTAACATTTTCAGTCGTTAAGCCCTAACAAGACGGTTAGGTTGGTCTTACCTTGGCAATAGAAATGCGGGCGCCAGAAGTCTTGCGGATCTCGCTAATCTTGCTTCCTTGACGTCCAATGATGCATCCAACCATATCTGCGGGGATGCTAATGTTCTGAGTCTGGATCTCTTCTCCATTCTCATCGTGCGTTGGCGGTCCGCGGGTGGCCGCATCAGAGTCCGACCGCCGATTGTATGGACGCACACCCCCATTGCTAAAGTCGGCACCGTTTCCAGTTCGCATCACACGAGTGCCGCCGTAATCACCTCTACTGGACGAATTGTTGTACGCTACCCCGCCAGTATTGGAAGCACCACCAAGGGACCCCGCACCGCCGGGCGCGGTTCGAACGACAGGATTGTAGAGTACAGTGCCGGTGCCACGCTGCCAGTCATCGACCAAGCACTTGCAGATTTCCCAGACAGCTCGCTGAATGCCGTCGGGTGTTCCCTGCAACTCGACGATTCTCTCGGTCGATTGCGGTAGCATTTCCTTCTGCGCGACCATGCGCACGCCGGAGACGTCTTGGATGTGCTTGATCTTTAGACCTGCTCTGCCAATGATAGTACCCATCTGATTGTGGGAGATGAGTAACTTGATTTCTTGACGGTCGGATTGTACATTAGTGGCGCGCTGCGTATAGTAAGTGATCGGGGGACGCTCACGATGTGTTCCGCTACTCTGTATAACGCCTCCCATTCCCACCGCGGGAGCGCCTTCCAACAGCGCGCGAGCGACGATGGAGTATGCTCTAGAAATGGATTCGCAGCCACCCGAAATGGTCAGAACACGGTCATGCACGCCTTGCACGACTTTGCTCACGCCGGCCTTGACCCCGGTTTCATCCCGCAGGTCTGCGACATTCTTACCTCCCTTACCGATTATGACTCCAGCTTCTTTGGAGGAGACGATGGCGCGAAGCGTTAATTGTGCTACAGCATATTCCTCGTCAGTCTTAGGCGCGGGCTCGCCATCCGGGCCTAAGCGAGGCTCGTTGTCATCGATCTTCAGGTCGCCCATGGATAGCGACGGTAGATCGTTGCCATTCGGCGAGAGTGTCTCTTGGGCAACAGACATGGTGACGGATAGGTCGTGTATGACGATGTTAGTTTGGGGTGGTATTTGCTATGTCAGCTGCGTCTGACTGGGTGGTTTGATCCGAGTTAATTAGGAACTAGCAGCTCCCAGTGTCTCCTCGAAGAGCTATGGGTGCGCAGGAGATCTTGTTGGCTGACGCTGAATGGGGGCGGGTGTACGTAGAAAAAGTGGTACAGGAGTGGATTGCTGTAAGCTCCAGATCTGGTGGTAAAGGACGGGCTGCACGCAGTTAGCTCTGATAAGCTGTGTGTTGCTGCGGGGAAGGTATCCGTCAATGGTCATGTATGGGAAGGATGCGAGGCTCAGAAGAGGAAAGAGGGCCAAGAATCGGTTGAAACGAGATTAACAAACAGATCTTATCTCGTCAGAGGCTGTTGCATCTGCACGATTTTGGCATGTGGTTGTAGAAAATAGAAATAAAAATACAGCCAATGCAGAACCATTAGGAAGAAAGGGTAAGATTATTATGCGAAACTGGGGCTTGAATAGGCGGGGCACTGCATACTTGACTGACCTTCCGCTGCTGTGTCTGTGCTGCGCAGTATGTTCTTCAAAGAAATTCTTGCGTTCTAGCCGGGTCTGGTTGGTTTTGCGGGGTGGGAAGGGTTTTTTCTTCTTTTTTTTCTTTCCCCTCTACTATACTTCTCGCTTGTTTCCCCTACCTAGGGTCTTGCTATCACAATCCACGCGAGAACGGGGACTTTTTGGATTTTTAGATGGAGACAGGGACTGCAGTCGACGGCTGGGTCTCGGCAGGCCGGCCAAGGTGGCCTAGTAAGTATGTAAGGTAGGTAACGGTGCGTTTGATGACCGGGGTTGGATAAGCGGCAATGGGTCCTAAATAAGGAAAGAGGCCAATTGCGATAACTAGTACCGTATGTACCAGCGTGGGCTGTGTCTCTGGTGAAAGAAGTTGGTTGGTCCAGATAGAACAAAGAAGAGTGTAGGGGGCGTTCGCGTCTATGGGAAGAGTTTGGTGGTTGAGGGGTGAGAGAGAATAACAAGGAGGATGAGGACGGAGAGAGGGGAAGGGAGGTTGATAGAAGTGAGGTTACGGAGAGGTTGTGTGTGTGTGGTAGGAGGGTTGGTAAGGAAGAGATAGATGAGTTGAATTTTGGTCGAGGCGAGAAAAGGTACGGAGAAAGAAGTAAGAGGGAGACTGGGAAGCGGGATTGAAGAAAGAACCTGGAAGCGTTAGGTTAGGTAGGCAACTAAGAGGTAATAGGCCTAGGTTAAGAGGTAAGAGGTAAGAGGTATGGAAGTCTCGACTACTATTATGTAGGTATGTATGGTAGACGACAATTTAGGACAAGGTTGGGTGCAGCAAGCACGTTCTTGCGTCGGTAGTACTATCCAGCTAGTACTAATACAATACCTCTACCTAACGCACATACCTACCTCACACGATTCATCATAGGGTTAGATGGAGAAGGTACAATACATTCCTACGTAACTCTATTTTGCGGGCTATCACCTATATGCGTTAGGCATTCTACCTAAACTCCATACGGCATTTCTCATGTCTTTCTTACTTAATCCATCCAAGTCAATCGCCAATACACCAGGGCACTTACACCTATATAGGCATATGTAAGTAGGTAATGACGTAATGGCACCTCGTTGACAGCAGCAAGCCTCATCAAGAGGATATGCAAGAACAAGTAGGCTTGTTTTAAAGTCGATATTACTCACTATGTATTGTACATAAAACTTAAAGATGCCTCTAATAGTCAGTAGATTAGCATCAGTAACCGTGCCACCTGTACATAATGTAGAAAGAAGACGTGGGGAGTTCGGATAGAGAAAGAGGGGTTCCTTGTGTAAATCCCTGACATTACGTACTTACACTTAGGTAGGCTCGGGTCTGATATGTCAACTAGCTGATTCCGGTAACAGGTATGCAGTTATCCAAGGACATATGTAGCCTATGTATTGTATGTGTGTTATTCCCGGTAGTTAAGACTTAAAAGAAACATTCCAAGGGGGGTTCACTTAAGACGAAAAAAACAAATTTGTTGATATTTGCTGGTTCAAGTCTCATGATCGAGTCTCAATGCGCATAATCGGAGGCTTCCGTATTTGAGTACCAGTTGTAAAACCACCCAAACCTTGGTACCTGGACTAATGAAAGTTAATACTGCACTCAGGTAGAAGCATGATAGGTACAAGCACGGATGTAGGGCACGCATACTTCCATTTATGTACATACATGCATTTCTCCACTTTCTTTCGAACGCCTCACTTTAATTCACCTATGGTGGCATTTTCCGATAGGTGAGTATTAACTTTAGAATACGATTATTTCTATATATCATAACATTCGTATAGGTCTCTGTATAAGTCGATTCTATGGCATGTTTTTTCCCCTTCAGATATTTATTTCGACACATTTGGTTTACTTTCAATCTCTATCGCCATATATTTAACGATTGTCTTTCTCTGTAAAAAGCCGTCTATTGATTTATAAGCTCGTTAGTCCTCTTGCATATGAGATAACTATACCTTGTAGGACAGGATGGGATATTTTAAAATCCATACCACAACCTCTACCTATGTAGCTTCTATCGGGGTCTCCATCAAGGTACGATTCTCTGCTTGCCATACGGATCTAGAGTCAGTATACCCCAATCGTATCATATATCAGACATGTTTCTCTACCGAATACGTACTCGGTTCTCACAACCCCGCGGTATCATACATAGCATTTTGCTTTTCTCTTATAATAAATTAACTAGATATAGGCGTTGAGTTTCATTTCCTCTCTCGAAAGTATAATACTACACTGACATCCTTGTTGTACCACTAGTATTATAGGAGGGAATTGGTAGCAACGCATTATCAGTGATTAGCATCGAGATTCTTTGCAAAGTCTAGTACCACAAGCCGAACCGAATCATCCGCGGTGAGCAAGATGATTAATATACTACTATAAGGTGGTATGGTAATTAATAAACCTTCCTCGCCTTCCTATCTATGTAGCAAGCCTCGAGATGTTATAGAAAAGGACATATCCTGGGACACATTTGCTATGAGAACCTATTTCAGATGCAGTTCCTCGAGTCCCGGATTTACCATGTGTATATTAGGAATAAGAACAATCACTTCTGTCATCTGTATGGACATGTATGTGTTAATAGACCCCAATCCCGACAACATGAAGTTGGTTGTGTGACAGTACCGACCGAAACCAATACAACAATGGCCTCCGCGTCTCGGACCCATCGTTCCAATTGCAAGGCAGGGTTCAAGCCTCCATAATGAAACCGTTAAAGTTCTCGATGCCACCCAATAAGGGAGTGAGCCATGTGGTATTGGCTCCAGAGTCACAGTGTAATGGTAGCCTCGAGGCGAATCATATGGCTCGCCTACTTTTTTGACATGCAAGTCGGAACTTGTACCGCTTTACGGTTGGTCCTCCGCGTAAATCGAGAAACACCTAGGTTGGGACAATTTTGAAATTCGAAGAACCCTTGTAACCAGGTCTTTCTCATCGAATCATCAGATATCAGCCTTACAGGGTAGGCGAGACTAAAACTTGAGAACATTGGTTAAAGGCTTGAGAAGAAGAGGCTTGAGAGATTATGTCGTTTTAATTTAATAAGGGACGATATATTCAGCTTGTTATTCACATCCTCGAACGGCACATTTTATACCTATTTATATATCAAGTACACGAGGCGTTATTCAGTTATCGATTAAAACCCCGAGATCAAGCCGGGCTCGCTGGCAAGTTAATTCGGGTTGCTCACTAATCTCTTGCGAGTAGGTCTGTGAAGAATAAGCCGCGAGATGCATATGTTGTGTGACTCGATCCTGCATGATTCCTGGGGCGGCAAAGGCGGACAACGAGTTTACATGAGAGAGAGGCCGGTTAGACGTGTCATAAGCAACAGCATGCTCATGAGGTTCCATTCCGCTGGACTGGTCATACCCCCCACCCAACGTGGCAATTAACGAGACATCTCGAGTTGCCGAGGGAGAAAGCCGCGAGGAGCTGTTTGCTGTGAGGCATGTTACTAGGAAAAAGACTCTAGAGCGAGCCCTTTTGCCCACAAACAATTAATCGGTCAGCCATAAAACGATTAAAGATATCTATTTGTTGTTGTTTTTTGAGGGGTAGTGAGTTCCGAATCTCATCATGACATTGTGTACTTGGAGATGTTGGCGTACAACTATCGCCGTGCAGCTCATGATCACAAAACAACACCACCACCACCCCATGTAGTGATATATTATCCGCCTTCCGGTACTACTCGGGGGCGACGACTCGAAAAGCAACGGTAATTGCTAAAGGATATAGATCGGTGAAGGACTAAATCATAGAGATTGGCGGATATCCAGCGTTTGATTATTGTAATCGGTTTTGATACCGACGGTATTGGTTAGAAAGACAAGAGCTTGTCTGCTTTGGTATTTATTGGTGGTGCCGATCTCGATATACGACTGGCTGCTTGTCGGTGAAGCGTAGGACTCATCTTTGCCGCAGGGCATTCTCATGCTGTAACCAGAATCTCTTGCATGCTAGATGCCCCCAATGGTCAACCCACCATTCACCGAAGCTATCTTCGACCTCGTAATCGACCTTTGGTACCCTCTCATTGCGTTTCAGACCACAGATAATGCACGGCTTAGGTGCAGTCGGTACCATCTTCTCGGTATGAATCTGCATTGATTCCGAGATTTCCGGAATCTTCAGTTGTTCTGTCTTGTTCTTGATCGATGAATTAGTAGCAGCAACCGCGGACCGAAGACGACCTATTTGTTCCTTCCAATTAGTTACAACGTCGGCTGCCTCACGGTCTTCACGTGCTGCCTGTGCCTTATCTACGCCAGCGAGCTTCATCCCCTTGCTTCCCGCGGCTGATATGGACATCCTCTGCGCGAGAAACTTGTCTCTATGCCACCTTAGCTTGCGACCTGCGATAATACGCGCCAGAACCGTCGCTAGAGCTAGATAGCCCTTGAGAAACTCGACCGTCTTCGGATCTGATAGAATGCGGTTTTTTACAGAAAAAGGTTGTCCGCTAACGGGTTTATACAGTGATGTGTTCGCTTGGGCGAATAGTTCCGGGAATACCGACAACAATACTGATGGAGGAGGCACATTAGTTGGTGGTAAGTCATCACTCGGCTCAGTAGTCTGCTTTTCAGCCTTGATATCGACGGGGTTCCAATCCCAAGTTGAACTTTGAGGCTTGGACACTGTCGGCGGTACCCGAGTAGTAGTTGCTTTAGGCTGAGTAGGCTCTATTGAGTTCCAATCCCAATCTGAATTGGCCTTACTGTTGGACTTCGTTTGCTCATCAGGAAAGTCATCAAATGCGCCCCAATCATCGCCCAACCCATCGCTCCCCGCGGATTTCTGAGCGTCAAGGGTTGGCCATGCAGTTGCTGGCGACGTTTTCGGATCATTCGTGTGCGACTTTTCTACTATCGGCGTAGTAACAGCAAGCCCAGGAAAGGGATTTCTTTCATGGAATGACGGGGATCGTGGTGCCTGCGGATAAGAAACGGACTCAGTCAAGCTCAAAGGCGAAAGCATTCGAGCGGCTTGTGGCTTGGTAGTCTTTGGAGGCGAATAGGAATCAATTGATAAGAGGTCTGGCGCTGCTTGCACAGGAGAGACAACCGTTTCGAATTCTCCAAAGTCATCGTCGTCTCCCCCTTCATTCTGCTCCCCACCAAAATCATCGGCATCAAACAAGACATTGGGATTTGAATCGGATGCTTTCTTTGAAGTTCCCGAAGAAGCCGTATTGGATATTGTCTTAACTTGCTCAGATGTAGTTTGCGCCGATGACGATCCGACTGCTTTGCCCTGTGATATGGCTAAATTGTTGAGGTCGAGTAGATTATTCGTCAGAAGATCTATCGTCGATGCCCGTACAACTCTTGTCCGTTGCGATGTCGGATTCTGTGGTCCCTTAGTTGTTGGGATCGACAGAGAAGTCGATGTTGCTAGGGGGATAGGTGGCTGATTCGCACTTTCTGCGACTTCAAACTCTCCCCAGCCATCATCATCATCATCGTCTTCGTCCTTGAAGTTTGACTGACTAGGTTGTAACGGGGTGTCTACCCATGTATTTGCACTTAAGGGCTGTTGGGTATTTTGCAGCTGACCGCTCCACCGGGCTGGTCCGTTGTTCCATGGTTGAGATACAGAGCTTGTATGTTGTCCTGTACTAGTGCTAGCATTCGTCACACTGCCGGCCCCGAAGGAAAAAGGACCTGATGCAAATGAGGAAGCCTGAACAGAGGTCTTCGGCTGATGCCCTTTGGAGGGATCCTCCGAGGTGTCCTCGAAGGCAGCAAAGAGATCTGCGGACATATCACATAGATGCCAAGGCTGACTAGTTAACAGACCCTGTGTATAAATAGAATGGACTAATAAAGCACATTCCGTGCTATGTTCGTTATGCCGGGGATAAGAAAAAAAGTAAAGAAAGTATCGGTGTTGAGGCTGAACCCGAGAATCGGGCTGATCGGGGTCGGGGATTAAGCGGATTTGATCGGTTGCAGGGATACCGGCAAGCTTTCGGGTAGAAACTGCACTAACCTAAAATAGTAGGTACTATCGAAGTATCGAAGTACCCAATGTAGCAAATAGGTACCTAGGGTACGTAAAGCTTGAAGGTCTCAAAGCTTTAATTCTTTACAATTAATCCTGGGTAACTAAAATGCTTTAGATTCTCCTACTATAACTCATACATATAATAATAATATTATTGATATAACGGTTATTATTCTTCAATGTAAATTCTATTAAAGCGTTCGGAGAGTGTATATACATAAGTAGGTATCTCACCCCTGTTAGTCTCATAAACGGATTCATACATAGTCATATCAGATCGATCCTTGTAGCATGCTACAATAACCAACCACATAGCAAACTCCGTGATGCGTCGTATGTTTTGTAGGCTCTCATATAAAAACCAATAAACAAACTTGCATAGGTTCATGTAAGCCGGCGGCATCTATACGTACCTATGCATCTATATGCTTACCGACTGATCCGTAGGTAGACTCCCTTTAGAAGAATACATCAAGGTCTATCGACCCCTGGAATAATGCCTACTCTAAAAGAGGTAGGCTAATGCGTAACATTCTTTTTATCGGAAGTCGAGGTTTACTAACATAATATGGAACATACAGGCACTTGGTCCCGAGGAAGATTGGTCCGGGCTGAAGGACGCAAAAGTGAGACGAAAGTTACAAACCCGATTAAACGTCCGCGCACATCGTAAGCAGCTTACCTAGGGCAGCCTCGTCTCAGCGCTCGTCCTAAACATTATTAGGGAGACGAAAGGCCTTGCTATCAAAAGCGAAAACCCGGGCCAATCCTAACTTGACAGACACAGCAGAGCAATGTCATTACCTAGAGAGTAATGGATGCAACACGCAACATGAGACTAATTCCTTGCTCGTTAAGTTCTCGAAACTACAGTTACAAAGGAGGAATGATGCCTCCAGAGATCAAGCAACTATATTTCCACTTACACTGGACCACTTAATACCCTTGGTACAATATAACTTTATCCGTGGTGTCTTAACCAACATGGCAATTCTAGGCCTCCAGAATGCCTTCCCTCCAGAATGTTCCCGACACTGGGTCAATATGACACTCTTCCCAACCCCATCCACCATCCCCGAGTCTCTCCAGCAGACGGAGCTGCAGCGAAACACGCCTCACGAGCCATGGATCGACCTCATACCGGACAAGCAAATGCGTGATAACGCAATACTAGCGGCAGGATATTTCACGAAGAAAGATGTTGAACCAGCTGTGACGGGTTCCATTTTCGGAACAGCAAACATGCTCGAGCTGAATGGGTTGATAGCTTGGGACGATCCTTGGCGAGCTGAGGGGTGGGAAATAACCGAAGGATTCATAAGAGACTTCCCATTTCTTGTGAAAAATTGTTGGGATATGCTCGAGTCTACTAATCGATGGCGGGCATTGCGAGATGAAGAACCTTTAGTCTTTGAATTATAAGGTCATGGTACATCTTCACTTCAATGTAGAATAGACTTGGCCCTCAGCCCTTAACCCATCTCTAACTCAGTTATAAGACGTCTATCAGATCAAAACGTACCTAGACAGTGTAAGTGCTAGTTTAGATGGTACCTATAATACATAACTAGTACATGCAGTGTATTTGTATGTCTTTAGCGGTGCATTAGCGTCAAAAGCAACCAAAGCTGACGTAACATAATCCGTACCTTAGGTACATCGAATCGACTTAATTGCGGGGCTTCGACTCTTTATCAAACCGCCACCTTCAACTCTTTAACGGCTGTCAGCTGGCAGCCAGCCTTTCCCAACTTCAGACCAGTCTCTCCCTTAGTCTTTCGCTACCTAATCAGCATATATCAATTATCGTAATAGATAATCGGAATAGGTAGGCTAGAGAAATCATAATGAGATCTTTGGTCGAGTCGACGTAAGTCCATACGTTTCCCATCAGATACCGTTCTCAGCTGATCCCACCATAGCACACGATGGCAAGAGACTCTGAAGCATAGCACTAGCCTTGTAGATCTGCAACGAGCCGTCAAGGACAATGGCCCGAGAAGCCCCTGCATTTCGGGATGTAGGTCCATCTGCTGGAAGGTTCGTTAGGTACTCTTAGAATCGATTACCCTGAGCGGAATTAACCCGAGGCGCTCAGGTCTTCTTACTCACCCAGTCTACTAATATCGTGGACTGGTCCCACGATATTTCGGAGTCACGAACCACATATTCATCTCTGAGAGATCATTTCTTAAAATATATAAAGCACCCCGAGCATCTTACAGCTGACTCCGTCGACCCCTTGGCAGACGATGCCGATGTAAGAGGGTCCCTTAAAACTATGAACCTAGATTATCCGTATTGACTTACGTTAGTCACCTTGGAATACCCTCCGCCACGATCAAGCACTTAGGGCTGAGATTCTTCAAGATGTTCAACGCCTACCGGACGAACCGTTCTATCACCAACCCGAGATCCAGACGCTCATCCTGGATGTCCTTTTTGTCTATTGTAAACTTAATCCAGGCATAGGCGGGTATCGTCAGGGCATGCATGAGCTTCTGGCGCCAATCGTCTATATCGTAGAACAAGACGCCATCGACCCGAGCGATCTTACTTCAAGCGATTCGGCCGACCAAAGAATGCTGGAAATCCTAGACGCGGCGTTTATTGAACACGACGCATTCGCTCTTTTCTCAAAGGTCATGGATCGTGCAAGGTCATTCTATGAAGTTACTGAGTCGGCAACAAATGCACCCCTCACAACCTTTGATCAGCAGTCTGCTACATCCTCTATCGTCGAGAAAAGCCAGTATATACACGAAGTTTGTCTATTCAAAGTAGACCCCGAACTCTCAACTCACCTTAAGAATATTGAGATTTTACCGCAAGTTTTCTTAATGTAAGCTGCTCCCTCATTCCCTTAACCCCCTTATGTAAATGAAATATTGTTATTAACGAGTATTACGCTTTATTATAGCCGCTGGATTCGTCTCTTATTTAGTCGCGAATTCCCCTTCGACCAGATGCTCGTGCTTTGGGATACCCTATTCTCTATAGACCCATCATTTAGACTTATAGATTTGGTTTGCACAGCGATGTTGATCAGAATTCGATGGGACCGTAAGACCCAAGCTTATTCGCATACATGATTACTTAATATTCTAATATTCAGTAGTACTCAATGCGGACTATACTGTTGCGTTGCAATTGCTACTTAAATATCCACCTCCACAGCAATCACATGGTCCACATACTTTCGTTGACGACGCAGTCTATCTTAGAGAACATCTAGATTCAGCTGGAGGTTCTACGCTTATATCAAAGTATACCGGAAGACCTCCCTCGCCTTTAGGGGCTAATTACGAAGCATCTACACCTAAGAGGTCAGCTTCAAACATACGGCAGAAGTTAGCTGGTGCTAGATCACCTTTATCATCCGCTCGCTTCAAACCGCCCCAGGGTGGCATGGAGGCGTTGCTACAAGGTGCGGCTAAGGGCGTACTCGAGAGAGGAGAGAAACTCGGCATTAATCAGGCAGTACGCGATGCCATGGTAGAGATACGCCGTAACGTTCAAGAAGCTAGAACCTCTATGAAGGCGGGTAGGGATCTCTTAGGCGAGCCGGGCTCGAGCACGACGGTACGAGCTATCGCAACGCTGGATCGAAGAAATAGGCGCCTGGCAGCGTTACTTGACGAGCCTCTCACCAGTTTGAAGAGCCTTGCAAGCTCCGACCTAGAAGACGGGCGGAAATACCAAGATGCTCTCGGGGTTGCTGCTGCGAAGATACAATTCATTAAAATCTACCTGGAAGATTCTACCCTCGATCTTCCAGACGAGGAAGAGCCAGTGTCATCGATACCATCAGATACACCCACCGGCAGCGACGAAAAGTTCGACCCCGAGCCTCTTAACCAGGCGATTGCAGCAATATCCCTCGACGCGCCAGCTCAAGCAACAAATACACAAAATCTCGAAAAGACAAAACCCCTATCGATCAAGTCGCCTTTACCAGATCCAGATAAAATGGACATAGGTAACGATCCACTAGGCTCGGGGGTGCCAACAGCGTCGATAGTAGAGAAGAAGCTGGAACGTCCCCAACCTCCTATCCCTACGCGGTCCACCATCGCACAATCCTCCTTCTCCTGGATGCTAGAACCCGACGCCGCGCCATCATCTTCCTCTCCCTCCATATTCCCTTCCAACCTGCCGTCTACAGAGCCCTCGCACCGTAAGAGGCCCTCTGCGAACGCTAGCCGCGAGCGCACCGCGTTCCTGTTCGGCGAGGTTGCTGCTGACGAAACTGGAAATGCGATACTGCCGGGGGATATCTTTGGTATGGAGGAGATACGGAAGGGGAAGAGTTGAAGCGAGATGGATGGATGGGCTTGGGATTGTGGTCTGATAGTTTCACGGCTCGGATGGATATATGTATGCGTATAAATACCTAGACTAAGGACGTAATGTAACGAGATTTATGTGAATACATGAATATAAGGTATTGTTAGAACAATAGTCACGTGCTCGCGTGACACGTACATTGGGGCTAAGGCTAGTAGGGCCGTACCTTACCTACAATTAAATAAAAAAGATTCTTTCCATAATTTATAAATCCTTTTTTATTTAACTAATTACATAATTAAAATTTAATTAATTAATCGTTTTATTATTATATTTTATTATTATTTAAATATATATTTATATAAAGATTTTAATATTATTAATTTAATATTAATTAATAATTAATTAATAAATTAATTATAAAATAATAAAAATAATTTATTAAAACTTTATTAATATAATTTTAATAACAGTAATAAAAAATAAATAATACAATTAAAAAAAATACGTAATTAAAGATTTTATAAATATTAATTTTAATACGAAATATATTAAAATAATAATTTTAAAAATTATTAATATATATTATATAAAAAAATTTAAAATATATAATAATAATTAATATAATAAAAATTTTTAAAATATATTTTAAATAAATTTTAACGGTTAAAATTTAAAAATATTTAAAAAGGTAAATATAATATTAAAAAATAAAATAAAAAAATATTTTATAAAATATAAAATCTTTATATTAAAAAATGGATTATTTTTTAAAAAACTTTATAACATATTAAACGCGAAAAACTTTTTAACGTTTCCGTTAAATTATACAATTAAATATATAAAAAAAAATATATTTATTTTAATATTAAATCTTTAATATATTAAATAATTATAAAAAGAAAATAAATTTAAAATATTAATATAATAAATATAAATATTAAAAGAATTATTATTAAAAATATAATTAAATTTATTAATAAAATATTTATAAATAAATAAAAATAAAAAAATAATTTAATTAAAAAAAAATTAAATAATA